ATTATATGTAAGTTGGGTACCTTTCAAAATTACATCCTGATTTACTTAGTACTATATACTTACATGTATAAAGTATTGTCTTTATTATACAGGTTCTTTTGCGGCCATAAAACTGTCATACAAAAGCTCTCATAAAAACAATTTCCATTGAAATCAGTTTATACATATATATTAATAATGTACATATGTACATATGTATGCATATAAGTTTGTCAATATAAATAAGTTGTGAAATACTGTCATTATTTACTTTTCCCCACTTTTGCTAACTTCTCTCTCGAAATTTCATTCAATGTTTAATTTTTTTCTCTCTTGAGTAACAATCATTCAATAATGCCAAAATATTGTAAATATTTTTTGTTTTGAGGAAAATCGAGAAAAGCTTTTTCTATGGATATTTTACTCTTAAATACATATATGAATATGTATATATGTATAGTTGTAAATGTACATATGGATAAGTGTTTTTCGTATGCGATATATCTATGTATGTATATGGAAATTAATGGAATAAATTTTAAACAGTTTTGTTATTGTTATTAATTTTCCTTTTATATTTTCACACTTTCATTTCAATCCCAACCTTAATATGTTGTTTATAATTCAGTTAAATACATACATATGTACATATATCGCCTTATACTAGTTTATATTTTAAAAATTTAAATGAAAGTTTATTTATTTTTTTTTACTGGCATTTGGCAAAATTAAATTGCATGATTAGCAAGTATTTTTGCTACCGAATAATTATATTTATTTTTAATAATAGATAACAATATATTGTACGTGTATTAGTGCAGGTACAAATTGTGTAGAAATACAAAGTGCGTTTAATCATTGTAGACATGTTATGCTTAAACGTATGTAAATGTTTTTTGGTTTTGCAAATTAAATTGAAAAGTAAAAATTGTAAATTATAGTTTTTTAATTTATTACCGGCAAAACTAAATTCTACAAGGAGGAATTTAATATATGTATATACGTGTGTAATATAAGTGTACTCGTACACTGTTCATATATGTACATACAGTTGAACCTAAATGTAAACAATTGCTGTTAAAAGTAAAGCTCCTTTATTAGAAAAACAAAATCGGTTTTATCCTTTATTTTAGTTTTCCAATTATCAAGCTTAATGGCTTTCAACTTTATATGTTTATATATTATGTGCATAAATTGAAAAATTACTAAGAAGTAAAATTTTTTGTTTTACACAGAGCTTAATTAAAAAAAAATCTGAATATAAGCATCGAAAATACGAAGTGACCCAACGATTGATTCCCCTTTTATTAAATATTGAATATTGATTTTTAATAATAAAAGTTTAAAAAATTTTTCACATTTAACGTCCTTCCTATTAAATAGTTAATTCAGAATTTTAAATATGAGTGTGTATTTTGTATTTTTTCAAGTATTTTAAAATGTAATTTTAATTCGAAATTTAATAAAAATTTCGTCTCGCTTATTTTTTTAATGGTTTAAAAGTCAAACCATTAATAAATTTAGTAAGTCAAAAATTATACGAGAACCATACAATTGTATTGAACTTATTTAATTTTAATTATTAAATAAAAGCGTAATGACCCTTTGCTTGTATTCATTCACATTTTGCATTAACAAAAAAATTAAAAATAACTTTGCAGTATACTTATTATTTACAAACTTCAATATTTATATTAACAAATTTCAATTAAACAATGCTACTTTTTTTAAACAACCAATATTGAATAAATATTTAAATGGTAAAAAAATAATTTAAAGAAATAAACGAGTGTGTTCTATAAAACAAAAGTTCATTATTTTGTTGATTTTATGCTTTAGCAACTTTCAATGAATATTACATATGATAAGACTGTTAAAATGCGACTATATATGTAGGTATTTATGTAAGTCATTTAATGATATTAATTGCCGAATTTTAGGAGAAATTTCAATTTAAGTATAATACTCTTGCGTCACTCATAATTACCTTATAGTTTATAGAATTAAGGTTTATAAAAAATGATTTTTCTATAAAAGACAAATAAAAAGTTAAACAAAATATAAGAGTGACCAATTTTAAATAAGAAAAAATATTTTCCACATATTCTTTGTTCAATTTTAAATTTATATATTTACTAATAAACAGATTGAATTAAGGAACCTACGCAAAAGCTTACGAATGACGATGATACAACGTAATGATGACCACTTATCTTACTCAAAAACAAAATAAGCTACATAGAGAAAAATATGAGTGGAAGACAAAAGAGAAAGCACCTATGTGTAGAACATAACAATATTTTGCGTTATTTTTAAATTTAACTTATGCTAAATTAAACGCTAACTAAACCCAAAAAAAGGTCTTATGTTAGATATACAATTATTTGAATGTATATTGCAGATCAAAATTTATAGTACTCGTATAATCCTCCATGTATGTTCAGTGATAAAAATTTTAGTAATGATTAAATGATCAAAAAATCCCAGAATTAAAATTTAATTTTGGAAGAATGTATTTCGTAAGTAGGCAAACGTATAAATGAGTGCGTCAAAAAAAAACAACTGGCGAAAAATTTAAATTTTACCTCCGCACTTTTGGTTAATGAAATTTGTAAAAAAAAAGTATAAAATCTTTTGATGATTTTTTTAGTTATTTTTAAACAGAAAAAAACTCCAGGTAAATTCATAAGGTACTCAAACTTATTTTCACATTCAATTCTCAAATTTTATGAAAGGCGTTAAAAAAAAACAAAATAAAAAGAAGAAAAAGTTGTAATAAATATTTATAAATATATTTGGATAAGCAATAAAAGGGACTTTAAAAAGGATCCACTTAAGAAGAATAATAAAACGAAAAAAATCGGTTTACAATCAAATAAAATGCTATGACGCACAATAGAGTACAAGAGTGTTACTGCAACGTCCTTTTTCCATTTGAAGATTTTCAATATCTTTTTTAATTTCAAATATTGAGAAATTTTTTGTTTTTTATTATACCTGTTGATTCATTAATTTTAATTGATGCTGCTTTTGTGTGAATTATATTTTATATTCAATTTAAGTCCTTAGATCGCATTATGTTCAATAGTAAAGGTAGTTAGTGTTTTCACATTAAATGTTTTCAATTAAAATTGATTATGTTTATTTGATGTTAGAGCAAGAGGAAAGCAAAAAAAATTACTTTTTGCAAGGTGCTTGCGCCTTTACCATTTTTTTTCATTCCAACCTCTACGAAAAGCCGAAAGAACGGAGCGGATTCGCTTCTTTCTGTCGGCTTTTCGTAGAGGTAGATTTGGTATCGAAATTGTTATAAGATATTTTTTCAACTAATATGATCACAAAATAACCACTTTTATAAGTCAATATAAACGCATACAACTTTGTTATACAAAATAAGTGTTGTTGTACGTCTTTAAAATTTTGAATATTCTGGATTTAATTAACAAGGGCGTCTAAAAAACTAATGCGGAGTCGTTAACTTTATGTAAAATAATTACATATTTCTAACAAAATAATTTTCAAAATTCTAGCTTAAGAGAAAATTGTTACTGTTTATAAAATCTCAATATGTTTGAAAGTATGTATGTTCTGATAAAGCGAACATAAGTTTCATGGAATTCTATTGAGTGAATTGAGTAACTGAATACTAAACTATAGTAAAAATTATATGTGCGTAATAATTTCAGTTTTCGCAGTTACGAAAAGAAAAAAATGTCATATTTGGCGTTTTTGTTTTCTTAAGAAATATTTTTGCTTACTCTGTCTTTCTTTTATACACTTATATTATTAATATAAAATTTTATAATTATAGAGAGAAATACCTTTGTTTCTGATTGCAGTACGAAAAACCTAAATTTTAATTATTTAATAATTACTTTTATTTTTTCTTTGGAGTAATATTTGAACGAGTTTCATTTCAAAAAACTAATGCGGCAAGAAAATATGAAAGGAGAAAAAACAAATAATGGAAAATAAATTTTGATAATATTCTTTTGCTTATAATGGTGAATTATCCTCCTACACTACTTTCAAAATATATTTGTTTTTGATTAAAACGGCAGTACTTGCATTATGGTGTATAAGATTTTTTTTTTATATCTTCAGATCTTGTAGTATTTTTCTTTAAAAAATTTTAAGAATCTCTCGAGAGAATATAAAGTAAATCTGGAAGAACAAAAGAGAGGTTTCTAAGCTACAACAGGTATTTCAAAGAATTTTTTTTATGAACTTTTTTTTTTTTGCTTTTGTGACAATGTTTTTATATTTTCCATTTCATCAATTGTATATTTTGTCTTTATCCTTTGTAAACAATAAAAATAGCATTCGAAGAGTGTGTCTGTATTTTGATGCGTGCAATATTCAAATACTGCAGTCGAAATTTAGTGTTGATGATGGTATTTTCTTTATGTTTAATAATAAAGAGTTTTATGGTGTGAGATTATTTTTAAAGTAAAATATAGATTTTATAAATACTTTTATAATATTAAAAAATTAAATTAAATTAACAATATGAAAAATTATAAAATTATATGATTGCCTACATAATAAATCAATGAGTAAATTGCATACTTGCTCTGTTTAAGTTTACCTATTTTAAATTGAACACTATAAGTTTTGGCTCATAAAAATCCTTAACGTGTCAATTATTCTTAAAAGTAAAAATATTGAATAAGTGCTGGAACAAGCGCTAAAACAAAAATTAGTTAAAAAGTGGAAATTTAAAAGAAAAAATAAAAAGGAAATGAAAATCACGGCGGATATTGTCATTGAAATATGCTTCTTACGCAAGTGGATTAAAAAATTTAAGAAATTCGTTATTGAAAAAGTTTCAGAAATTTTTATTCAGAGTTTCTAAAAATGTAAGACAAAACAGGTAACACACAAGATGAGAAAAATCACATTCGAAGATAATTTATAGGCAAACGATTTGTGTTCCCACAAATTATGAGCACTAAAAATAAACACAAAAAATTTTATGCTAAATCAATTCAATAACCAATTTCTTTTTGCTTAAATTTCAGATACTAACAAACAATATGATGCAAACTTCATCTAGAATTAACGTAATTATATAAATATATAAAATAAAAGAATTCGAAATAAACTTTAAAGAAAATTTGGCAATTGAAAAGCTGTACGAGTCAAAATAATCTTCACAATTTACCATAATACTAAAACGATCTCAAAAAAATAGAGAGCAATTAATTTTGTTCTCTATAACTACAACACAAGCAAACAATTTTGTAATATTTGCCGATGTTATCTGCTGTTGAAACATTTGGCCCAGCAGCTGCATCCGCAACAAATGCATACGCAGCCGCCGCAGCTCAACAACATCAGCACCATACAAGCCACCATCACCTTCAACATCAACATCATCATCATCAATTAGCTCATCATAATCCGTTTGCACTGGCAGCAGCAGCAGCCGCGGCGGCATCGGTAGTAATGCCTCCAACACAAGGACAAACTGAAACAAATCAACTAAGTTTAGATCATTATTCGATTGCTGGACATGGTCCTTTGCTGACACATCATCCACATTTAAATTCACACCCACATCATTTGAGTCATTTGAATCACTTAACACATCCAAGTGGTATTTACTTATCTTCATTACCATCTGTTATTCCACCTTCAACAACAGCCGCCGTTACCTCATCAATGAGTTTCTTACACCAACAGCAACAGCATCAATCGGTTACAACATCAACCCTGTTACAATCGCCATCTTTATCTTCTTCTGTTTCTTATTCAAATTCTTCAATTAATTCAACTATATCACCGTGTTCATCACCAGCAAAGTCGCCTTCTTCTTCGACAATACGTTCAAACAAAGACTCTATTAACGCTAGTAGTGTAATAAACAACAACAATAGTCAAAATAATTTAACGATTGATAGTAAAAAAACATCTTCTGCTATGTCTATTACTGAGTTTGCCAGACCACACCCAAAACAACCTCGTTATAGCAATGCCTCTAATGGCATTAATATTAATAGTAATCTAAATAGTAACAACAATAACATTAGTAATAGTTCTTCTAATAATAATAGTACAATTGGAAGTAATGGAATTCCTCTACTTGGGCGAAAAATTTCATCCCCATTGTCTGAAACCGTTAATGGTTCCAGAAATTCTTTGTCAAAATACTCAAACGAACCGCCACAAACTGGGCCAGTTAATCTTGTCACAAATAATAATAACAACTCTAATTCTAGAGACTATAGCAAAGGCTTCAACAAAGAAACGAATAATAATAATCGTATAACACCACCTACTGCAATATCTGATTTAGATTTAAAAAAGACTTCAGTCTCAGCTGCTGATATCACATCGTCGAATGAAATAAAAGACAACTTATGTACAATGACAAACAGTTATTATTCACAAAAAATACAATTCACGCCACCACCACCAACATTGGCTGCCGCATATCAATTTAATTATCCACATTTGTATGCCAGAGGAGGATTATATGGGTAAGTTATATATTTTGATTGAAATATTGCACTTGTACAGTTACACAATATTGCACTATTGCAATATTGAATTTAATATTTTAACATTTAATTTACGTCCTCTTTTTGTATCTATTAGAACTTCAGCTCTCTATTCAGGTCATCACTCACCATTAAATGGACGCAACAGATCTCCAGCATTTTTAAATTCTGCTCATCCTGATTTACAACCGTTTTCACCTTATATATCACCGACAGTAGTTTATAGTCCGCCTAACTCAAATACGTCAACAACACACGTTGCAACCAATGCTGTATCAACCTCATTAATACCACAACAGCCTGTATCATCATCATTGGCGATAACAAATTCAGCAAATATGAATTTGACCAATGAAAACCTACCCAAGTCACCATCTCAACAACAAATGCCATTGCAATTACCTTTGTCACCATCACAACAAAATTCACCAAATTCACAGCAACAATTATTACCACCATCTTCATCATCACAAAATTTTATGCAACAATCATCTTCATTGCCACAGTCAAATTTTATTACTGCTGTTGAGCAACAACGAGCTTTGCTTGGACAAAATAGCTCACAACATCACCAAACATCCTATTATCATCCATATCACCAAACAGATAAAAACGGGGGAAGTGGATTGAAATTATCTACAAATAATAATAACTCCAATGATAAAAAGTCGCACCAGAGTAATAATGATGGTGCAAGTTTTAAAGTGCCATCTGGTAAAGAAGGATCTCTTAAGCATAGATTTTTGACTAGACCAAAATCTGATCGTGATTTGAGAAGACGTTCACCAAATTCAGTAAACAGGTATGCGTTCAATTATTTTATTTAAATTAAAATATAATAACCATTGTTTTAATGATTGGCACTGCATAAATTAATTTATTTACATATCCGGTAGAACTAATATTTACCTTTTAATTGACAGAAGCCCAAACAACAGTAGTGGAAACCATTCACCAAGTAACTTTACAAAAGGGTCTTATATTGAGTTGGCTAATGGATTATTACGTCGCGTTGAAGATATGAGAACTGAAGATTTTTTAAATTCAGCTGAAAAGTCTGAGCGTCACCAAATAATTGATTCCACTGTTGTAAAAATTTCAAATACTCTAAATAGTGTAATTATTACATTTAGTTACGATAAAAATCGATCTAAGGTAAGTAATTTCGAAATGCTATAAATTTTCCGTCAAACGTTTTGTTGCCAGTTTTGTTGCCAGTTTGTTGACAGTATTCGAAATTGTTGTGCTGTCTATGCCTTTAGTGAAGTTTGCTTATATTTCCCGAGCTTATAAAGATGAATTTAAATCATCAAAAAAAATATATGATTGTATAAAAGCTTATTTATAATATTAATCAGGTTACAATAATTTTTATTACCGTACACTATTTTAAGTTCTTATAACTGTTCTCATACAACTTGTTGAAACATATACTGGACCAGGAGTATATTTTTGGTTGATTGAACTAACTAGGTTGAGAAATGGGTTCGACCAGGAACTTGGAAGGGATTGTATAAAAAAGAGAAAACGAAGACCTTGGAAGGGAATGTCAAACAAAACTGAGTTGATTCAGAGTTAAAAAATTGTTATGAATCGCATATGAAGTATGAAAAATAAAAACAAGAAAAACCATACAGCAAAAAAACTACTCTGCACTTATATCTGCACTTATATACTTATATCTATGATATAAATTTATGATTAATCACAAACTTAAATCCTTCAAATAAATATTTAATACTCAGTTTTGCATCTTAATTCAACACTACTACCGCTTAAGTTCTAATATACACATAACGTATGTACGTGTATATATAACGGTCATAATTATAATTAGGGTTAATATGTAGTATCGCATTTGGGATCGTTTCTTTTTATTTCATCTAAAATTAAACTTTGTACCCGAATTTTTTAAACCTTTATCATAATTAAAATATCAACAGGTATTTTAATGTAATTTTTTATAACTTTTTATAAAAAAATTAAATACGTTAATTATGTACATTGTAAAAAAATATAAGTCCGTATTAAGAAGAATCAATTTTCTGGAAAATTTATACTCGTGGTAAAAGTAGCCGTATAAAGAGTCATATTACCATTTACCATCCGTAAAAAGACATAATTAGCTCTAAACTGAATCTACTTACGTGTTCAGGATAAGGTTTAAATATAATTAAATGTTAAATTGCGCGATGAAGTGAACAAAGGTGGGATTTAAGATGAATTAATATTTACCAATAATGTAAAAAAAAAATTTAAAATCATTTTCCAGCTGAATTTACCATGCAAATAAAGAAGACATTCCGTTTAATTTATTGAAAATGTTGTTATATATAAATACGGGATCTCTGAGCTTTTATAGCTTTTACAAAGTGTAAGTTTCGAAATCTATAACAGGCAAGTTTAATACTTCTACAATCAGCGTATTATGTCGAAACACTCCCTGTATATAGAATATAGAAATACATATAAATAATTTATTGTCTGCATTTAGGATAACCAATGATGCAAAACTAATTCCATTGTACAGTTCATTTAGCAAATTGTATTGAGATATTTTTTTGTCTTATTACTGGTGTTCTTATAATAATTTATAAATTAACTTAGCCAAAATGGGAAATTTGTTTACTTTTCACATTAAAATTTAAGAAAAACGGGACAATACAAAATTTTTTAGATCTTTTAGAAGTTTATGTGGTATGAAATTAAACTAGAAATTGAATAATATTTTAAAGTAGGTTTATATTGCTTTATTTACCTGTCAAATATGTACATGTATATGTTGCATTAAATCCATAAAATTTAAATGTACTTTTAGGCTGATATAGACGTTTCTCAAGAGCATCCGTTTTTTGTATATGGTCAAGGATGGGCATCGTGCAATCCCGATTTATCTCTCCAAAATTTTGGTTTAAAATGCAAACGTTTACAAGTCGGTGACGTTTGTATATCGTTAATTGAAACTTCAAGTCCAACAACATCATCGTATTCGTCGTCATCTTCGCTGTCTTCCCTTTCCACATTATCAGCAGGAAAAAATCCAAGCAGCTCTTCATGTAGTAGCTCTTGTTCTTCAGATTCTTGTATAACAAATTCACCGTCAGCATCCCCAATTATTGACGTAACAACGGTTGTGCCTCAAAATTTAACCACAACTAGTGCATCAGTAACACGCCCTACTATTGAATTAAATACTGCAATAGACATAAAACATCAAGAATCCCAGTATAATCATAATGCATTGCAGCAAATGTCTTCATATGATGCCCACAATAATTTACAACAGACACATTATAACCAACATCAAACAAAATTAACGTCATACGATGAAACGATCTCGAAGCATCAAGCTAACAATAATAATAATCAAAGCGAAAGTAATAAAAATAATAATAAAAATAGTAATAATGATAATGGTAATATTTCAAACAATGCTTCTTTACATTTAAAAAACGAATTAAATAACAATAATAGTGATCGTGATATAGTAAATAATCAACATCATCATAATCAGCTATCGCCACACCATCAAAATTTAGACAGTTCTCATCGTCTAACTGGAAAACATTCAAGTCATTCTGATAGTCATTATTTAATACCATCAGCACTACAACCACCACCTCTACCATTACAATCGCCAATCGTTACTCTACCACATCAACAACAACAGATTAAGTCAACGGCAACAAAAAATGTTGAATTTACATTTTCTTCAAGACCAATTCATCATCAGCATTTGCACTTACAGCAACAGGAACAACCATTTTATTTAGGTAAATCAGCAACATTTCCTCCAATTTCTCGTAGTGCTTCACCACCATCCCAATCCGTGTTTAATCATCATCATTGTCAACAGCAAAAAGCTTTAGAATCCCATAATATACCAACATATGACCCCGAAATCACTATATCACGTAAAAGGAGATGGTCGGCACCTGAAGATAAATGCGGGGATGACAACGGTAACAAAATTGAAAACAATAACGGAGAACGTCGAAAAAAATTTAATGCATACGAAACAAATAATAATCTGAACAGTGAAAATGACAATTGACTGCCAAATCAAAAATGAAATATAAAAAACAGAAAAAAATTGCTGTCACAATAGCTTTTTTAGTTCAATAAAATATTACAAAAAAGTTAATATAAATAATGCAAAAAAATGTTTGTATGTATATCTGTATATTTATATATACATATACAAATATTAAATATATTTACAAATTTAATCAAAAACTAAAATTATAAAACTTTTAGGTTAGGTGTTAAATTGTTTAACATATTGTTAAAAAAATTATATAGTAGAAGCATACAAAAAATGTTTAAGGACGATGTGCATTTTAAGGTTTCAAAATAATAAAAAAAATATAAGAGAAGAAAAATTAAATTATACTTGTGCAAAACAAATTTACAAATTATTAATACATTTTTTAAATTTTAATAATGTTTTAACAAACAAAATGTAAGAAAATTGGGAAAATAATATTTTCATAGAAAAATATAAACATGAATAAAAAATAAAATTTAGAATCAATTAAAACTGTATATATCAATAAGGAATAATACAATAAATTTATATTATAAAAATTGTAAAAATTGATACAAAAGAAAAATTTCAAAATATTTCTAATACAAATTGTACAAAAGAAAAAACAATTCTTAAAAATAAATAACAAATTCTACGTAAATTGTAAAATCAAAGCAAATTTACATATGTATATTAAACATCAAATGAAAAAAAATCTTTTTAATATTGTAAAATGTTCTTCCTCCTTAGAAAAAACTCTTTTATCTGAAATTGGAAATGGAAATTGTAAAAAGTAATCAAAGGAATTCTTAATTTTGATTTTTCTTGTTGATTTACACTTGAGTTTGGTTAGCAAACGAACACTCTCTTTGTGCAATCCGTGCGGAAAATTAGATTTCGAATTCCAAAATTTAGTTATTTCGCTTAACGAATGACTAAAAATTACATTCATATGTATGTATATAACAAACGCCATAATTAAATGTTATTGTATTTTTGGATTAAAATTATTTCTTTTATAGCCCTATATAAATTTTTGTGTAAATACGTGTAGAAACATACTAATATATGCGATTTCTGTGTTTTACATCTGCTCGGAGCTCTTTCGAGCACTCTGAAAAACAACATGAAAAATTTCTATTGTGAAAATTAAACTTCGCGTATTCCATCACAACACTTAATTATTAATAGGCATCAAGGGAAAAACTCTTGATTATTTAATGTTCACCGAACACAACATTAAAATGGTCATTCCTAGATTCATACTAACAAGCAAAAAATGCAAACCTTCTTTAAATTTTTGGCACTTAAAACAAATCAACTTAATAAATTAAATTTGCAAAAGTACACAAATGACGCTACTTCTTAGATCCAATACAACAATATTAAATTTAAAAATTTTTTTAAAAGACTGTGAGTCTGTGGTGATAACTTTTACCAAACTTAAATTGAATTGGTATCACTTTTACATTTGATATCAGTAAATGCTTCAATACTTTGTTCTAAAATATGAAATATTATTAATTAGATTTGAACTTTACATTCTACTTTTGATATTTCTGAGAAAGTCAATTTCCATTTCATGCAATTTTATCTTCAATAATTTCACTTTTTTAAAGTCCTTTTAAAGAAATTATGGTTGCAAAATCAGTCGTAAATCAATTAAATCTTATGATGGACAAAGAATTATAGTATAGTTATTAACTTTAATAATCTATACAATCACATCTTCCAATAATTATTTACACATAATAAAATCATTTTTCAATTTTAAAAGAAACAAAGCTTTCAGAAATATATAAAAAACTAAGATACTATGTACTGTTGGTGCAACAACAGTTATAATAAAATTTATAGTAAATTATATAAGAATAGTAAAATTATGAGAAAAAAATATATTTTTAAAAACGAGAACAAATTAAATGTACGTTAAACCTAACAACAAAAATTATACTATTATAAATTAATATTATAAAATTATTTTATCAACAGAAAAAAATAATAAAATATATGAATTAAATTGAATTTAAAATAATTGTTAAAAAATGTTGTATTTTTTTATTAAAAGCAAAAGTAAAGTTTAAAGAAAAATATATACTAAAAAAATAATGTGATCAAAAAAAAAAGTATTAATTTTTGATAAAAATAAATTAAAATATAAAACAATTTACTAAAAAAAATAAAATACAAATGTTTTAAAAAAATGAAATTTCTCGTTATTCGATATTTTCTTTATGTTTATTATTAGCTATTATCTAAGTTATAAAAAAATTTTATTTAAAATTTTGTACGGAAAGTGCCCACGATAAACGAAAAAATGTTTTGTATTTGTAAAATATGCGTATGATTTGTTTTTGGCATTTATTGTCGGAGATTGTTGTCATTTTTTATGAAAGTGATGTTTAAGTAGATTTTCTGAGAAATACAATTCCTTTTTTTCAATTTTCATGCCAGCCTGAATTTCATGAACACGAACAAAATAAGTTTTTACAAAGTTCGTAAAATTTCATGAAAAGCAACAATAAAATGTGTTTTACTTTTATTTAAAAAAAATATTTTTAATCTTCACCCTTTAGATTTGCAGTAAAATGTTTTGGAGAATCTTAAAGTTAGACATTTAAAGTTTCGTTCCTTCCTATTAACGTGTATTTTAGAATGGTAGAATTTAAAGTAAATTTTAATTTACCAAATGTTTAAAACAAATCAAATGCAAAATACAAAGTTTCCTATTTGATTTTACAAAAGATTTATAGGAAAATTTTTTATATTTTCATTTAAAATTTTGCAATAATTTACAACATTTGTGATTTATTTTGAACACCTGAAGACTTATTATTAATATTTATCTTTATTTTTATTTTTTAAATATTTCATATTTTTTTTATAATGTTACAAAATTATTTTTGCAAAATTAATTTTTTTATATTTACAATTTGTATTGAATACAAAAAATATCTTGACTTCCATTTACCGTGATCAACGTTAAAATCTTTGGATTATTAAATAAAACAACTACTATCAAATAATTAAATTTATTTTAAGTTTAATATTTTATATATGTATGTAAATTTTCAACAATTGTTGAGCAATCTTAAAACTTTCACTTAAATTGAAATATATTATATTAAATAATGTTTTAATTACATAATAATTAAACAAAATTAATAACATAATTTATGTGTAAAAAAGAAATTATTTGTTTTTTTTTTCAAATATTAAAACTTAATAAATAAATTGTATATAAAATTGACATAACAAAGTGAATGCCATCCTGTTTTATAAATTAAAAATATTTAATATAAGGGAAAGTTTATTAATAATACAAATTGATCTAAAATTAAAATTAAAGGAGGTACTTTCGAAAGAGTTATTTTTTAATTGAATTCATAAACTTTGTTTTGAATTATAGAAATATATAATTACAAAAATTTTTTTTTATAATTTGATTTTATAATTTGTATTTTATATTTTGACTATTTTTCAAATTTGTAAATGATTAAAAAAATATGTATGTAAAATAGTTTATTTGTCTGCTGTTAAAAAAAATTGATCTCTGGATTTCAAAAGTATAAAATAACTTTTCGAATGTAGCCCATGAAAGCTATAATAACGAAAAATAAAACAAAGAAAATGACTTTAATAAACTAATTTTTAAATTCGAACACATGCTCTTTTTTAAAGTCAAGTAAAATTTGCTTTTATTTAATTAATCTTAAAATGTAAAATGAAATGAAAGAAAAAAATATTAAAGAATTATTTCAAATGTTTGTGTATTAAATATAATTTTAAATAAAAAATAAAATTAAATAAAAGATTGATGTGAACTATAAGAAGAATTAAGTATATAAAAAAAAAATAACAAAAATTAAACTACATTAGAGTAGGAAGTAGGTAACTAATTTTAAAAAAATATTAAAATAAATAAATCATATATATATATGTATTATGTATATATATATATATATATATATATATAATGCATAAATATATTATATTGATTAATGATATGAAAAATAAAGTTTATATGTAATAGAAAAATTTTAAATAAACTATCGTTTCACTTTCAATATAAAATGGATGGCATTGTTACGCCATTTTAACTATATTTCGATGAAATATAATCAAAAATATTACGCTTATACTTAACGCTTCGAAATGTTTTTAAATTAAAATTTTAACACTTTAAATCCTTTGTAAATTTCAATTGAATTTCTTTGAAAAAATTTTGTACTACTTAACATACAAAACAGTGTGGAATCTTGTTCCCCAGACGAAAAATAAAACTAAACAAAAGATAGTATGTATATATATGTATGCATTGAAGTGTTATCCTTAATTTACAAAAGCAGTCAAGAATTAAACGCTTTCTTATGAAAATTTTCAAGTACCTTTAATAATTAAAATTCATTGTATTCTCAAGTGTCTTCAAATTTTTTTGGCACAAAATCCATTTTGTTAAATTTTAAAATGCATAAATGTTAAATATTATCTTCTTTTGAAAAATTTTAAAAACAAATTTAATGGCGCTACGAAGTCTACAAAATTTTTAACTTATTCATAAAATAAAAAGGAATCCTTAAATAATTGCCTTTGCTTTATTTTTAAATATCTTTGAATAAGGATATTCAACTTTTACCACATTCCTTTTTCATTTATGGATTTTCAAAAAAAAAAAAAAAATAGCACTGAAAAAATAACATTTTGCACTGAAAATTTTCGAGGTGTGGTATAATGTTTTGTTAAAACTATCTTTAAAATTGAAAATTCATCCCTTAAAAAAGATTTCTTTTTTGTTTTTAAATATTGAATGGTCACTATATAAAAGCAATAACAGATATAAGCCGCAAAATACTTAGAAATTTTTTAAAAATTTGTAGATACTCGTAAAAATAAAAGAAAAAGAAAATAATGGTTTTAAAAAGGACACCATCAGCATATCGGAGAACAATAAAACATGTGTTAAATAAAACTAAAATAAAAAACAATAGCGTTATTGTTCTGCTGAAGTACCTATGTACATATAAAAGTGAAAATATTTTAGTATGGACAAGTTAAAAAAAAATTATTTTAAGAATTTTAAACCCATGTATGTACATAAGTATGTACATATATACCTTCTTATTGCAAAATTTTTAGAATTACTACAAAAAAAATATTAGTGCAATATTATTGTCAGCGGTAAACATAATATATGTACCTACTTGTACACAAGCATAATTACAAAAAATACACTAGCTGAGATGAAAAAATGTTCATAGTTTGAAAGATTCTGTACTTTTACTTCGATTTTTGCCAAAAAAAAAATAAAAAAAACAACTTTAAAAGTAGTCATAGGTACAAAGTGTAGGTATATACACGCAAAATGAATAAAGTCGTGTTAAATCAAGGATTTGTACTGTAGCACTTTTCCCTTCAAAATTGAAAATTCTGCTTTTAAAAACGGTCTACTGTAGTTACTACATTATTTAAACGACTTTCAATTATAAAATTTTCTTCCATCGAAATGAACTATTTATTAGTGTCTAAAAGCTGCTACAATTTTAGGCTCCTACAACCTGAGGTCTGGAAAAAAAAAGATATCAAAAATTTGGAAAGAGAATTTTATTTATTAAGGACGGTAAATTTTGACGGCCATTTTGTTTTTTTAAAGTTCAAATACATTACGACGCAGTAAGAGAAGCCAGCCTTTCTCAAAATTTGAAAATGCTTTTGGTTTCACTGCAAGAAGTAGTTAAAGAAATAGCATTTTTAGAGTTTTGTGGGGCTATAACACTCTAAGGCGGGAGGGGGGAGTAGGAAATTAGTCTTTATTGAAGATGTATATATGAAATTTCAGCTTTTATCTTTAAGGGTGTAGAAGAGTTTTAAACATGCCCACGGATGGGCGGACAGAGTGAAACTAATAAGCACTTTTTTTTAGCTTCTTGTAAAAGAGTTTTAGTGTCAGAAAACTTTTTGAGTTGCTTTTTGAGTTGAGAAAATGTTTTTTTCTGATATTTTTTTCTAGAAAGTTTTCCTGTTATGCAATGATCATTGCAAGATTTGAAATGCAAACAATTTTGACTTTGTTTTTTTTTTAATTCCAAACCTATATTTTAAAAGATGTGGAAAAATAGTGAATTTTTAATTGATCAATAATACAAAAATTAAAGTTTCAGTTTTTGAAAACCACTGTAAGCAATATCAATGTGTTAAAACGGATTTATTGTATAAAATATTAGTTACAGTTTTTGAAAATATTGAGTAAGTTTTTTTAATATTGAAACATTTTGCTGACTGCCGTTTTCGAAATTTTCGAGTTCTTAACTTTTACCTCTTGTCACAAAGTTTTGGAGAAAAGTTTACCTACATATCTTAGCAAGTGTGTAAGTTTCTATACATACTATCGCAAATTTAACTGACGGCGTTTAAATAATTTAAAATCGTATTTTATAATTGGCGATTTTTTTGACATCTTCGGTTTTCCATGTACATATGTGTAACATTATAATATATTATATTCAATTTTGACAGATGATTTTGACATTTCTCTGTTGTTAACAGTTGAAATCGACTATTGTTTTCGTTCTACGCTTTGGTTCTTTTTTTTACACTGACACTTTAATTCAAAGCTCTTTGTCATAAATAAAAAAAAGATATAAACTTACGTTACATGTAAAAATATATGGATAAGAAAACGACATATTAAACAATATCGTTTTAGCATAAAGTTTTTTTTTTTACAATGTTGATTGATAAATTCAGATATACCATTAATATACACGTTACGACGAAATTATTGATTAACGCTACTAGTGTTAACCACTAATGGTTCAGAAAACCCAATAAAACGTTTTCAAACCTTTATTTACCGAAGTAAACTGTTCATACAAAATCTATTCTTTCCAATGTCCTATAACGAAACCTATTCTCTTCCTATATTTTTACAATAAAACTACGAAAATCTGCAGTGCTGCCATTAGTAATTGGTAAATTATAAAACGAAGATTATTTATTTGGTCGACTGTCACTTTTCATGACACCATTGAACCCATTAAAGTCAAATGGGCAAATCTGTTAAAGTATTTTGTTGGAAGTATTGCAGAAGCAAGTATTGAGGTGACCGTCTAACATTTATATGATCAGTTAATGTATCTACAAAATATGTTTCTGCCCATTCGATTTCAATCGGTAGAATGATATTTTTATGGAAATTGACCGTCAACTTTTTTGATTGATGATCTCTTTCCATAAAAATTCAACTCATTAGAATTAAATGGGCTGAACGGTATTTGTATTATATGTTACCTTCCAGCTTATATATCAATTACAATTTTTTCAACTATGTATTTGATTGATTGAAAACTGAAAATGAAAACAAAGTCTAACAAAATAAATAATTTTTGTTAAAAGTGGAAACGCATTGACGAAAAGCAAAAGTCAAGTTAAATTTGAAAGACAAATTAAATTTACAAATTTCAATCATCTGGGAACTCTAAATTACCTTTGACATATTTTCCGGCAAGAATGACATTTTAATAAATTAAAAAAATAAAAAAAAAATTGTTTGTAAGCTCTAGCTTTATGTATAATAAATTTCTTAAATAAATGTAGGCAAAAAGTATGGATTTATCTCCAGAATTACTATTTTTTGATACATTTTCACATGAAGCGAATGAGGTTAGTATAAATAAATTTAATTTGAAATCTTAAAACAATATGGCTGTGTGGCCAATTTCAGGATATAAATTTAGATTTGGTTCAGTTTCCTAAGCCTGTGTATATTACAGAAGTCCGAATAATTCCTCTTGGAGCACGAGTCCAAGCAGACTTTCCAGGTTAGAGAAAAATATGGAACAGCATTAAATTTCTAAAACATGTTTTGTAGGTGGTGTTAGATTAGGTGCGACTAACCCTTCAAAGTTTGATATAGAATTTTTTGTTAATGACCTTGGAAAACCAGGTGCATCTACTTTTGAGATTTTGGGAAGCTTAGAATACAATCAAAATAACTGCATACACTTAGAATGTCCTGATGATAAAATACCTACCGACGGTCTAGTATTACGTGGTTGGTATTCCACTATAACGTTAGCTGTGTATGGAACACTAACAAAAAATTTGGCAGAACAAATTGCCAGTCCGCAACACACACCAAGTGAGCCAACACAAGAAATTATTGAGGAAACCCCCGCAGAGCCAATAATTCCAGCAGCAAGTATTGAGGTTAAACCAATTCCACTGGAATTGCAAGAGCCCAGTTTTGAAGAACCACCCTGTGCAGAACCAAGGGAGCCGAGAGAACCAGTTCGATCCTTTAGCGGTGGTCCAAACGAAGAAACCTTTTTCGATTCACCAAGCAGGGAATTATGTTTAAATAATAGCAATCGAATTGAACATGAAAAACGTTCACGAACTTACTCTGACAGTAATGATCGTGAATACAACAGCTCAAACACATCTAAAAAACGAGAGTGGTCTCGAAGTCCTGAGTATAGGCATTCCAGACGTAGAAGTGATAGATCTCGCAGAGACAGTGATACCCGTGGAAGTAGTGGTGATCATAAAAGGCCAAGAACTCCACCTCAACTAATAGATTCCCCCCCTTCTGCACACAGAGTACAGTCACCGGATGATAATTGTGATGCAGACGAGATATTTGATAGGTTTAAATTTTTTTTTTCTGAAAAATTTAAATATTTTTGAATCTATTATTACAGACAAAAGTTGAGAGAAAAATCTCGCGAAAAGTTATCACCAGAAAGTCAAGCTCTAAGCGAGGCAAACCCAGATGAACCTTTGGAAGTTCGATCACTTGATGGTGATGAAATATCGGAACAGTTTGAACCAATTCTTAGTGATGATGAAATTTTGGGAGATGACAACAGCGCCGGACAAGATGATGACATGGATATTGATGAATCTGAATTCGATAACCCTGTAAAAGTTTTTGATCCTTTCAAAATGCCAATAAATGTATTTGAATGTAACTTAAAAGAAACGTGCGCAAGTAAGATTCAATCTATTAAGAAAGTGATTGACAAATTTCAAAATCAGGAAAAACTTGAAATAAGAGAATTTGTGCGACAAAGTGCAGACGAGAAAGAAACGTTTGTTAATTTATGTGAACTCTTAATTAATAACCTTATGCAAATTAACCAGCTGTCATCAAAACAACGTAATTTTGTAATACATAATGCTTTCCAGGATGAAAGCGTTTTAAAATTAATGGGAAAAATTTTGCGAATTTCTTTAAACTTCGAGTGTGCATGTTCACAAATGCAACCAGGATATAAAATTCGTCATATTAAAATTGGGCCACGTCTGGTGGAATTAACCTTATTTTCACAACATGTACTAAAATTTATTATTGAAAAGGAATTTTTAGATCCTTACAAATATTTATTTGACCTTTATCATCAAGATCATATGGCTTTATCCATTAAACTTATTATATTAAAGGCAATTTACTCCGTTCTCGATTCAAAATACGGTGTTCAAAATTTCTTAAGCAACAAAGCGAATGGGTATCAAAAAATATTGTTAATTATGCAAAATAATCCGTTAACTAGATTGAAATTTGCTCTTAAAGCTATAGTTAAGAAAATTAATTTGTTTGAAGCTTTGGAGACTATTCGAGATCTTGTAACGAAACATTTTGTGTTAACTAATCACATCTCTAATGGCTTAGAAGATTTCCAAATTTTGGACGCTTGTTTACAAGAAGTAACTCATGCGCTTAATGATAGCGCTTTAAGTTTTCAACAACCAAAGCGATTTTTACCTTCTAATAAATTTGAATTTCATAAGGATCAATCGGCTATGCGTAGTTGGTCTTATATGTTGCAATGTTATTTTCGGGAACACGCGTTATCGGAATCTTTACTTTTGATTATAACAAACCAAAATTATATCTCCCCGAATGTTCTTACGACCGCTTTAAATTTATTAAGCGAAATGGTTAAGTGTCAAGTTGGCATTGATTACCTTGTAGATTACAGTTTTGAAACCACAGAATTACTCATTAAATGTTTGTTAGGATTAGAAGATGAGTATCCCGCAATAGATGAAGTATCACAAAATGAAAAAATAGACGTCGACTCAGTAATTTCTCCTCAAATTCAAGAGAGTGAAAACAGCACTGCACAAGAACCAATGGAAACGGAAGATAGTGGAAAAAGTGAGGAAGGTAAAGGTGAAGAAAACACGGAAACCCCAAAGGTATTAAGCATAATTAGTTTTATTAATTTTTTCTTACGTGTTGTTTGTACTCCTAGGCAGTTGAACCTTTGGAACCGGTAAAGGAAAAATCACCTGAAATATTACTTCCAATTAGACTAACACATATCCAAAAATTAGGAGTTGAAATAGCTTTTAAAGTACAAACGCGTTATCACATTGACGCAATTACTAATAACCCAACGAATGTTGATATTCTTTGCGAACATCTTCATGCCTTATACAGCCAAACCTGCAGTCATTACGGAAGGGTTCACACAACAGAAGTTTTGGGATTTAGTGGAACAAATTTAATACCATTCCTTAATTTAATTGAAAAGGAACGCAAAATACAAGCTAAGCGACAATTAGATTCCCCAGGTGCAAAGTATAAATCACCAGTTCTGAGTTATTCGGTTGATCTTCTAGATGTTTTTGTGCGAAATTGTGCAAATTTAGATTATTTAATCGATCATGGGCAGATATTATTAGATTTTGTGAAAAATCATGACGTATTTGAACCATCAGTTTCAGCTGTTTTACAAGAAATGGCGGTATATTTAAAGCCTTTAGAATTAATCGATAACTTCTCATATGGAGGCGACATAAATGCACTTTCTGACTTAATAAAACGAAGTATAGAATATATCACAACTTTCCCAGGGGATTTAATAATGGTGTTACGCATTCTTAAACATTTAACACTTGGAAATGTCAGAGATTCTTTTGGTGAAACAAAAGAGCTAAAATTAAAGTATGTCTTGCTACAATTTTATTCAGCTGATGGAGTTGTAACATTTTTGAATATACTAGAGAAATTAAATAACTATTTTGAACAACCTGGTTTGCATGGACCCACTCTAATGACGATCCAAGGTGTCCACACCTGTCAAGTATTACTGCCAGTAGTACAAATTTTACGGGAAATGCTTACATTTGTTATTGAATGCCGCGACACAAGTTTTAAAGATGTTACCGCTATAGAACATCTAATGAAAACGTACTTTCTAATGCATTATTTTCCAGAACGCAGCCAAGCATATGATGATGCACAGAAAATTCGTGCTGAAATTATTAAAATTTTCTTAGCATATACACAGCCAAATGAAGATGAGCACATTAGGGGAAGCTTGTGGACCCAAATGATTCGAGAAGTTTTAAAATGTATTCGAAGCGGTCCATCAACTTTTATACCTGGTTTACAGGTTTTAGCTGAACTTTTACCGTTGCCCTTACCTGTATCGGTACTTAAGGCACTGACTGAGGAAGAAACGCAACGTTTAATTATGAATCGTAATTTATGGTCAGCTCACCTACATCCCGAAAGCGCAAACTTATCGGAATTAATTCAAACATTATGTCCAACAACCTTTCCTCAACTTTCAGATTTATTAACAAGAGTTTGTTTGCAGTTGGCCGATCTAGCACCAAATATGACTTTATTAGTTTCAAAAACAATTTGCGATATGATTGTAGCGGAATTCATGGTTAATTGTACAGATGGTGTAGGATCAGCACATTTGGCTAGATTACTGAATTTTATGGCTCAGCTAACATGTTATGCGGCCGTTAAAATTTCTGCGCTTTCTATTTTCCCTGGAAAAGTTTCAGAAGCTTTTTTGGCTCTTTTAAACAAATCTGATAAAAGGGATTCCCATTTACTTTGTCAAACTACAATTCATCGAATTTTTGAAAATTTTTTCGATTCTGAAATTTCAATGTTTAATACTAATAATGCTCTAAATAGTAACTTGGATACCAATTTAGCAAATGCTTTACCGTCAAAGGAATTGATTCCGGATATAGCTAATGCTGTAATGATGAGTTTACTTAATAGTGACCCAGAAAATTCAGTGTCAGCCTTAAGAAATTTGATTATTTTAACAGAACATGAGTAAGTAAAGAGTTTGTTGTTAAATAAGTTTTAATTTATCATTGATAAAGCTAAATAAGCCACGCATGAAAATTGAAATTTCATATTAGCATAATATTGTCACATACATAAATTTGAATATGTATTCAAGTATAATATTCGCAATAATGCAATCAATAAATCCAAAATTTATTAAATTTTAAAAAATGTCGAAAGATATTGAATAAACAAATTTAAATAAAAATCAGTGACTAAATACCAACCATGTATTCAGATACTACTTTTTGCTATATGTTCCCACATATTGCAAAAAAGTAGCTTTCAATTTTAATTTATGTATATTAATGTCTAATATAAAGACAACAGAATATAAAAAAATAAAAACATAATTTATATACATATATAAGTATGTATGTATCATAGAAAATTTTCATAATAATATAGTAGTATTGAATAATAATTTATTTTGTATTATTACATGTTGATATCGAAAGAAAACGCATACAATATTAACCAAATTCATGCACAAATGTGGCTATGGGAGACGAATTTTTGAAATTATTAATTTTTAATTTAATTTTTACTATATCTCTATTATAATATTTTTTAGTATAACATTTTACCATTTGAGGCAAATATTAATGAACAAAAAAGCGGATTTAAATCAGTGGATGATGAATTTCATTAGTTCATTTGAAAATTCTTCTGACAAAATGTCTTCAGCAATAACTTTTGTGTTGTTTTTAAGAAATTTAGTGATAATTGATGAGCCTACACTTGAATTATCTGTTCCTAGCCGCACATTAAAATTGGCTTATTCTGAACTGAAAGTTTTGGTTTGTTCTCTTGAGTTAGTTCCAGAGGAAAATCCACTTAATAAATTGAAAGTCATATTTGAAAGTAAAAATTTAGAAGAAGAAATTAACGAATTTGAAAATGTCATTCAAGACTTAAAAGATTTAATTGAAAAATTGGAAGATGCAAATCAAATAGATCGTTCCGAACAATTGTCATCACCATGTGAGCCAAATTTGCAGCATGCTGAAGGTATTGTTACGCAATTTCTGTCGAGACAAATATTTACTGTTTGTGAAAATGTCGACGATGTTCAACTTAATTCAAATTACTGGCTTGAACCGTTGCGTTTAGATGAAATTCCTGAAGTCTCCGATTCCGATCGGGTGCACTGTAATTTAGGTGAAGTTATTTCAACATGTCTGCCACCTGAAACAAATCTGTCTTCTGACTGCAAACGCATTTTACACTTATCAGCATCTCCTCAATCCAATCGAGAACGCACTGCGACAGCTCCATGCTTTAGAACACGGCGTGTTGAGGTGGAACCGCAAACTGGAAGACCTGAAAAGAAAAAAATCTATATTTCACCGATGCGTGCCCGTGGTTTTCCCCGTGCTCCTCCTTCACGAGGCGATTTGTTTCGCTCCAGGCCACCAAACACGTCAAGACCACCTTCGTTACATGTCGATGATTTTCTTGCTTTAGAAACATGTGGCGCTCAACCAACAGGGCCAACTGGATATAATAAGTTATCTAGAGATATTATTGGCATAAGGGGTGTAAGAGGAGGAAGAAATCGTGGTAGATTAGGAATCGGAGCCTATAGGTTTGTTATAGCTGCTATATATTTGTTTTTGTATGTACATATATATTGTGTTGATTTTTTATATAGAAAAATTGGTGCATATCCTAGAGGAAATTATACAAATGTGGTAGTCGTTACAGCACCACCGCCACAACACTTTAGAACAGCTACGTCAGAACCAGTTGTAACACAACACTTTCCTAATGATCAACATCCTCATTTTAGTGCGGTTCCGATCAGATCAAGAGGAAGAGGACGTATTAGGACTTTCTTAAGATAAAATATTTTTAATTATATTCTGTAAATGTCCATTTTTATTTTAAATTTTAGAACTCATAATTCTCTTTGTTTTTAAAGATTATGTAATAAAATTTTAGGTATCTCTTTTTTCAACAAACCTATTTTGATTTTTTTAGTTTTAACATTCTTGGCTTTATAAAAATTTCCAGTATACAACAACACGCCGAACCCTACTCTTGAATATATTAATATAAAATTGTTAAAAATGTTGTTCAAAACTATTTTTATTATTCTTACTTAAGTTTACTCCCTTTACCATCTGTATTTCGAATTTAAATAAATCTTCAATTGAAAACGAAAATTTTCATTTTAGCTTTGATTACATAATCAATTTTTTATTAAATGTCTTAACCAAAAAGAAAAAGCACCAAATATTTAACTAATTTTTTTCTTTTACAAGTATAATTAATAATTTTATATGCCTATTAAATATTACTAAGTGATCATAACTAAATAGTCAATATTTATCGTTGACTAGATCCGATATACCACCAACATGAATATTTAGTATAGGCTTTTCCAAATCCATCAATGGTGGAGTTTTTGAATTCTCCTCAGATAAGGAGAAACTATGTATGTCTAAATTTAATGCACTCGTATCTGATTGAATATGTTTGTCTTCGATAAGGGAATGGTTTAGATTCAATATACAATCCGTCTTAAAACTGTCCATAACATAATTCACATCAACATTTAAAAATTTCATAGCATCATATGCCGATGACGTTGTTACATCATTTATATGATCCGTTGTCGGTGAAGTTGTTGTTTCTGATGACGATGCGTGTAAATGAAGTTGTTGACGTTGTGCATTGCTGCGATCTTCTAGATTATTTTCTGATTCATTTATGTTCGAATCTGAATTACTTAACTTCAATGATGTATCCGAACTTATTGTGTTACTGATTGTATTTTGTAAATTTATTTGACATCCTTTAGACGTTGCTGAAAGTGATGTCGTTTGAAATGAGTTATTATTGCTATTAGTGTTATGATTATCATTATTATTGTTTTTAGGATTATTATTATTATTGTTATTATTATTATTATTATTATTATTATTATTATTATTATTACTGTTATTGTTATTACTATTACTGCTGTTACAATTTGATGTTAATGTTGGCGGGGGAAATGTTGTCCATTCCATTGATAAACCATTTGTACCCCGTTCTAAACCAATATGATCAATATTTAAATTTAAGAATATATTTGGTGATATACGTGTAGGTGAAAGTGAACCAAAATTGATATTTTTTGGATCAGAATCCATAAGTGAATTTGATTGGGGTGGGGTTTCAGGAAGTAAAACATTGTTTGTAAAACTTTGCAGACAATCTAAAATTTTAAAAATATAAACAAAGAAATTAGTTTCAGTAAGTTAACTAATAAGAAAGTTCAGATAAATACATACATATGTACATGTGTATTTATGCATAGGTGTATCTACATATACATAAGTATGTACATAAGTGAATTCAATATAGACTACAAGTTCCATTGTACTTATAGAATGCGATTCACAAGTTTTGCGTTTAAACTAAATTAAGTATGTATGTATATTATGAATTTTACTAATACAACATCATAGTTGTGAAATTAATAAGTATGTGCTTATTACACTAATAATTTAACAACTGCAGAACAGATGCATGAAGAAATTTCCATTAAGCTAAATTAAGTAATTTATTCTTCGGATTGAAAAATATAAATGCATGACGAAATTGACTATTCTCATAATATTTTTTCCACATTAATATTATTATACTAATCTCAAAATTAATATGGAAGGGAAGGCAGCTCGAGGTAATAAGCCTTAAATTTTTTTTCTGATTAAGAATAGTAACGATCTGTTTTTTTTTTTTTTTATTATTTTCCTTAGAAAATAAAGAAATTAAATTCAACATAGATCGTGTAATCCTTACGTAGGAAATCTTTTATATAATTTGACCAACCTACGAAAAACTAAAAACAATTTTCCTTAACTGAAAAACACTTGCAACTCACTTGATGTACTATTTAGAAAACCCTTAAAACTTCGAAAACTTATTCTTCTTATTAAAAATAAGATAGTTTTACTAGAGCGTCATAACTTACTAAACAGACATTTGCATACATATATACATATGTATATGTATGTATGTAGCTATAAAAATATTATGGACTTTACCTGAACTATTTCCTGTACTTCCCAAAGTAAACTCATTTAACGTGTCGGTTGATGTTGAGCCTGTTTGGTGATGTTCTAACATCTGTTGATGGTGATGATGATGATGCTGTTGATGATGATGGTGAAGGATTTGATGTTCTTGTTGATGTTGTTGAAGAGACGGATGTTGACGAACACTGTGATGATCATCTGATGTTGGTGAAGTTGTACCGCCTTTTAGTATATGTTTCTCCTGCTTCCGCCATTTTGCACGTCGATTTTGAAACCATACTTGAACTCTGGCTTCAGTTAAATCAATTCTTACAGCCAATTCCTCTCGGAAAAACACATCAGGATAATGTGTTCTTTGAAATGCTCTTTCCAATTCTTGCAATTGAATTGTATTAAAAGTAGTTCTAAAATGATTTTTTATAACGACTTTTTTCAACAATAGTATTTCTTAACTTTTAATTGACAGAATCATGAAATGAGACCAAGCTAATTCGAATAACTTGAGGTAAGATTTAAAAAAAAATAATAAAAAATACATACATATCTACATACAAAAAACTTGATGAAAATTTGAATTTTTGAAGTGGATTAAATATTTTTGGTTCATATAAATTATAAACATTTCAAAATTCTTACTACGCTTTTCCAACATTCCAATTACATATTTTGAAGGTACTTTGTATTAAAAGTGTTATTGTATTCTTGGGAATTTTTCGTTACGTAATAATATTTGAATTTATTCCCCCAATAAAGTATAAGAAAATATCAGCCCTTTTTGGAAATAACGAACTAGCTAAAACTAACAAAATTACAGAATGTATGTATGTATATGATATGCAGTTTTCAAAATTAGAAACCAAACCACAATATATATGTATGTACCAAAAAACAAAAACCAAGAATTAGAATTTTTTAATACAGTGTAAAATTGCAGAAATCCACAAATTCAGTAAACACACTCCAATACATGTATGTACCTATGTAAATATATATATTTCATACATAATTTCTATAGAGAATACGTCATAATGTGATCATCCTTTTGTCCATTGTACGTTAAAAATTTTTTTGTAAATGATAAAGGTATAACGCATAACTTGTCTTACATATGTAAGTGTTAGTGATATATTTTTTCTGTTACCGTAACTTTTAAACAAATGTTTTTGATAATTTTAAATAAAATCTTATTCTAAAGATTTATGGGAAAAAGAACGAAAATTGGTTTTATTTCATGATATCTGCCGTTCTTATTTTTTGATATTTTATTATGAATAAGTACGTGCCAAAGTTAGCAGGATTAAAATATTTAATACATTTATTTACATACAAATGTGGGTAATTTATACATATTATTTTGTATAATATCGTGTGCTATTGTTATTACCTGTATCTACGTTGTTTTCTTTTCATTTTATCACTGGTGTGCATGTGTGCTGATTAAACCAATGTATGTACATATACTTATATAGGTATGAAAAATTCTAATATGCTCCTGCTGATTATGATTGAAGAAAATATTGGAATTGATTACTTTTGAGACATGTTAGTATGTAGTAGTAGAACGAAAATATTGTTGAATATTTATTATTGTTGTTGAGATTTTCAAAAGCGACAAAGCAACAATAATAGAATACACCGTCACACTTCAAAATGCAATGTTCAATAAACATCAAACTATGACAGTATAAGAAAAACGAATAAAAAAATAAAATTAGAAAATTTTTGTGATAATATAAAATAGGTACTTCGTACGTATAGAATTGTGAACGAAGTGATAAACGTCAATTTTAAAACGAAAACACCAACAACAACACCAGTACACTTTTTAAATGTGAAACACCCTTGGAAGGCTTCATTATTGTTGATTTTTTTTTTCAATTTTTTCTTATGTACTTCTTTTTTTTAAATTTTTATCTTTTACATTTGATCTTTTTATTTTTAAAAATTTTCATTTTATTAAATTGTTCACTTTTGATAAACTTAGTATAATTATTTTCCAAAAAAATCCTTTATCTAAACAATCAAAAAAATAATTTGTGTTAATGCACCGTTATACTTTTACTAACGTAAATTAGAGTCTTTTATTCTAACGTTATGGCACTTATGGCACTGTTACGACTAAAAATTCACCTTTAAGGCAACTATTCTCTTACCGTTGTCATTTTATATTCTACATTCATACATTCATATATTTCTATTCTATATTCTATTCGCTTTTATTGTCATTTTTTGGTATTTACTTCTAAGTTTTTCTCAAATAATTTGTTATTTCATGTATTGGTTTTCTATCGGCAAAAAAAGTGAATGCGTGAAAGCAACCATAAAAGTGCTCCTAGATAATAAAAAATTGTTTCATTTTCTTTTGTAAACGTTAAATATAAATAACGGTAAAGTATATTTATTTCCGAAACTATTGAGTTTTTCTTAATGCTTTTATCCTGCTCGAAAATTTCGTACTGAAATTTTTAACCAACTTAGCACTCAAAAGACTCCTAAAAATACTTCTTAATAAAGGATGAAAAAATCGAGAAGTCTGTTTGAAGAAATTAAATGAAATAAAAAACCTTATTTTAACGGGGAACACAACAAAGTAAGCTTCTGGCATATCAAAATTTTCAACAAATAAAAATAAAAATACCCTATTAAGCAAATATTTACTCTTATTACATCTGACTGTTTTCATTATAAAGGTTTCACTGTTTGTCCAACACTGTTATACTCTTCTTTAGGTATTCAAGTACAATGAGCCAATTTACTGTTGAACAGGGTTGTCGTTTTAGTTTTAGACAAAAAAAAACTTAGTTTTAAGTTTAATAAAACCGATATTCTAATTCTACAAGAATTTTAATGTTGACTTACAATTAACACATTACAAAACCTCTCTGTTTAAGCATAACTTTCCCGATTATATTATCCTTTACTCATTTAATTTCAATCATTCCACATTTAATTGTAGTTAATATATAAAGACATTCATCAAAAAAGAAACTTTTATATCATAATTTAAAAAACAGAAACTTAAATTCATTTAAGGTCAACAGAAATAGTCATGAATTAAATGTAGTCAAAACTCCGCTTGGAGTCAAAACGATAGTTCCTATGAGGTCTACGAGTAGAACAAAAATTATTCAAAACTAAAATAAACATATATGATTATATGAACATATACATATGTATACATGAATATCAGATAATTTTTATAACTTATATGTAAGTATATGTATAACAATGTTTAAATGCAATGTCCAGTTGATTTTTCTTTGTGAATATTTGACGTACAGAATACTAGAATTATGAATTGGGTTCAATACTTGTACCGCGGTTTTATGAGAAAATGGAAAATTATTATCGAAATTTGATAAAAAAGTACTACAAAAAGAAAATTGTAAAAAATAACATTTACCAGGAAAGTGAATGCAAAATTTCAAAAAAAAACTTAAATCACATGCTCTTTTATATTGTATGTATTGCATTAAGTAAAAAAACAAACATACAATCGTAAATAGTTGGAGAAGATGTGAAAATGTATAGAATTTTATTACGTTGTAACTTAATGTGGACGCCTAAGAGAACAAAATTTAGATTTTAGCGATAGTTAATATTATTTGCGAATGCTTAACTCAATACTTTAAAATAAGTAAGCTGGGCCGTATTAGATATTGCAGTTTTTGAAATCCATCAAATTATTGTACGTAATAGATAGCTTGAATCTTTTGCACCCTCTACGAAATTTAATTTTAACGCTTTCTTAAAATTTTTATCTAAATTAATATTATCTAGTTAATATTTTTGTTATTCTTAAACTCGTTTTCTTAGTCGTATCTTCCTTGAAATTTGAAATTTTAATGTTCACCAGTTGATATTAAATTTTAATAAGTAAGAAATCTACAAGCGATGTTTACTTTGTGTTCCTTAAAAAATGTAGGCACACGACTTTTAAATACGAGTATTTAAACTGTTATTTACAATATATTTGAACATACATACGTACAATATTTAGCATTTGTATATGTATATATACTCATATACACATATATGATATAACTTATATATAAAAATATAATATATTTTTTATTTTGTACGAATCTCACAAAAAAAATTCAAAGATATACATGTAGTTTATAGTATTCCGAAAATATAGAAAATTCATATATATATACTTTGTATGTATGCTATATTATTTTCATGTATTCATGAGTACATAGGGAAAAAACATAAAACGAATTACAATTTAGGATAGTGCCATTTACTCATTACATTTTCAGTAGTTTAATTTGAATTTTTTCTACATCACATTGATATGAAATCGGATTTAAGTATAAGAAAAACAAAACAACTATACCTTCATGACTCTAATGGACTCGAATCATTAATCCACGGATAATATTTAATGTTATAATATCAAACCACTTTGATATACGACCAAGTTGGTTTACATAATATGTAAATTGTGTTTACTTTTAGTCTTTTTTTAAAATTCAAATTATATAAACCTTCCAGTACTTCAATCAAAAGTATCAAACAATGATTTTTGTAGTAGGACATTTCAAACAAAAACGTGCAATGAATACTACATATTTTAGGATTAAGAATGTAAGCGAAATATTTTCTTTTTTTGCTTTTACCCATATTTCCAGACTGTAGTCTCATTATTTGTTTGTGTAATCTTAAGACTTTGTACTCTAATTATGTCTTGAGACTTTGTACTCCAATTTGGGCGCAGTTCTTCCTTAAAATTCCAGAGTTAATATATGGGTTCACAATATTTTTTTCTCCCGGTTTGATTGAATTTCTTGTAAATAACGACCAAGCGTTGAATGCGGAATTAATTTAAAATAAATAAATTACCTGCAAAAAGTATTGTTCCTTATTGTAAACTGGAAAACCTAAAATTTGGGTGTATATTATTTTGAACTTAAATTTTATACATTTCTCAGTAGTGTATTTCAATTCGTTTATAATATTTTCTGTTTTATAAGGGGTGTAATGAGTACAATGAGTCACAGTAAAGTTTTAGTGTACTTGTAGGACTTTCGTGCACTAAAACTTTTGAAATCAAATTAAAATAATTTTTTAATTTTACTAATTTTCAAGAATATTACACTGTATTAACTTATCACACTAATATATAATTAAAGGTCCTGTTTAATTCTATTTTATTTGATTATTTCGATCACATTTATGCTACAAGTTTTTCAATTAATTCTGTTATTAAAATCGTTCTAAAATAACCACGCACTTAACAACTTAAAGGTTATTGTAATACTCCCAATACCGAAATTTATTTTGAACATTTTTAGAAGAATTATATTCACACTTAACTCCTTTGAATGAATTAATAAATTTAAAACAAAAATTCAAATAATTTGTACATGCATGTGATATGTAAATAATATAATCTATACATATGTACATACATATGTAGTATTTAAACATTTCAAATGGAAAAAGTAGTTTACCCAGAAATCTATAAGATATAAAATTTGAACATCTAAATTTGAATAAAGAAACCTTTCGAACTATAAATTTAATAAACTATTATTAAATAATTTAAATTTATAGTACTTGGGCTCCAAAATTCACTAAGTATACATATATTTTGAAGAAGAAGAAACTTGCATAAGCGCTCATCATTTTTCACTACAAACTAATAAAGTACGTTATTAATATCGAATCTATGCTAATGAATGATTCAAAAGTGAAATTATGAATTATAAAGTTCTTCGAGCACAGAATTATTACTTAAAAAAATTAAAGACTATATAACTTAAAATTTACCATTATCTAAAATCCGTGTTTTCCATATTACCCCAGATTGTAAAAGTCTGAAATTTCAACGACTTTTAATCACTAATAAATATTTCATTTCGATAGAAATAAATTTTTTTCCATCTCTACCCCCTATTAAGTTATCGTCCCTCGAAATTTGTAACATTTTATATTTGGCATCTTATATTTTCGAAACTGCATGCTTTCTCAAATTTCTATAAATGCTGAAAGCTAATGGTAAATGTCATACAATTAAAATATATAATTATCTTTCTTAACTCAAGCAATTAACTCTTAAAATCGAGCATTATAATATTAACGCCTCTTTAAAAATTTTTTTTGTTTTATTTCAGAGACTGCATAAATTGTTCATAGTAAATGTATGCAATCCTTGAAATAGTTTCATATATTAATAAAAGTAATTTTAATAATGTACGTTAATACACAGCTAGATGGTGTTTAAAAGCGGTATTTTCATTTTTTGAAAGGAAAAGTGCTACATTACAAACCATTGGTTAGACCTAACTTTATATTTTTTAATATACATAGTTCTACTTTAAAGTGTTAAAATTTAACACACAGTCACACTGTTACGATTGAGCGAAAATATGTATATGAATGTATAATGCACATACTGTGAAAATGTCTGTCCTAAAACAAAAACAAAAACAAAAAATAAATAACGCTCACAAGAAAAGTGAAGATAAGTATAAATATATTTTAGGGACTTATTGCTCAATCTTGAACTCTCAATATAACGAGTTTTGTTCTTTTGGGGAGACACAAATGGTTTCTACCTAACTTTATTCTGTGATTTATTCTTATATTAGTCAGTTTAGTTGCTCAAAAAAGCATAGCTTTAATTTACATGACCTATTTGATTGTGATAATAACCTTAAAGTATTTTTATGATTTTATGGAAAGTTGCTTTATAATTTAGTTTTTTTTCACTGTTGAATTTAGTTTTCTCAAATCTACACAGATATGTCCAAACTATAGTTAACATGTAATCCTTTTTAACAGAGTTTATTGCTTGTGTTAATTTAAATATGAATATGTATATTGAATTGACCTTAACCCTGAAAAACTAAATGAGGTTTGCACATCCATGTGTAAATGTACTAAACGTTAATAACAATACGGTTTAATGTTACTAGAACCCGAAGAAAAATAATCTTAAAATAGCAACATTATTTTATTATGACGAAGTTTCTCATTCTAACAATACAAAATGTAGAAATCCTGTGAAAGAACGTTTATTTTATTTACCTTAATTATTATTATTTGGATATGATTTTTAAGAGAAATATAATTTTTTTTCTTTTCTAAGGTGATAATATGTAAGTTTTCTTGTTTTAACACCTTAATAATGTGCGTGGTCAAGCGAAATGAACAAAGGGGGAGAACAAAACAAAATAAAATATTAAATGAAAATTCATAGAAACGTCTATGGTCACACATCCATTGTTTTTTTAATAAAAATATTATATTTTATTCCTATATTTCATTTACTAGAGTTCCCTTTACTAAAAAAGGAAAATAAGATTTTTTCTCCGCTATTTTTGATTGACGGAAATTGAAACCTTTCATTGTTTTTATTCCACAAAAATATCAAAACAAGTGTGGGAAGACATGAATTGTTTTATACATTCTCCGTTATTCTTATTAAAATTATGTTTACACTGGACATTGCAAAATTTTTAAAAGTTGGACATATCATCAGTTCCTATGCCGCATGTTAGGTGTAATAGGTGATAAGTTTTAAATTCCTTTAAAAGTACGAGTATGTACAGTCAGCATAGCAATGAAAATATGAATAAGAGTAAAATTAAACCGCTTACAAGAAGTTCCTTATCTAGAATTATATCAATTTTTAAGATATTTACGTCTGTTACAAAAAAAAAATTCAGGGCGCTTCAGATTTAACTCCAGTTTAACATATTTGACAAAATAAAATACGGTCATCAAAAATGCTGCAACGCTTCGTTTCAATGTTTTATTTATTTCCTTTATAACATTTATAAATGAAGAAAAAATTCTACTACCACTATAATTGTTCAATTACTGTGATTTAGTGTGACTACAAACCTCAATAAAATAATTCGTGATTTTAATAAATTATATTAAAATGCTTGTGTCGACATCAATAATCTGCAAAACTTATCAATTTTCAGCTTTCCCATCACATGATTTTTTGAGAGTCTTAAGTCTCTGTGATATTTTTATTAATTTGGGTATATTCCAAATCAAACTTAATAACTTATTTCTCTATAGCAGTTATTTTTTTTCAAACTATGTGGCTTCTATAAAAAATTTTAAACTAGAAATAAGTTATTGGAGCCATGAAAAAAGAGCCGGTTAAAGCTCAATGATCAACTAGGATAGTTAAAGTTAGCTTCTTTAACTATAGGTTATGTTTTTGTTGTGATAGTGATTTCAAAGTGATGAAATGTTGTGGTTGATGCTGAAGAATTAATATGTTCATATTCCCTTAATATGTTTCTAAAAACGCAAATGAAAACAAAGCATAAGACCACTTAAAATAGCTTCTTAAAACACTTCTGTACTAGTCGACTCTGACAAATTTCGAATATTCTTCAATTATATATTTTATAGGTACATACTTATACAAAAAGAAAATATTATTTTCTTTAATATAGAATCTACTGTTAAACTCGTATTAGATTCTTGTCTTTATAAACAATGAATTTTACCAATTTTGAATGCGAAAATAAAATAATGACAAGAGAAAAACACCTTATGACGTGTGCTATCCTCCTTTTTTTTTCTAAATCTCATACTTTTCATAAAATAAAAAAAAATAAATTTTTATATATTGCTATACATATTTATTTTTGTTCTTATTATTCTTAATTTATTATGAATGAAATTTTATTAAATTTTTCGTTGTTTTCTCACCTATAAAAGGTCTCAGTACATTCGGTATTTTTATCAGTGTTGTAATAATGTCCAAGTGGATAAGTTTAATTACTGTACATTACAAAATTTTATTCAATGGGAATAGAAAATGTTGTTAAAATTCGATTAATTTATTCAATTCATCGAATTCAATTTACCTGTGAACCCGTTGAAAATCCTATTCTATCCGTACTCTACTCACTAAAAGCTCAATAATAAAAACTATTTTAACAAAAATGCAATTAATAACAGTTTTTTCATGGATTATTGGAGTAATAGTAATGAAATCAACTACAATTGTTGTATGTAAAATGAAACAGGAGCAACAACAAAAACAGCAGCATAAATTTTTAGTACAAAGTGACAATCGAATTTTATCATCAGGTTTTCCAGAATTCTTATTAGAATTTCAAAGAAATTCCATTAACAAAAATAATAACTACAACAATAAGGATCAGAATATCGGGGGATATATTAGTAATAGTGAAAAAATTAATGGTTTAAATAATAATGTTAATAAAATAAATATTGAAGATAATTATAAAAAAAATGGTGATACTAAAGTAATAATTGATGATCCGGGCAAGAATCATAAATTTAAATTTATTGATAATAATTTTGATAATGTTAATGTTGAAGGTGATATTGACAATTATGACAATAGGATCAGTATTGATACCATGAGAACATCGTATAATGGAAATAATCATAATAAAAATCATTTTAATAATTTAAATGACAATATCAGCATATGTAAAAATACATTAAAGCAAGCATTAGCTGATTATGATGATTTGGAACAAATGTAAATATAACTTTACTTGTATACAATATTTATATAAGAGTTTAAGATCGGTATTCATTGCCCGGTATTAGTTTCTAATGCGCCTAAGAAATCTATATAGTTGACTAAAATATGAACTTTGGGAAATTTTACCGTAAATCTCGTATAAACGAGTTTTGTAGTTCGTATTATTCTCTCAACTATATGTTGTAATTAGCATTATATATACTTGTCCTTGTGGTTACTAAAAAAAAATAGATAGAAAAAAGATACCACATAATTGACACGATCAACTCAGTTCTAGTTTTCTAGCACTATTCCAAAAAAAAATTTGCTTATTAGTCCATTCATCCGTCTGTTCTTCCATTCGTTCTTCCGTTCTTCTGTTAGTGTGTCTGTTCATACAGACAGGAGTCCGTCATCTTAGCAGCTTTTAGACAATAATAAATAGTTCATTTCGTTAGAAGCAATTTTTTTACATCTCCATCCCCTCTCTAGTTATCGCCACTCGAAATTTTTAAACTTCTAATTTTCGGCAGTATATACTTCTAAGACTGGAAGTTTTTCTAAATTTCTATAAATGGTTTTTCTAAATTTCTATAAATGGAAATTTCTATAAATAACGGTAAACGCCACGTAATCAAAAAATATAATTATTCTTCTCAACTCACAAAATTATCCCTTAAATTCGAGCATTTTGTTAACGTCTCTTTGTTTAACATATTTCAAAGATTGCATACAGTGCTCATTCCAAATGTATGCAATAAGGTGAAAAAAAGTTTTCTTCCGACGAAACAAACTCTAAATTCGTATCTATAATCTGCTTAAATTTCAAGCTTAACGTACTGTATAGACGAAACCCGATATCAAAAACTTGAAGCAAAAAAATAGGTTTCAGATGACGGTTAATTTTAGTAGTCATTTCATCTTTCTAATAACTTATGCTGCGACGCTATAGAAATATGAAATTGGAGCTTTCCATCTTCAAAGATTTTGTAATCAGGTCCACGAATCGGACGGACGGGCAAGGTGAAACTAATAAACTAAAAAAAAAACGAAATGGAAATTAATGGAAGACGAAATAACCTGTGTATATAATTTTTAAAATTATTTTAATATTATCAAATTCTCAAAATAAAATTTTGAAGATTTTATAATATTTAAATCTTTTTTATTTTTCTTTTTATGTTTTGTGCTTATTGTTATTATGTTTATTTTGTTCCCAAAAGAAAAAAATTCGTTCATTTGGCTTCATGCAACTTTATTTTTTATAAGTATATTAAGATACATATATAATATATGTATGTACATACATATATTATATATATGCATTCCTCATATTATATTTACTTATTATATTTACTTATTTTTATGATTTATTTATTATAACGTTCGTAATGGCCTAAAACTTTTTATCAAACCCTACCCTAAGTTTAATAATACATACATACATATGTATGTAATTAAATTAGAAATATTTGCCAGTGGTGAGAGATTTTTCTATAACAAATTTGAAAAATTTAATAAACTAATATCTCGCTTTTGAAGCAACTTTGCAACACTAAATATTATAATAAAATTGTAATGTACAATATTAAGTAATTTTTTTCACAGTTTTAAGAAATCTGATTTACAAAACAGTAATTTTGATTTAGAAGAGCTAATGAATACATCTGAAATAACGCAGATTAATGAAAAACGAGGGAATGTTGCAAATGGACCTGGCTGTGATTGCCAAATCAAAGTAATTGCACATATGAACTAATTTTTTTAATATGTATGTAAAACAAAAAAAAAATTCCAATTTACAGAACGATTTAATTGATCTTGGATACCCCCATTATCCAAGATATTTATTTAATGCAGTTTGCCAAGATAGTATTGGTAATCCAAGCATGGGCTCCTCAGATGAACATAAAACTCATTCCAAACGCTGTTGGCGTGGTTCACAATGCAAGCCTGTTGAATACAAAGTAAGAGTATTAACATATAGAACAAGGGCTGATAATATGGAAAAAGTGAGTTATTTAAATTAAAGTTTAATTAGAATTTAGTAAGCAATTTATGTTCCCTTGAGTAATACTATAATTTTTATAATGACAGCGCACGTACATATATACATACATACATACATACATATTTATGACAAAATTTGTTAGTTTATAAAAGGAAAAAATTGCGTACTTTAAACAAATACTTAAAACTTTATTAAAAAATGGGGGTCAGTTTATTTCAACAAGTTTTTATCAGGAAATATTACTTTTTTGTTAAATAACTATTCATAAGTGTAGAAGTAATATCTATATTCATCTTATCAGAAATTTTATTTTTAGGATTACACCATGTCATTGTTACCAGATGTGTTAAGGTCTGATTGGAAATGGAAAACTGTTACAGTTGCAGCTGGATGTTTTTGTTCATATTAAACAATATTCAAAAGCATGTATACAAATGAATTCATATACTCAAAAATATATTGTACAAAATACTTGTACAACGATGCTGTAGGACTTATTATTTGGATATTTTATAGAAATTTCAATTTTTGTAATTTTTTTTTAATATAAATTAAAATATTATTAAATTTATGTGATTTTAATGTGAGGGGCTTGTGAAAACCAAATAAAAAAACAACATATTAAAATATATCAATAGTGTAACCAAATTCAATAAAAATCTTTAATCAAAATTTATAATGTAAAATTCAATACTATGCAACAACAATATGTACATATTATATTTATGTATACTTTTCAACGTATATAAATTATTGTGATGTTTATATTGTAATATTGAAAATCTTTAAAATTATATATATATATTAATCTAAACGCAAAATATATATTACCGTTTAACAAACTCGCATTAATTTTTTTTATTTAGTTTAATTCAAGGTCATTAAACCGATTTATTCTAAAAATATGTAGCTTGGAACTTTCCTCCTATTCCTTTAATATTGAACGTAACCAAACGAATTGAGCGATTTTGGTTACCAATTGTTGTTTTAGTCGCATCTTCCGCAATTGATTGCAAAATCAACTATATTTAGTACTAAGCAAAAAGTTCTAACTGATATTTTACGCTTCTAAATTAGAAACATTATCATAGCGGTTGATACTTTATTGTATATTGATAGTCATTTGATATCTAAATTTTACCCTTATCAAAATATTCTTTAGTACTATTGTTCAACTAAATCATTTTTTCTTTACTTACTGTATTCCGGGCTGCGTTTTTTTATTCCTGATTAAAGCTTTATATTGTACAGTTATTTTAAATTTAAAAAACTTTTGGTAAAAATTTCAAAACCACACAAAAAAGCGGTTAGTAGAAAAAGCTTTACAAAGTCTTCCGTTTGTAGAATTAATTAACATAACTCTAATTTGTTTACTTAAATTCTGTAATCCAGACTTTATTTAATCCAAGTTTACTCCAAGTCTACAAGATGAGAATATTAAAAGATCTTATAACGTGCTTTTATATGGATTGCCGTGAGAGGGACAAAAAGGCCCCAATCCAGGTAAAAAAAGACATTCAAATAAAAACACAATTTATTTAATCCAGAAGAATTTTTTTATTATCAAATACTCATAATTTATTTAATTTTTTTTATAATTTAAAAATACAATACAAATGTTTTTCATAGTTTTTATTTGTATTTATAATGTAATATTATTATAAATACCACAATACAAATATATAAAGCGACAATAGAATGTATGTATATATTATGTATATAAATATTTTCTTTTAATTATTATACTCGTATTGTATGTATACGGATTTTTGATTTTTTTTTGTATTTCTATTGGTAATTAATTATGTGTTTATATAATTTTAAATATAATAAAATAAAATATAATTTAATTATTTAATTATTATTTTATATGGCTTAAAAATGACGTATGTTAAAAAAATTAAACGAAAAAATTTAATATTTTATTTTTTACCATTCTTATTTTACTTACGCATTCAAAGTTAAGTGAGTGCTTTGAAAAAAGAATTTATACTCGTAACATGTATATAAGAATTAAGAACGCTTTGCAAATCACATAAAAATATTACCCGCTCTGTTTTTTTATATTTGAAAGTAGCTATACAGCAAGACAAAATTTTTGCGTAAAAAATGAATTAGAAGCACAAATTTATCTCAAATTATGGAAGTACATATTTATTTTACAGCGACTTTTTTTGTATTATGAAGATTTCATTAGATATTTAAATATATTTGTAAAATTCATACTCAGATTGTCAATTGTTTTAATGCAATGAAATATTAACAAAAAAATTTTAATTTTTAAATATTCTTTAAAAAATTCGTTTCCGAAAAGGAAACAAATGCTTTAAAAATTTTTGGCATATTACTTTAAGCAACGAACATTAAAAAACAAATAGTTATTCCAAATATAGTCCACACAACAAAAACAAAATTTTTAATTTGGGAAATTAAATTAAAATATTGTTATAAGTTATTTTTCAAATTTAGATTATATTTTATTATATTGAGTGCAGTAGTTGAATTGTAAGAAAATTATTCTAATGTTCTGCATTTTTGAATATTGGAACCTTACAACTCAACAGTTAATTGGCAAAAAATAGTTAGGATGATTGGGAATATACTGCATTGGTGCTATGTAGCACTATTCTTTAAAAGATCTGATCAAATAGGAAAAATCTGCTTTTATTCTTTTCACTAAATCAAGGCTAAAAAAAGAATATAGCCATTTGAAATAATCCAATATGGTACCCATAAGGAGAATAACTTATTAAAGATTTTGTCCAAAAATTGTTTTCTTTTAATCTTTATTGAAATTCTTTAATTTTTATTTATAAAATTTATTTCAGTTTGCTAATAACTATGAAATATCCTTTTTTCTTATAAATCTTTGTTTTTTTCATGCTGCTATTTTGTTGGCTATGAAGAGCAACATAATGTTGTAATAAAAAACAAAATTTGCAATATTTAAATTATATTTAAAACTTATCCAATATTTTAATTTAGGGTCACAATTTAAAACACTATAATAGTTTTGTGTTAAACAATGATCATTATTTTATAATTTTTTAATAAATGAGATCGAATAAATTTCGGATTTCAGGCGAACTTGAAATTTTCCAAAAAAACATACAAATTAAATTAAAAAATTGCCAGCAAACATTTTATTAATGAAAACACTTTAAACCCGATGTTTTATTCGCTTTAATAGGATATATGTACATATATAATTTTTGCAATACATATTAAGTATTTAATATTAAAATGTGGAAAAATAATGAAATTATTACTTAATTACATTCACATATTTGGAATTTATTATCTTAAGTTATAGCTAATAAAACAAAATAATAAAACTGCACATATGCAAAAAATTACTGACTTCTAATCAATAATGTTTATGATATAATATTAGATTAAGTTACTAAAAATTAAAAAAAACAAAACAACATAATGAAGAATTAAAAATTTTTGATAAATTAACTGTTACGGTGAACAGTTACTTTATTAAATATTATAATTATTTATATTAATTTATTTTAAAAAAGCTTAAATTATGTATGTACTCGTATATTAATACATTATAATAAAACTTCTTACTGCCACTTTTACCAAATAAATTCATATTCTTAAATAATTGGTTTCAAAATTTCAAGAAAACATTTCCTCCATTTTAATTTAGTGGCTTTTATTAAATTTGAAAACGAAATTGTTAGCTAAATATTTTTTTTCTTTTACTTACAAATTTTTAAGTTTTCAAAATTTTAAAATTGTCAGTAAATTCATAAAAGGTATAAAAATTTCTGTTGTTATATTTTGCTAATACAAATTTTCTTCATATTAAAAAAAGAAAAATTTTAATATTCAAAAATTTTATGAATTCTATTTCCTGTTTTTTTTTATGTTTTATAAAATTAACACATACTACTATAAAAATGTGTTATATATATGTATATCTATATAAGAATATCGTAATACAAAATATTTATCGAAGTATAAAAATATTTTAATTTAAAAATGAGATTACGATTGTTCTTCTGTAAAGCATTTTTGTTTTTATTTCTATCGTTACTTTCATAATTTATATTGATAGACAATTTATTCTTACAAAGCATCATTGTATATTCATATAAAGTTCTTATTTGCTTAAAATGTTGTTACAATTAACTATGACTAATTTTTATACTAAAATAATACATACGCATTAAATGGCGACAGATTTTTTTTCGTTTTTTTTTGTAATATATAATATTTTTTATGTAGTGCATAGCTAAACCATTATTATATGGGTACAAATTAGTAAGAATGTAATTAACTTTACTCAACAATTAAAAATTGTATTTTTAAACAAATCGAAATTTCACTGAATCTCAATTCAGATGTTTTTTGAATTATTGTGTAAGACTACGATTATATTAATTTGCAATTAATGAATCTGTACCCCCTGAAGTATTTTTTATATTAAAGCAAAACGTCCTCACAGTTTATGATTATTATGATGCATTTTATATTTAATAAGTTATCATTTAAATAATCAAGTAAACTGATTGAATGTGTCGGATTTGTTATTAGAAAATTTGCGAGCAAAAGTTTTAATAAAATCAATAGTATATTGTTCTAAAACAATTCAATCAATCACTTACTGTTGTTATTAAATTAAATAGAAAATATACACATATGTACTGGTATTTTATTAAACATTCTTTTAATGCAAAATGTAATATTGTGTAAGTTTTATTTTGGCTTCCTCTTAATTTTAATTAAATAAAATTATGTCTTTTAATCAAATAAAATTATATATTTTATAAAATTATGTTATGATTATAACATGAAACATCATAAAATACGCTTAAGTTTACGTTAAGTCTTCGGATAGGTCAAAAATTTTCGTAATTCTACTCGTATGTAACTACGTTTAAATGGCAAAAATATTTATATCTGTCAAAATTTTTATAAAAGTTTTTTTTTTTTACATTTTATTTCTATATTTAACAAAAAATTTTAAAAAATTTGTAAATTTGGCTTTTTTTTTTTATTTTACTTACAAAAACACTATTTTATTTCAAAAGATTTGTTAAATTTTTATTTTGAAAATTTATAAGTAATTTTATTATTTACTTAAAAAATTTTAAATACTTTCATTTATTCCATCTAAATACAAAAAAAAACATATTACAAACATAAGACATATACACATAAGATGTATGAATTATACATCATTATTCTATACATTACACTTTCATTTTGACTGGAATTAAAGAATAATTTTAATAATCACAATTTTAAAACATAAAATGATCATGGCTTAATAATTACATTTAAAAAAATACTTTTGATTATTTGTAAATATATGGTGAAGTTTGATTTTATATATAAAAAATATAAAAAAACATACATATATTTAAAAAAGATGCGATACATGTAAACGATATAGTGGTATCAAAATAAAATAAAATTTAAGAATGGACTAGATATTTTTGTCATGTAAATTTTATAATATGGCGGCCCGCATTTACTGAGTTCTTGAAAATAAAAAATGCACATTTTTAATTTAATATGAATATTGCATTTTAATATAGGTTAGTTTTCATTAGAAATTTTTTCAGAAAAACTCAGAAAATTATCTAATTTCTAATTTGTTTGCCAATCTATTCATCACTTTAAAACGGATGCAAGCGGGATTGTAATGAAATTTAAATTATTTTTAATTTATTTTTATTAAACTGTAAAAAAATTAATTTTTATGTTTTTTATTGTGTACTTATTTGCAAATATTTTTTAAAAATATAATATAAAATAAATTAAAAATAATATAAAATAAAAAATGAAGTGAAAATACATTAAAATAAAAGCTTTTTTCCAACCGAAACAAAGTTGCAACTTGCTTCACTTGCATTATTTTTTATTCAAATAAGATTATCTATTTATTTGTTGATGTCTTATTATATTTAGCATGTGTTTAGTAAATTTTTTAATTTTAACACAAACACAAAAAATTACAATATGACAAATAAAATATAAAAAATAAAATCAGCGTGTCGTATAATTGAAAGAACGTTTTTAAAATATTTTCTAAAACGAATAAGTTTTCACTGTTGCTAAAAAATTTTAAATTAGGTTACAATTTTTGTGTAATCTATCATAGTTATCATCAAATTTTAAGATAAATGATTATACACTAAAAATATTAATATGATCAATATATTCGCACACGTTTTGTTTGTATATTGTTTTTTAATAACAATTATATTTATAAAAAATTTCAAAATTTGCCACAAAATTTGATGCAAATGAAGATTTAGCTTTGTAAAAATATTCAATAAAATAAAATATTTTGATTTGTTTTGTTTTTTTTTTACAAATTCTTAATATAATTTCAAATATATTCAATTGCTACTATTCTTAGATATTTTTAGCTAAATATTAGTCCCGAAACAATATAATTATTATTAATTAATTTTTAGATACATGAACACTATGTTACCTTTAACGCCTAAATAATACATAAGGCGACATCATAAAATACTTAATCAAGTAAATATGTGCATTACTTTTTATAAAATGTACATAATATGTTTATACTTATAAATAACAAAGTACAGAATTTAAAAAATAAAATATAATTTAGCAAATTTTTTCAATCAATTTGAAAAGTTATATAAATACTTTTATATTTTTATTATACGTATTTACTTTTTCAAACTCTTTTCAAAATTACAAACATCTTTTTATTTGAAATCGAGTAAAAAAAGAACATCTGTTAATTCAAAATTCGGTTAAATATTCATCCCAAAAAAAATTTATAATTTTTAGAAGACATTAAATTTAATTATAAAAATTAGTTAATGATAAAAATTTGCTAAACGGGTAAGTAATAATAACTTCGACTATTATATTAAATCCACTTTTAGTAGTAAATATATATATGTTACTTATTTTAATTATGTGTATATATATTTTAGTTTTTCTTTGTAAAAGTAATTTACTTGGATTATTTATGCTTTGTATCTTGTTACAATTTCGTATTGTATTTTATTTTATTATAATATGTATATGAAATTCTTATCAAAAATTTTGCTTTATATCTTAAGAAGTTTTAAAACTCTGCTTTTTACTTTTTTTAAATTAAAATTTTACAAATGGATATTAATAATATCCTATGAATAATGCTACTTATTTGTTAGTCATATTTTGTGTTTCTAATTTTAAACAGAAAAATTTGAAAGAAAAATACAATAAAAAGCATTATATTATTTTGTTAAGCAATTGATCCAATTCATATAAAAGACAAAAATGTAAGCGCAGTTTAAAATATAAAAAAATAGAAATAAATATTTACAACATTTAAATAAATATTTCTTCATTCATTACAAAAGAAACTTAATAAAATCCTCTTGTAGAATTAAAAAGTTAATATAATAAATTATACATATTATTAAGATTTTGTTTTTTTATTGATAAGAATAAAAAATTTTGAAAATTATTATACATTTGTAAAGTTATTCATCCCATTCGTTCTCATCTACACCTTCCATTGTATCTTGCTCCAACTTTGTATTATATTCCATGCGCGCGCTAACCGATTTTTGAATCTGGAAATTTAAATAAAATCACTCAAATCCACATCTATACAGAACATACAAATTTAATTTGAACAAACTATGGTTAAATAATTTTAAATAGTTTTAAAAAAGTCAAAAGGAATGAAATGACGATTCGTTACATAAAAACCAATTCCTTAAAACGATGTTGGTAGATAAATTGGAAACACAAATACATATATTAATTCAAAATAACATACATATTTAAAAGTTAATTCATGTTAAAAAATGTATATATGTATGTACATGTACGAATTAATTGCAGTTTAATTCGAACATATTAAACAAGTAATTTTCAAATATTCATAATATTCGATACTAAAAACTAAGAAAAATAAACAGTAAATATTAATAACCTCAAATAATTAATATAAATAAAAAACTACGGCAGGCTAGTCACCTACCTAGCTAATTCTCTATGACTATAGAAACTAGGGCATGATAGATATCATGCACTACCCCAATACTGCTCCTAGGAGTGAAGAAGGAAAAAAAAAAAAAAAAAAAAAAAAATTCGAACATATAAGTCCTTGTTGAAGATTTTTTGACATAGTTAGTGACCATGTTTTTGTTCTATATTGATAATATGCTTGATACCAAAAAACTGGGTCATGATTGAATCAAACAGATAAGATAATATAAATTACAATTGTTTTTATTTTCAGAATAATATTTACCTTTTGTTGCCGTGATTTTTCAAAATCTGTTTGCGTTATTAATTGTGAAGAATTTAATGCTGGTTGAATATCAGTCTTTTTATTTGACACTACCGGTTGTATTGATGATACTACAATGAAAAATAGAACCAAGCAAGAAAAAATTTAATATTATATATTGAAATTATTGTAAACAACAAAAAAGCAAATGCGTCCTAGAATATAATATTTTAATATATATGTACATATAAGTAGATTTCTTCTACTATGATTTTTTAAAACTCACAGCAATCCATTCCTTCTGGTTGCAAACTTATCTGTTTTGCACGCTTATCATTTAATGAGAACCAATCATCAGCCGACATTGCTGGTTTCCATAACACGCGTGTTGGCGGGAATAAATCATCTTGAAAAAGTTCACTCTAATGTTTCATAATTATAACATTGTAAAAAGATAAAAATTGTATTCCAAAACAGAAAACTGGAAAGTCAAAACTGTATTACCTTTATTCTGGGTACTGTGAAACTTAAAGGTTCGATTGTCGTATTCGTAAGTCGGTATGCTTTGGAAAATTCCACGCTGGCAACATCACAATGATTCTTTGTCAAAAAGCTTAAACCCTGATGCAAACTTGAGCATCGATGATGTGATAATGGACAGATGTATGGTTCTTCGTCTGTTATTTCATAACAATATATTGTTGAATCACCCTGAAAGATTTTTAAAAGAGATTATTTTCGTTTTGAATTTAAAATTATTATTACTTTTCCAGTCACGAAAAGTGTTGAACTATCTTCATCATAAAACGGGATTAAAATTGATGGAGAAACATCTAGGCTAACTGTTCCCAAACATGTTGATAAATTCTGAGCGTTATATATGCTAATTTGTCTTTCTGATACCCTAAAAATATAAAGTTGCGTCATATAAGAAGACATGATAAAATTAAATGAATTAAATTTAATATAACGTTACTTGTCAAATCCCGTCACGACAAGGTATTGTCCCTCTATGGCCCAAGCCAATCTAGCTCCTCTCGTACCAACAGGACCATTTCCTTCGCGAATTGGATTCTCCGATTTTCTTATATTGTAAATGCGTAACTTTGTATCTTTGCAAACAGTGGCTCCATAAACACCACAAGGGCTAAATTGAAAATCAAATATTTGATCTGTGTGTCCCTTTAAACACAATTTTTCCTTCATTGCTTTTAAATCCCATAGCTTAATGGTCATGTCGTAACTTGCTGTCAAAAAGACTTCCTCAGCTAGCGGATGAAATCTAATAAAATAAATTTTATCTAAATGAGCAATTAATTCAGCTTCTGACTTATTTGTTGGTTCAGTAAGGCCACCATTTGGTATTAACCAAAACCTTACAACTCCATCGTCGCAAGCAACCGCTAATCGTTTTGAATCAAAAGGATCCCATTGGAAGTCCATAATATTTGAACCATTAACGAGTGATGGTATGACACCATCTGGTAAACGACCAGGTTTACTTAGCTCGAAAATAGCAACTTTACCCCCTGGTCCAGATAATGGTACGGCAACTCTTTCATGGTTTGCTTGAAAACCATTACATTCACCTGGAATTTGTCGACTCAAATTACGTACGTTTTCAATTTGAGTGGATTTATGTCCTGGTGTTCCTTTCAAGTGCCTAAATTTGGATACTTTACCAAAAACGGTAGATGTGCGTTTTGTATATGTCGCAGAGTTATCCTTATTCGAATCAATTGCGCCTGAAGAGGTGCTATTATGTTTTTTATTGCCAACACATTTTGTTAATTTATCTGTATTTTCATGTGAAGAAATAGACTGACGAATTACATTATTGTCTGCTTCAGTTTTTGCAATCGTATCACGTCTTAATAACGGGACTGGTGATTGTGCTTTTTCATCTTGCATACTTTTAGAACGATTTTCGTATAAACGACGTCTTTCAGCAATACTACTTCGGTTGCTAGATAAACGCTTTAGTTCATCTGGTTTGTCTTCAGACTCTGTAGAGTTCCCAGAAGATTCTGAATTATTCATTTCAAACAACTAATTGTCAAGAAATAAAAATTTCATTAAAATTTTTTGCTTTTAATATTCCACAACTCCATACACATGTATGTATGTATATAAAATGAAACTATATAAATAATTTGTTGTAACATGACTACAGAACTTTTGGTTAACACAAGTAAGCTATTTAATGTAAAACTACGATAAAAAGTATAGAATAAACAAAAAAACTACTTGGATATAGCCGTGAAAAAATATTAAACTAAAAAATTATTAATAAAATAATACTTAATAATAACGGTTATTAAGTTCTACCTTATCTTTTTCGTCCTCATCCTCGTACTGTTAGTATTGTTAAAAATTGAAGTACATAAACATCTTGTTAGTAAAAAGAATTTTACAATTAAATTATATATTTAGGAATGTTACCTTTCGTCTTTCTAAGGTGGTTAAAGATTTTTGTTCTTCATGACCATTTTTACTATTATCTGCAAGATCCCTTTCTTCTTCTAAAAATTTTAAAAATATATACTTGACTGTTATACTGCTTCATTAAAATTTTTATAACTTACTCTTAATTTGAATTTCAACTAGATCAGGTGATGAAAATATTTTTTTAGACTCGCACTCCACCCCATTTGTATCGTTTACCATCTTTTGTTCACCAAAATTCAAATTATCAACTTCGATAGAACCAGGGGCATGTGGTACTGAAAAAACTTTATCGAATGAAACATCTCCAGCGTTACTTGAAAAAGGCTTCGGGCCCAACCGCGGCTATTAAAAATATTTTTAAAAATTAGAAAAATGTTTTTTTAACAGTTATGTAATGTTCAAAAGCAAAAAGAGAGTTAATTATAGATTTAGAAGATGAGAATCATGCATGATAGTGCTTTGAAATCAAAATAATATATCTATAGTCACTATTTAAAAATACATATTTGAATTACGGCGAACGTTAATAATTTATTTAGAAATGTTAGTCGGATTTCTATTTAATTAATTTTATTTTCTGGAAATTTTTTACAAAAAATTTGCATGTCAACATAACAATGAATATTTTGAAATTGTAGTGCGGCACTGCTATCAGTTGAAGATTCCGTTTTAATTTAAATTCAATAACTGTTATGAAAATATTTTTTCCCCGAAATTCCAACATATAGGTCTTCTAGAGTGCACTAACGTATTGCAAAAGTATTTTTCATAAAAAATTTTGTTTCTCCAAATAGTGTCTATAAGGAATAAAATTTCTTGAAAAAAAAACAAGAAAAATATATACATACATATGTATATATGTATGAGTATGCATATATCTTGTTTTTATATTTAAATACTGTTGCAAGCAGCAAAAACTGAAAAATGCATTTAAAATTATTAGGGAATAAATGAAAAATGTTAATTTTTTATATTTGTACTTCAAGCAATCAAATATCTATCAAATATCTATAGTTTTATCAAAGACGTTAAATATTTAGTGAAAATTGTCATTAATACACCGATGTCAACAAGTCATCCAACAACAAACAAAATTTAAGCACAGAGGAAAGAGTCAAGAGGATGGATTAACATATATTAAAGAAACTAAAAAACGAATTAAAAAAATAGCAACTCAAAAATGTGCTTTTATAAAAAAAAATTAAAGTTGACACCCAAAATAAAATAAAAAATTGTTTTTCTTCTATCCAAATTTCAATAATCAACCTTATAAGATGTTGCTGTGGTCCTTGGTCTTGCTACCGGCCTTGGAGCTACAGCTTGTTGCTGTTGTACTGTTGGCAATATTTGTCCTTCTCCTGTAGTTCCAACATTTTCGTCAATAGAAATCGACTGAACTGTAGAGGTCAATAGTATATCTGTTATTGAATTATTCCTTGATGTTCTTGGCAATGGTTTTGGTGGCGTTATACTCTGTGGTGATGTCCAACTATTACAATCGTTTGAATCATTTGATAAATCATTTTCAATCGAATCAGCGGATATTTGAATAACGTCGGAAATCGCTTTTTTGGTTACAGAAACAACTTCATTCTCACTAAAAATTTTACTTGGTTTATTGTTCTTAACACTACCTTGGTTATCTTTCTCTGAATCAGTTTTGTACTTGTTATCAAATCGTTTTATGAGATCAAGTTTTGACAAGGGCCTTTCGCTGTGATCATTATCTTCATTTAGAATTTTGGGCCTAAGTAGTTGTTGTTGTTCTATATTATCTGTATCGTCAATTAATGATACTTCAGTTTTCTTTAATTTATTCTTTTCGTCGGGGGGTTCAACAGCACGTTCAATTTTATTTGAGCTTTTTGTGCTGTTGCTAATTGCTTTTTTGAAAAGTCCTGAATCAGTAATCGGTCCAGTAAAGTGTTGACCATTATGTTGATTTTTCTGTTGCATTTGTAACTTTTTATTTTCAATATTTTTAATAAGCTCACTTAAATTGCCACGGTGAATCTATGTCAAAATTTAGTTTAATCCGGTGTATGTGTTGAAATTTTCAATTAAACATTACAAATATTTACAAAATCGTAATATAATTGCGGTTTTTTTTTAATTTTTGTTTATATATAAGTTGAGAATAATATGGAAGTATTATTTTTAAAAGAAAATAAGAAAATGAAAATTTTAAGAAGTGATTGGTAAGGATCTTTTTAAACTTACCGACACGATATTGAAAATTGGATAATTTTATTAAAAATGTTTTTGCATGACATAATTAAATAGTAATTTTAATCCGTTGAATTCTTATAATTATTGTTATGTTTATTTCTGTTTCAGTAACACTTAATAGATCTAAAGTAATGTACATATGTATTTGTTACTGTGCCAATGAAAAATTGTTCTAAAAATATTCGGTATAACTACGTATGCCATAAAAAAAGAAAAGTAAATGAATTTCTGAAAAATATGCAAAATTTACAGATAATAGTATTTTTGTTATCGAGTCGGTAAGAGAAAAAATGCCCTAAATGAAGGGAATAATTAGTAACAATAGCAAATAAAATGTTTGTTTTTAACACTGGTAATGCAAAACCAAGAAACAAGATGATTATTTGATTAGTGTTTCACAGTTATTTACAATAAAAAATACGTATGTCTAAAAAAAATGCATTAAATTAGTTAAAGCTTTACTCACAACAATCGGAGCGTCACCATGCTCGCGTTTACTTGGATCTAAACACATTTTTGGTAAAGGTAAATTTGTGCCAGACATCCACTGACTCGCTGTCAAATCAGTTTTATAACCATTTGTATCGGGATATAAATCACTATGAAAGTCACGGTATGTCTAAAATGTTACTTTATAAATACAAAAAAATTATTTTATTTTGTAAAAATCTCTTACTTTTCTGGGAACTTGATACATAATTGGTATAACCATGTTAGACGTTAGTTGTAAAATGCGGTTAACTTCACCTTCCATAACTTTCAAAGCTCTTTTTGGTATCAAACAAGCTCCTTTTGTTTGTTCGCCCGTATGTCGTAATCCTTCTATTAAGTACGGATCTTTATCTGTAACTTCCATGTAATTGATAGTAGTGTCGCCTTTTCCAGCAAGAAAAAGCATATTCGTATCTGGATCAAATAGTGGCATTAAAATACCCGTTGAACAATCTAACTCAAGTAATTTTTCAGGAATTGAAAAATTTCTTATGTCCCTTATTATAACTTGACGAACACGGGCTGCGTCAAATCCAGTTGTTAAGATTCTTGATTGGTCTCCTAACCATACTACCCGAGAGTCTTTAATACTTTGATGACTATCAACAGACATTTGTATATTTTGACCAGCCGCCGCTCTCGGATCAATAATACGTACCATTTTATCCTTACAACTTGTAGCAAATACAGTACCATCTTGCTTCCAACTTAATGACTGAATAACTTCTGTGTGCTCATTATTACCTAAAACATTCAAATTAAATAGAAATGAAAATCAGAAGAAAATCTGCTTTGATAAAGTTCCTTTTTCGTATTAAAAGAATTTTTTTTCATTTTAAAAATATTTTTGGAAATTTACAGATTCGAAAAATTATTTTTTTAATAACTGAATTAATTTCAAATTTAATTAAATTTTTTAATAACAGTGTAAATTACGCAAATACTTACAAAAGCATTCCTTTTGTACAGAAATGTCATACAAAGTAACAGTACCAGCCGCCGTAGAATATAGTAAGCAGTCGGCAGTTGGATGAAATCCAACGGTTTCCACACGTCTTTGTTTATGTGAAAATGTACATTCTGGATTTTCTAATGACTGTTCGAGTCCTTTTTCTGGTATATGCCATATTTTAACTAAACAATCTTGTGATGCTGTCGCCAATATACCATCATGAAATGGTGAAAACATTATATCGGTTACAGTGTCTGTGTGTGCATGTAACAATGGCATTGTTTTACTTTTACGTCCACAATCATCCAGAGAAAGAATTGCCAAACTTGAACCAACGTGTTCCCAGTTAAATGCCATAAAGGCAGCAGATGCTGCAATGTTATTTCCATATGTTTGATATGATCCAACGCATACATCACGTATACATGCTTCAGGTTTAGGTACTATTGGGGCAGCATTTTTATATTTAGATGCTTTAAATCTCCACGCCATTCTGTTTAAAAATGCTACTATTTATATACTATTTTCTTTTTAAGTCTTTTTAGTTTAGTCTTTTAAGTTTAGATGAAACAGTAAATCAGTACTTTTCTTGTCTTTTTTTGTTTTTGCAGAAATTTTTAAAAATATTAATTTTAATAATCAGCGTTTGTAAAAAAGAATATTTGACAGCAACATTAAATCTAAAAAAAAAGAAAATTGAAAACTTGTTAAACATTTGTTGTAAGATTTGAAGACATTTCTTTTATTATTACGAGTATATTTACTATATATAACATATTGATAGGTTTTGCGCTTTCGTTATTAATATATCGATATAAAGTTATTTTAATGATGATAGTACAGAAGAAATTATTCAGACCTCCAGTAAAATTTATCTAACTTAATTGTATTTGCACTTAAAATTAAACGCAAGTTTATTTTTGTTTTGATAACATTATGTTTTCTTAATCGGTTAAAAAAATAGTTTAGGTAAAGCTAATATAAAATTAGGACATAGAGTAATGTCAATCATATGGAAAATTTTCATTAATAAACATAATTTTATTTCAACTTAATAACTACTATTAAAAAGTAGGCAAAGTTATAAATTTGCCATAATTAAGGATAAGATTTTATGAATTAAATCTTAAAACTCCGTTAATGGCATTTACTGTGAATATATACATTAATTTTTTTTAATTAATTCTTCAATAGACCAATACAACTTGCAAATACCATCGCAAGTGCAAATAAAATGCAGATTTGATGAAAATGTTTTTTATTCCCGGTTTCAATGATAAATTTTTTCAATGATAAAATTTTATGAATCAGCTTCTTTTATATAGAATCAAGGAAAGTATGGAATATTATTAAAAAATAATAAATATTGTAGTAATATACATATATGTACTTATATATTATGTTATTTAGTTGCCTGTCTACATTTTGCAAAACTAGCAATAAACACTTGAACGTACCTACGTTGTAACAGTTAATAAGTATGCAACTCGACTTAAAAATGCAGAATTTTATTTTTAACATTAATAATGAAAATTGATGAATAATTTTGTAGGCATTCAATGATTCCTGACATGAATTTCAACTAGCAAGAACTTGCTTATTACTCATAGTTACTTGCAGCGAATAGTTAATGTAATTTGAATATCGATGTTTGTTGAAAAGTTTTTGAATCTTACATTTCAAAAAAGCTTAAATTTTATTTTTTAGAAACATTTTAAAAACAAACACACTGCAAATGTAGTGGTAAATGTAAACAATATCTCGTATGATTTATGTTCGGGTATGCTTAATGTTCATTATTTATTTATGATACATTATGGTTTGTATAAGAGAATAAGTATATTATATGCATGTAATGTTATTTTAATGTTATCACCTGTAATATTTTTTGTCTCATTACACCCGTACGACGTACGTTCGAAGTATGTTTTTTGATCAGCGTCGAACTCTGAGTCGATTTAGCTTTGTGCGTGCAACTGTCCGTCCGTCCGTTCAAACGATAACTCAAAAACTAATTGAAAGAGAAACAAGCCAGAACTCTATTCAAATTTGATACTTCAAAATAGTATTGAATAGTATTGAGAAGCTATAGTATTGAAATTTCGCCGAAGCAAATATATTATTAGGGCCTTTGTATTTGATGACACTCATTGAAATTGCTGGGCTCCCCCAAGTACGATTCAAGTAAGAAGTAAAGACGGTTCAACCTACAATACTGAAATTGTAAAGTAAAATATTTCAAAATGGCAGCTACATTCATTAAAAGTTGTTTCATTAAAAGTTGTCATGACCACTTGTGATAGCTGCCATGCAAGTCCAAAAGTTATTTAACATTATCTCAGAAATTTTTGGTGCCATAATATAGAAATTTCATGAAAACAAGTGTATTATTAGGACTGTTATGTGTGATAAACATCGTTGAAATTTCTTAACTCCTTGAGGTAGCTGCCAAACAACTTCAATAGAAGTTTGACTATATCTCAGAAAATATTGAAAACACAGTTCTGAAATTTTGCATGCGGATTCGCGTACAGTTCTTAAATTTTTGCATAAATTTAAAGTCATAGTCTTTCTCATAGTCAGCTATGGAATATTTACTCGCATATAGGATAGCAAATTCGTACAGGTATGACTGAGTTGACAGGTCAACTCTATTTTTTCCCGTTTTTTATTAAAAACGTAGTTTTTATTAGCTTAAAGAGAACTTATATGCACTTATAACGATAACTTGTTATTTAATTTCACAGTAATTCACAAAATTGAATGAAAAGTTTAATTTACTTTAAATTCATATTTTCTCATTCTTAAGTGGTTATAAAGACTCACTCGTAAGTATACTCGTTTAAAATGACAAACTAAAAAAAAGTTTATGTGTAACTTAAGGATGCAAAAAAAAGCCGCCAGACCAGATAATGTAAAAATTTTTCTTTTACATTATCTGGTCCAAAATCAACGAAGATTAAATAAAGGTATAATTGTGTACAATTTCTGTTATTGCACAATATAAATACTTAATTCAACTTCTTTTCTGAACTATTTTTATTATTTAATATTTACTCATTAAACTCAGTACTTATTAATGCGCTAATAAAACTAATTCCAGACAAAAAAATATATAATATTGAAAATAAATAACACAAAAAGGGGGAAAAAAACAACAAAATCTCTAAATCTGGTAAAATATAAAATAAAAACAAAAATGGTACCGAATACACCTGCACAAATTCTCTTTTCATCTCTCTTCCCTTCTTTTTATAAATCAGTTTATTGTTTGTTAAAGAAATTTTAAATTGATGGCCGTTTTTAAAGCATAATAAATTTTCTTTTCTGTTTGCAATATCATTGATAAGCACTGTATTGTACAAATAAGTACATAAAATCAAAATTATCTGCTCTTTTACCTAGATTGACATTCTTAAGATGGCAAAGCTTCCAACAAAATCGTTGAGTATTTGGAATAATTAGTCCTAAAATTATTTTTTATAGCAACTAAGAAAGAATATTTGAATCCAGAATGACCTTTCAAAATTAAGGCATGTCAGTTTTTAATAAAAAAAGATTAGGCAGAGTTTCTATACGTTTAGAGTGAAGTTCTCAAGACCTAAATTTATGACTTATAGTTTTGCTTTATAAGTAAGTTTACAAAAACTTCTATATAGATATGCACATTTTTTTACATAAAATTATCAGTTACAATCCTTAAGATCAACTTTCAATCTCAATGTTTTACAAAGTTAATTTCAAAATAATGCTTAAAGAATTTTGGACACTTCATCTTAATATGATTTTATTGATGAAGCTTTATTTCCATAGTCTTTAGCTACAAATTAAGAATTTTATAGGTCAATTCTATTCAATTTTAACTGAAAAAACCATAAAAATTTATTACATAAACAAATTATCCATAATAATATATAATATATATATAATTGCAGAAGTGTTCTGCTTATTCGTGTAAAAATTCCTAAAGTAAAGAGTAACTATTTTCAACTAAGAAGAATCATATAATTACTAGAAAATTTAAGAGAAAGGAAAAATAAGTTAAGCACTTATTGATATTATCGTCTTATTTTAGTTAAACCGTAATTTTATGCTTAATGCAAATAACTTTAATTTGCAATAAAAATTTACCGCGTTTTCCGTACGTTATAAGACGTTATAAAAGATAAAAACACTTTATTAAAATTTTTTTCATTACTAACTGTCTAAAATTAATTTAATAATTATACTTCTTACACCTAGATAAAATTTACTTAGAATTGATTTGAGTGGCACATTAAAATCGTAACTGAGTAAAAATTTTCGCAAGCACCTTGACTTCAAGCAAAGAAAAGCATAAAGAAAGGATTTAAATTAATTCAAAGCAAAACTATTTTTAACTTTTTTAATCATTAAGTACCGTAAAACAAATAATCGCAATATTTAAACAAAATTGCAGTAGTTGTTTAATTTGCAACCTAATGCATTATAAAAAAGAAACAAGAAATTGCAAAATTTAAGCTCAAAGAAATTCGTATTGAATTCCTACTAGAATTAATTTTTGTACTTTTTTTGCGTTTCTGTGAGGTTTTGAGTTTTAAATGAACCTTGACTAGTTTCAATGTCAACAATTGCAAAATTTTATTAACTAAGTAATATTGAATCTGCTAGGGTAAATACATATACTTCTTGCAATAAACAAAAAACAAAAAAAAATTAATAAATCATTCATAACGAAGCACGTTTCCTTTAAATACTTGATCTACTAAAGTAGAGGCGTTAAATTATGCTCTTTGAAAATCGAAAAATACCTTTCTAATTAAGTATGAAAAATCAAAATATAAAAAATTATAAAAAAAATATTTAATCGACACATATTAGGCATTTTATATCTTAATTAGATTAATTTGGCAAAAGAAGATAATATTACTTTAAAGCTGTCATTATTTAACTTGTGAATAATAAAAATTTCTTAAGAATTATTTTATTTTTGGAAAAATTAAATGTCCAAATTTGCTGTAACTACTTAACTACTTCAAGATCAACTGTTACAAAATTCATATCCCTAAGCTTTAATAACAGATGGCAAAGTTAAATTTAACCATTGTTATTATTATTAGCAGTTCGTTTTAAGTTGTAGTTCAAAAAACTACATGAAAATTAAAATTATTGAAAATTTTTACACAAAAACAGAAGAGTGGCTTCATTCGTGGTCACTCACGCAAAAACAAAAACCAAAAATGCACCTTTTTGAAATGAGAATATTAATAAAAGTAAAATTTACTGAAAACAAAAATATTAAGTCAGCGTATTCCCAAATTCACAAAAAATATAGGAAAAGAAAGCAATGTGTAGAAGTCCTACTTGTCAACTTAGAAAAATTTACTTGTTTTGAATATTCAGCGCTAAACAGTGATCAAGGGAGTCTCAAAAAAAATTGTTCTTAATTTTCATTACATAATGAGGGAAGGCTTTCAATCGTACAGTTTTTTTTAATTAATTTTAAAAAATTTTATTTTATTTAATCAATAAAAAATACTAAAATGTTTTTAATGTGACGCTCAATAAATTGTTTAACTTGTAAATATTGCAATTCCAAATCGTACTTTTTCAAATTTCATAGGCATTTGTTAATTTACATATTTTCATTTCATTCCATGCAATTCATAAATTCTGCAAATAAGAATTCACCCTGAATTTTCTTTTGTAAAACATTCTATAGTATGTATATATAAATATGTATGCGAAAATTAAATACTTTTCGTGGCCCTTTTACAAGTTTGTGTTTATTGTCATTTTCGTTGTGTACATATTGCATAAACAAACTTAGTAATACAACACTTGACCAATAAAAAATAAAACTATAAAGAAAAGCTAGGAACTACCAACGTTCAATATACCTATAACTTATAAAAATAAATGAATACCGCAATTCAGTACACAGACTGGAATTACAAATATATACATATATATAAATATATGTATATATTTACATATACATATATTATACAAATATATACATATATACAAATATATACCTACATATATAAAAATATTATTATTTTTGATTTTAAATTCCTAGCTTCTTTGAAGAGAGCATATATAAATAAATAAATTAAATACCTCGTACCTATGTATATATTTTGCATGGTATTTTTTTTAAATTCCATCTAAAAATTAAAATTATTTAGGTAGTTAGTATGCTATTTTTTTGACTAAAAAATGATTTTGCTTCTATGTGCTTGTGTACCACTCCTTTTTAACATTATCTAATATGATTGTAATGAAATTCGTTTTTCAAAAGTGAAAACAGGTAGGTATAAGGTAATATTAAGGAACCAAGCTGCTTGTTTTTTAACCTTGCCGATATTGTCCTACATTTCCATTTTTGTCTCATTAATGATATCAAACACTAATAACATTTATTTTTATTTCTGCCAAAAATATATTTTACAAATTCAAAAAAAGCAAATTGATACATATAGGTCTGAGTAAATGCCAACTCAAAATAAGTTTCCTAAAATATTATTAAAATGTGGGATTTCAAATACTTACATAGATGCTTATTATTAATAGATGAGAGTTGTATCAATTGAAATCATGAGGATTATTGAAAAATATTTTGATTTTCAATATAGAATTTCAGATTTAGTTCAGCAAATTATAAAATTTTTGAAAAACAACCCATCAATTCTATTTTTATTATGTATAAAAATTCAACCTTTTATAAGTGGTTCTTTTAAATATATGATTACATTGCTATTTTAGTTTCCATTGAAGGGTGACTTTCTACCTACATAGGTAGATCCTATCTACCTACATATTATACACCTTATTTACAAATGTTTTTTTAAAAATTCAATTCAATTAAAAAATATTCTTACCTATAGATATTTACATACATATATGTATATGTAATTGATGGCAAAACATTAATAGCTGGCTTTTTTCATAAAGAAACCAACTAAAAACACTAAAACCAGAATATTGCTGAAGTCTCTACGGTAACACAAAGATAATGCCAATTAGCTATAATTTTTTTTTAAGCAACTTTCTTTTTTCTTCAAGATTTGAAAGTGGAATAAATTTCCTGATTTTGATTTCTTTTTTTTTTTAACTAAATACAGTAAGTAGCTATTTCTTTTTTATTTTTTTTTATTTACCTACATGGAACTTTACATACGTTCTTTTTTTTCTTTATTAAAAAAACTTTTAATCTCAAAAATTAAAATTCTTCAAACTTTAATAAAATTTTTGTTTTTTATCGTGAAAAATTAATTATTCATTTACTAGAAATGTAGAATTAAATTTGATAGATACCTACTTAATGAAGGTGAAAAGATAATGGATGAGACAATCACTTAATAAACATACAACACACCCTTTCTTTTGCAAACAAAAAAAAATTGTTTTTTTTTTTTGTATTTTGAAAATGTTTTTTGATAAAATCTATATTCAAATTTCACTTTGTAGTTAATAAATAATACAAAAACAATTTTAAATTCATTTCAATATTTTCAATTTACTTTTATTTTATGTTTGGTATTATTTTTGGTAAATAATATGCATTTAATGCGGCAAATTACCAAGCAAACAACACACCGACACAGTGAATATTACAAAACAATCGATATTAAACTTGGTGTTTGACTTTGACTTTGAGTTTTGACATTTCTACCAATTTACATTTTAGGTGCAAAAATGTTTTTGAACATTGGCAGCGCAGAAATTTTATTTTATGCGATCACCAAACGTTCCTGCAAATATGATATCAAAAATGTAAATATAGTTTTCCCTTTTTTTTTTTTTAATTGCATGGTTTTGTCTTTTTTCCTATATAAAACAAATTATTTAAAATTTGAAAATTTTTTCAGATTCAGATATTTATAATTTTTTTTAAATTTTTCCGAGCAGTGAATATATTTGAGAAAATTCTCTGCAGGAGACGAAATGAAGAAGATTATCTTCAGTGCATCATTAAATGTAAGTTCAATCTTAAATGTTTAAGAAATTTTTCAATTCCACCCTATCACGGTGCTGTTTAGCCTGTTTTTGTTTATTGGGTATGTAGGTGTACAAATATGTACCAAAATTTTGCTGTCAAATTGATTTGTTTGTATGAGTATAATCATACTTGGTTCCATTTCCATTTTAATCAAGTAAAAGCAAGCAAAAGAGTAAAGTAACCTCTTTTCCTAAGTCCTGGTTTTGGCGTTCAACCCCGCGTTTTTTGAGTGATAAATAAATAAAAAACAGTTAATTTTCCCTATCTTATTTATTAGATTACATAGATTAATCATTCTAAAAAAAGTTAAATCAAAAACAATTTACTGAAGTATCTAATTAATGGCAGTTTTATGTGGTTAGTGTTTCATATTTTGAAAATGTGTAGACCAATTTCTAAAAAAATGAATAAATTTATATGAATGCTGATAAGCATTATAATATAAAAATTCAACTTATTTACAGCAGTAATTAGTAACAAAGTTTATTATATAAATATCATAATTCAAACTATTAACATTAAAATTTAAAAACGTCGGCCATTATGGATTTTCTGTTACTAAAATTACATTTGTAAGGAAAAATTTTGTCTAGAAATATTGATTTAAGTTTTGAAGTATAAAGTTTATCGATTTTTATTTTCATTTCCAGATAACTTTTTAATATTACAAACGACAAAATGTCTAATTTGGAAAATAATTTGCAACGCAAACCACCTGTAAATTTTTGCCAAGACAAAAATCAACAATCACCACAAGAAATAAATTTGTCTAATTCATGTCATGAAAAAATTGAGAGCACATTTAATTCTAATAAAACTGGCAATTTCTTAAATGGAAATAGTGCTATAAAAACTGAAATTCATGAAAAACAGTATTATTCTCATCAATCTGATTCAGAGGAAACTTCAACACCAGGGTCAAATACTATACTCATTACTACACATAGCTATTCTCCACGACTTCCAGCGGCTAATACGAAGCATTTGAATAATAATAAGAGTTCTTCATCATCAATAACTATAGTAACAACGCACAATTCGAGTGGTAGTGTTTCAGCGACAACCACAACAAATAATGGCAGTACAACATCTATTAAAAGTACAAGTGGTGATTGCATCCCAGGGTCATATCAAAATTCCTTGAATGGTCATACTAGCGCGAATTCGCCAGTTGTTTTGGAAGGTATAAATATATTAATAAATAACCATTTTAATGAGCCAAGTAGTAGCAACGTTAGTAATAATAGTAATGAGTCTTCAAATAAAAATATTGATTTATTGGACCAAAAAAACCGCGTTAACTCTTCTACCTCAGCTACAGAAAAAGAAGCAAATGAAACAATTAAGAGTGAGAAAAGTGATATTCAAACGGAACCTGATTCCACCACAAATGGTTTATCACCAGATAAATCTTTAACTTTAAAGAATTCAGTATCAAATTCTGACACTGGATTTGGCAGTAGTAGTACTAGTAGTTTTTGTAGCAGCCATAGCAGTAGTAGCAGTTGTATAAGCAATGAAAGCACAAATAATTATAAGCCGAAAGTGTATAATTTCGCTGCCAATATGGATGTTCTGGTACAAAAAAAGGATGGAAAATTTTACTTGGGAACAATAAAAGACGTTTATGCTGTTGATGGAAAATGTATGATAAATTTTGATGACAGCTCAGAGTATTTAGCGGATTTTGATGAGCTTAAACGTTTGAGTTGCGATTCAGAGATAGAATCATCCCCGATGTGTGTTGTCTGTAAGAAATTTAATGAAAATGATATAGTGGAATCGTGTGAAAAATGCTCAAGAGGATATCACAGAATGTGCGCTGAAAGTGGCTTTAGACATGGAATTTGGACATGCAAAATGTAATGATAGCTATTTTTCTGAAAGAAAAAAACATTTTTTTAATTATTTACCTTAGGTGCTGTGCTGAAAATGGTTTAAGAACGGCAGAGGAAAGAAACACAGGTTTGATTTTAAATCGCCCTTTCAAGAATAAGCAACTTCAATTTCCATATGATGTGAATGAAATATAAAATTTAATAAATTCAGATTTTTATGCATATGTTTCAAATATTTTAGATTCAAAGTTTAACGTGGGATAGTAAACATCGGATCAATAATCAAGAAATTTATTGCTACTGCGGGAAACATGGCAGATGGGATGATAAAATGTTGCAATGTTTAAAGTGTTTACAATGGTTTCACGAGAAATGTATTCAATCTTTATCGTATCCACTTCTTTACGGTGATCGGTATGTGGCAATTGTTAAAATTTAATTAGATCTAAATATACGTTTTGCTACAGGTTTTACGTTTTTGTGTGCTCTATTTGCAACCATGGTACGGAGGTGGTTAGACGTCTTAAATTTGGTTGGATAGATCTGGTTCACTTAATTATGTTTAATCTAACGAAACTTGAAAATGACAAAAAATATCATCATATTACGAAAACGATTGCACCTTATGCAATCCAAAATTGGTCGAATTTTCAATTATCTGTATCGGTAAGACTGATAATTGAAAATTTTATTTTAGTAATCGAAATTTAAAAATTTTTAGATGAATAATTTATCTCAAAAGGAAATTCAAAAGAAAATAGTTAATGTCCTAAACAATAGTAGCAGATTCAAAAGCGGAAAAGAAACTAAAAAAGGTTTCGTTTTTTGGGGATTAAGAACTCTAATACCTCCATCACTACCAAAAATTGCAATTCCAAAAGGTGCAACTAAAATAACAGATCAGTTCCTTAAATCGGTTTTGAAATTGAAATTTCTTTCGCCAACTAAGTAAGTGAGGTAAATATTGTGCACTTAACTATTGTCTTAAACATTTCTGTTGTAGAAAATCGAAAAATGCAAATCTAGAATCTGAGGAAGACGCATTTATAGACGACAATGAATCTAAATTTAGTAGTGATTTAAAATTTTCATCAGAAGATGAAATACCGATAAAAAATATGATTGAAAAAGAACTGGGTACAATCAAAAGGGAAGTTATCGATAGTAAAACTGCATTAAGTTCGCCTATGGAACCTGGACAAAAGGAACAAAAAGAACAATCGCGACGTAAGAAAAAACACACTTTCTTTCCAAGACTGTCAAACCCATTAATAATTAAAAGTGATACTGTCACTAATTTTAATAATAATGTTAATATTAGTAATAATAATATAAATGAGAAATCAGTAGGTTTAACTGTTGATCTAAGTTTATGCTGTGATTCATCCGATGACAATTCCAGTCTTGGACCTTTAGATTTAAGAATTCCGCCGCCTAAAAATTTTTTTGGTCGAAATAATCCTTTTCGCCACATTACACCGAAAAAGATGCAAGATAATAGTAGCAGTTATACTGAAAATAACAGTAGTAGTACAAAAAATTTTAACACACTCCCATCAAAATTAAATCTAAATTCAATGCATTCTAAATGTTGTATTAATGATGTTAGCAAGTCAATTGATTTAAGTTCAAAATTAGTTGCTCTTAAAAAGTCTAGCGTGAATTTGTTCAATAGTAGACTACCGACTGATTTTCAAGCTGCTGGGCAGTTTAGAATTGTAAGAACCATTAAAAGAAGATTGAGTGCGAAAGATTTAGTAATTGGACCAAATCAAGAAATAAAAAAGCGACGTCTTAGAAGATCATCTGGATCGAGTAATGTTGAGGTAATAGCTTAAAATTAATTAGAAATATTTAATTTAATAATTGCAAAATTTTTAGGTAATTAGCACATCAATTCAATCTGTTTCGTCGTCAAAATCCAAAAACAATATCATAGCTACATACCCCGTCGGTACACCATTTAATTTTAATTCAATATCAGGTTTGAAAGTTAAGCCAATTTTTAACAAAAATATGCCTTCAACAGTAAATTCTTTACCTGGATCAGTATCTGGGCATACAATCTCAAATACTCCATTAGCAACATCACCAATATTAGTTGATAGTAGCAATCCATTTTCGAGTTTTTCTAATATGTCGAATGTCCAGAATTTAAAACATCGTAGCTTACGTAAACGTGATGATAAAAATTATGCGGAAAACCGACGAAATTCCAGTTCAAGTGCAAACAGTGCAGCCCTAACTTATAATTCATCAATGAACGCAGCGAATAATAATTACAACAGTAACAACACCTGTAACATTATTTCCGGTGAATCTAGTAGGAATAATAGCTTTGAGCAATCAACTGAAGATGAACTATCTGATTTGCAATCTTCAGTTAACATGTACTTCGGTGCTGTAGAGCGCATACGAAATGGTGAAAAATTTATTGTGCGCGGAAAAAGAACATTAACAAACGGCAAGATACAATATTTAATGGAATGGGAAGGTTGTTCACAAGTAGGTCAATAATGTGAATATTAGCCTACTTAAAATCAAATACTTCAATATTCTGTTCGTGTTTTTTTATCTTTGTTTTTTTTTTGTGAAATTAGTCAAATTTTTGTTCTTGGTTTTTCTCGGATTGAAATGTCTTTTTAAATAACATATTGTCTCCGACATAATTTTTTTTTTGTTGATTTGATGATTTAATTTTTAAATAATAAAAAACTTATTAAAGCGCATTATGAACCAAGGTACTGCCAACTTTTTTAATATTTATAATTTTATTCTATTTTTATGTTTTTAAAAATTTATCTCAATTAATACATTATGTGTTGCATGTTGTTTTAGTTGTTTTAACTAAGTAATTGAATTGATTAAAATATCTAAAATAAATTTCAAAATCAAGTAAAAATTTAGGGCGCTAAATTTAACAACATCTATAAATTTTAATATTTTAGTTTTTAGTTTATTCAGTATTTTATTCCTTCGTTCTTAATTTCTAATAATGTTTTGTTTAAAATTTCGATTGACATCCGTCAAATTTTTTTTTCAAATATTAAAAGAAATGATTAAACTAATTTGTAAAACCAATTTATGAAAATGGTATTAGAAATGTTATATTAGGGAAACTATTGGATATGTATGCAATTACGGATACATTAAAACAGGTTATTATTTCAATATAAATATTTCAAAATTTAAATTTGTTCGTGGTAATAGCAAAAAAGCTTTTCAGACACCAGAGATAAAACAAGAAAATCACGATGGAAAAAATAACTCTTCAAAGAGCACTTTTCAACATTTCATAGTTTACAAATATCAACCACCCGGTGCTTTTTAACTCGTGAATTTATACATTTTTTCTAATTTAAAATGGTTGAACGATTAATTATGAATGAAGCAGAGTTTTACACGTTTTTGAAAACCTATTCTGTCATTTCCTGTTACGTATCTGATTGCAAAGCTATCCGAAATTTATGAAATAAGTAAGACTAGTTTAATTCATTATCATAATTAAAAAAGAATTATTCCAGTATACAGTACATATACATGTATATATACATTCAAACGTTTAAAAAGAACTGAATTAATATAAATAATCTATTTAAATTTTTTATAGGTATTATGTATACATACGTATGCTTATATAAATAACATTTAAACATATAAATTGACGAAATCTTAATTTCAAGTTAGGATTTTTACATTTTTTCTGTTTGAAACATATCATTTTGCAACCTTGTTTATTAAAAATAAAACAACCTTTCAGTGTCGTTTTTATAATAAATAAAAAATTATGTGAGGTTATTATAAAATTATTACAACTTTGAAATTTTTTTATTTTGTAACCAGTTTGACTTAATTTGAATTAAATAAATGTTAATACTATTAGAAAAAAGATTTAAAACCCTAGAATAAGAAAATTTTATTACACAACATATAAAATCTTAATTTATTTTCTAAATACATAAATATGTACATATTGTTTAAATTGAATTATTTCAATCTATTATTTTAAAGCTCATTAAACTTAAAATTTTGGATTTAAAATTTTATTATCAAAAATGAATTATGTATTCCTAATTTGAAATTATTTAATTTTTTCTAAAAAAAAAAAAAGTTAAAATAGTTAAAAAAATATGTATGCAAAATTCGTTAGTAGTAATTTTAATGTATTAATTAAATGTAAATTCTGTATTTGTTATTCTTTTAAACTATACTAAAATTGAATATTAACAATATATTTAAGAGGTAAAATTTCTTTTAAATTATTTACTAACATTCATGAGAAGTAGAATAAATGCTAAAGTATCAATAAAGAAACAAAAACTAAAATAAGAAATATGTTCCAATTTAATTAAAAATTAAACGCAAAAAAGCAGGGTAAAATTTTCTCATTTTGATACAATTCAAAATTTATCTTGAATGTAGAAAAATAAAAACATTTTTAATATGTTAGTTTTGATTTAAATTTTAATTGTTTAGATTAAGTAGTTGGAAGTGAAATAATATTTAAATAAATAGTTGGGAAATCTGCTCTCCCTAAATAATTTTTTGTTTAGACAAAATTTAGAAATTTTATATTATGTATAGAAATACTAATTATAAAAATGAAAAGTAGTGTAAAATAATATAAAATAAATTTAAAATGATTTGTGTTGTTGGCTAGACCAAACAAAAGAGAGGAAACATGAAGTACAATTTAAATCTGTTGAGAAATTAAGTGAAATTTATTATGAAATTATAAGTTCTTAAAAATTAAAACATATGTATAATTTTTTTATGAAAAATATGTATTTAAAAACAAATTTTTCGTCAAAAGAGTAATGTTATTCAGTTTTTAGTAATGAGGCAAGAATTATTCATAAAGAAAGTTCGTAAAAATACGTTTCAAACAATTTAATCGGACTTTATCAAAAAAGTTGTAAATTATTCAATGAAGAACCAAATTATATTTGTATCCAAAAAACTAATTTGACTCAGATTTTTTTCAATTTTATCCAAATTTATTTCAGTTAATTAAAGCATTAATAATTTAATTAAATATATGTTCAAATTATAAATTTTTCTATTTTATCATTCTATATTTATAGGCTAATAAAATTACTTTTTTCAATATTTTAATTTCTATAATTTTTATTATAAATATTGTTTATAAACAAAAAATCTATCTTTTTCACATCGAGTAATATAAATATAGCATTTTTAAATGTAAAGCATATTTTAGATAATATGCGAATTTCAAATAAAATCAAAATTATTTTCATTTATATGGTTTAGGATGAGAATTATTTATGTTATTTATATTACTTCTTCTTTAACTACTTTCGAGATTTTGTATTTCATAAAATTTGCATTAGATCAAATGGGTTAAATCAAAACGTTAATTTCAATAATTTCTAATCATCATTCAGTTAAAGATTTTTTTTATTTTCAAGTAACATAATTGTGATTGAATTTATTTGATTTTAATTTGAAGTTGGTTTTTCGTTTTGTGAAATGCAATTGTGAACGCAAAAATTTTGATACTTCATTGTTCTCTCAATAAATCTGAATAACCCAAATTTTTATTGGCGAATATTATTTATTTTTCATTTGTTAACTATATTCAAAATATCTTGGTCAAAGATTTTTTTTCATTCAAATCGTTACAAATAAATTTCCTTTTCTATATTTGAGAATTTATATTTTATTTTTTATTCAAAGTAAAGTGAAAGAATTAAAAAAAGGAGAAAAGCCTAAATAGAAATGCAAATAATTTAAGATAGTTATAAGAAAGATACATTTTTATACTGCCAAAAATATTAAAATTTCCCATAGTGTAATTATTAATAAGAATTATGTAATAGTATACATAAAGTTAAACATTTTAAATATGAATTTCAAATCATATAAATTCTTTCGGTATCAGCAAATAAATTATTACGAAAAACAAAAAAAAACTACTAGCTAATAAAAAGCAAACTACTAGCTAAGATTTTCTTGACGAAACTAAGAATATAGTATATGCTTTAATTTATCAATAAAATGTATAATGTGCATAATATGCATATAAAAAAAGTTCAATTCAACTAAAAAAGCCAAAATACCTCAAGAAAGTTCTAATTAAAAGTTTTCATAAATTGGAATTACCTTATTCCAATCAATCAAGATCTACCTTCTAACATCTAATATCAAACTAAGTATGTAACTATAAAAATTATATAGAAAATTTAATTAAAAAATTATTCATTTACGAATTTTCTTTATTTTAAAGTTATTGCAAATTCTTACTTACTTATATTAAAAAACATCAAAAAGATACAAAAATATGGAATGTATAGAAAAATATTGCTAATATTTCTTTGAATTTCTAAAACAATGAAACATATATATTATTTTAAATTTAAAAGGTAATAATTAATTTCGTCATGTTAATATAAGTTAAAGAGTGTTTGTGCAAACGGTACGTGTCATCATAAATGCAGATTTTATGCCTTTTTTAACAGTGGATTTTGGCTAAGAGAGATATGGACTGCCTCCATATGCGTTATGTTTAGTCCAATAAGACTGTTCCACTCAGTTATATTAGATTTTTATTTTTCAATAAAAAAAATTCAATTCCCCCAATAACAAATTCCTTTCGCTTTTACCATATCTAGTCCAAATTTATAATATTAAATAAATGCATATACAATTTCTTTATAATTAGTAATTTAATAAAATTTAAATTTCCTAATGAGGAAGATGTATTATAATAATTAATGAGCAAAAAATTATTGTATTAATGAGTAAGATGTATTATTGCAAGAATAATATGCCGTACATAAATAAGTACAGTTTTAAAATACATATTTATACTTATATACAATATTATGACTTCATGTATTATATACATACATATTTAAATTTTATTCTGATTTTTTCTTAAATTACTATTATGTTTCTACGTTACTTTTATCACTTTCACTGTTGAACACTTTGAATTGCAGGAATTATTTCGAAAATATTCGAATTAACAAAAATAAAGAAAAGAAATGATGTTATGTAAAAATATTAAATTAATAAAAATTTGTATAATAATTAATTTTTTAAAACAAATATTTAAAATTATAAGTTAATATGAATATTTCTTTGAAACTCAGATTAGTTAAGCTATAGATTCTACTCCTTTATTTTTCCGAAATAAGGGCAAAAACAACTTAGCGATTTGAGAAAAATAGTAGTGAATGAATTCTGTTTACAAAATATTATTTAAAATAATTAAAGTAATATAAAAATTTCATAAAATCAAAAGTAATTAACAAAAAAGTTTTTTTTTAAAAAACTAATTAAAAAAAAATTATTTAAGCAGTAAAATAAATGAATTTTAAAACTTTATATCATTTTTCATTACAAACTCTATTTCCTTCTAAACCCTTTGCGTCTAGATTTGGAATCAACAATTAAATTTGCCTGGCGTTTTAAGAAGTTACGTGATGGCACTTCATTTTCATCCTCAACTGCACCTAAAATGATTTTTATAATTTCAGAATGTAGGTATTACATATTTGTAAATATTTATACATTATTATGTATTACTCGTATTGCAGATATTAAGGACATGAATATGCTTTACTGAAAAAATAATTTGGTTTCTTTTTTTTTTTTGATTGTTTTGAACAATTAAATTTTAAAAAAATTTTGATTGTTTTTTGAAGAATATAAGAATAAACCAATTTGAGAATAATTAAAAAATAGAGTGTACGTTTGCTGGCGAGTATGTCGACAGAATAAATCTTGAAATCATGAGTAAACACATTGTATTGGGCAGCATAAATTTTTAATAAAAGTTGTAATTAATATGTGTAAAAAAAATTTTTACCAGCTTGTTGTGGTGGTCCGGGAGATGCTGATATAGATTGTGCTGCTCGAATTAAATTGTAGTAACAGATAGGCAACGCTGGAGGTTTTTCTTCTGTAGGAGTTGGTGTTACTCTAGGTGACGTTAATGGAACATACAATTCATCAGCCTAAGAAAGAAAAACATATTTTATTATTACTCACTCAATGTTGTGATAAAATCAACTTCAACCTACCTTAACATCACCTATCAGTTCTTCCTCGCTTTCTTGTTTTTGTTGTGATAATCTTAGGGCTCGGTTAAGCTTTACATTCAATATCTTAATAGAAATGTTAAATTAAAACTAGCAACTTTAAAAAATTCTACGGATTTTAATAAATGCATAATATAATTATAGAATTAATAGTGTATTTAAAACTGTATGTATCTTAAAAATCTTTTACTTTGTTACATTTATACCTACTTTTAAAAAAGTTTTACTTTTTCGCTACTATCTAAATTATAATGCGCGTTTAGGCAATTTTTCTAAAAAGTTTCAACGCTCATAAATATTTCGATATGCTACTTAGCGTAATTATTTTTACTTACATCAATCAAATCCATATTTGTTGCTCGGTTCCTAACATAATCAGGTATTTCATGGGCAAAAATATTTCGTTCAGCTTGTGTTAAAAGCACGTCAGTTTCATCAACTTCTTGTAGCTTAAAAATCATTTCCATGAGTGCCGAATTAATAGATGTAATTACAATTTCAGTCTTTTGAATCTCCTCAAGGTTATTTTGATTTTCCTGTTTTAAGTTTTCAATATCAGCTTTAATTGCTTCTAATAATTCCTGATTTCTATGGATATTTAACAAACAAAATGTCTATTCATCTTTGAATATAATTGAAATAGGGCTTACACTTCAGTTTCTTTAATATCACTGAATTTCGACATTTCCAGCTCATTTGTTAAAGTTTCCCGCTGGTTTTCCAAATGTTTCTTTTCAGCTTCAGCGGCAGTTCTTAAATAACTAAAATTATTGAAATAATCAAAATTATATTCAATTATATGCATATATGTATGTAGTTTGAATGAACTAACGTTAGCCGAGCCGTTGATTCTTTTTGAGAAATAAATCTATCTAAAACTTCATTAGGTGTTGTTGCTCCAGTTATTTCCATTAGTTTTTTGAAAATTTGTTCCATTTCAGTATTTGCTGCTTTTAGTTGGGCATTCTCATCTTCTTGTTGATCAGTTTTTCCGGTATTTTGATCACCTGAACTTGATCCAAGGCTTTCTTGATGTGTTAACGCATTCTTACCACCACCGGTTGCAAATAGTGTTCTTTCAATTCGTTCTAATTCGATCTTCCTTTCTTCAACTTTACGTCTATAATCCATTGCTTGTCTTTCTCTTGCTTTATTGGAATGTGCAGTCTGTTGTTCCTGTCGCTGTAATATTATTCGCGCCGCATCCCGCATTTCAATTGCTTCTTTGTGAACTTGCTGAATTGAAATATAAAATTCTTATTACTATTAACAAACAGAGAGACTAACATATGTATGTGTATGATTTACATTACATACTAACTTGCAAACGATTAATTTCAGCTTGTTGATCAGCTAATGCATGTTCCAATTCTTTAAGAGATTTTTCGAAACGTTCAGCATCTGTCATTAAAGATGCTTGGATAGAACGGTACTTTTTCCGAATGTGTTCTGCTTCCATATATTGAACATTAGTACGGTGTATCTCATTTTCTAAATGAGATACAAGCTACAAAATTGATAAAAATACTAGTTTTACTTACCATACACTTAAATATTTAAACTTAAATATTACTATTACTTTTGCTTTTACTATAAATTAACTTTCTTAAAACATTTTTAGATACGAAATTAATTACATTCAGCATTTATTGTAGTAAAGCTAAGCTAAGTTAGTTCTAACTAATCGATGATAAAAAATTTATTATTTCTATTTGGCGCGCCCATTGCGCCAAATACCTTTGCTTTTACTTTTTAATTTCCAATATGGAATAAATGCGAAAGGTGAAACGCATTGGATTAAATAAGTCAAACTTGACAAAAGATTTTTTGAAATCTTTAGAATGCGCATTAAATTATGTCCTAAATTATTATATAAATATAAAGTTTAAATATTTTAACCTTTCTATTAGTATCTTCTTCAATTGTTTCAGGGGGCAGGCCATTTAAATCAAATTTTTGAGCAGATTCCTTATAAGCCAATAATTCTTTATAGTGTTCTACTAATGTATGAAAGTATTCACGACGTTTCAAATATTTGTCATGCATTAAATCATACTGTTTTTTAGTTCCAGTTACTTTTAAGTCTGTGAGAAAACATGCTTCTTCAACAGTTTTAGCGCCAGCGGGAAATATAGGTTTTCCTCCGATCGTATTACCATTTTCCTCGAGTACATCTTTTGTTGGGCGACGATTAAGTGGATTTTTTAAAAGGGCCAATCTTTGTGTCATTTCTTTTATTTCTTTTTTTAGAGTGTTTATTGTTTCATTATTACCATCTCTTTTTTTTGCCCATTCCTCGGTGTTAGCTTTTTTTTGGCCCTCTGAAAATTTTTGAAAAAATTATCAAACAAATAAAAATATTTAATTACAAATTTAGAAAATGTTCAGTAAATATTCCATAAGGAAAAGGTAAGCAATTTTCATCTCACATAAGGTCCTCATATCTTAAAGAAAGGTAGAAATGGACTAATATATGAATATATATATATATATGTTCCCCCAGTACTGTTATGATTTGATCGAGACGGTTCATTCCTCGGATTGAATGTGAATTTAAAAAGACAACAAAAATGTTGTGTAAGAAACATTGATGGCATTAATTAATATCTCGGAAGATATAGATATTGAAAAGGTATAAGTATTTAAATTTTCCTATCAATATGACAGAGCCGCTTTAAATCAGTGCACAAGCATTAAAATTCTTTTAGCAACCTATATGTACGCTTTTATTTGATTCAAATTGAGTCTAAAATTCTATGTTACGAGTATAATCAGTATTTATACAAAAAGCGTAATATTTTAATTGGGTTCAATTCGGCTTTCTTTACAAAAAAAATTTCTAAAGTAAAAGTTTTATTCTCGTTTTGTAAAAAATGTAAACATTATAACATCATTACTATTGGATTTTATATAAACCTTGTTATGTTATAATGTTACATTTAATAATCAAATTTGAAATATTAATTTAAAAAAATTATTTATTTCATGCTTGGTGGAAATTGTTATGCCCGTAACTATTTTTAGCCGAACTTCCTTGTTATTAATCTACTTAATAGTCTCTTAAGATCTGTAAGTAAATTTTAAAAAAATAAAGTACAAATATTTATTGTATTTTTGTAAATTTTACAAAAATACAACAAATACTGTGCTTCTTTAACTTTTTTGAAATGCATAATGATGCAACTCAACGTAATATACTCATATAAATTTAAATTTTAAAATGAAATAAAAGAACAATTTCATGATGCAAAATTTGTTTACCTGCTAATAATATGCGTTTTTTAACTTCTGCAATTTTTTTATTAGTTTGAATTAGTTTTTCCGATTCCATTGCATGATATTTAATTGGCTTTGTATATTTTAATTTAAAATGAAAACTATTGTTACACTACTCGTTATTGATTAAACAAAACACAAATTACTAAACAACAGAAATTCAAAATTATTATACTTAAAACTCACCAGTGTCAACACTGCAAATCATCGCAGTTTTATCGTAAAAATGAGTAATTTTGATAATCAAATGAGTTATTTAATCTAATTTTGAAGAGAAAAATAATGTTTTTATTACAATATGTTAATTTGGTAAATGGAATATGAAAGTTTGATGAGTACTCGGTTTGATTTGGTCGTCAAAATGGACTATGTAGAAATTTAAATATACATATGTATGTATTATTCTCTACAGAAATTGCATCCCGGCAAGTGCAATATGTTCGAATTTCAATTTGCAATTTCTTGTGGTGCAAAAGTTAAAAGTATATTAAGATAAAAGATATATTAAGTACATAATAAGTTATATATTTATATATATATATATATTAATACATATTAAGTAAGTATAATTGTGCAATAAATAATCAAAATCCAAATACAATAAGTACGTCATTCCGTATTTTTTTGTAATTTATTCATTCATTGTTAAATATTGTTTACAAATTAATAGTGCATACCTTTAGTAACCCAAAACAAAAACACATTAATGGTCAAAGTAAATAAAATCGAAATGATAGTGAACATCGATTTTTTGAGCAATTTTTATTCTTTTGTACACTCATTCTTAGATAATTAGGCATTAAAAACGAAAAATTAAGAGACTGAAGCACAGTGAGGACCTTTTCTGTGTAATTTAATATGTGGAGCACAGTTGAAAAACACTTTCTCAAATTGAAGAACAAATGTTATAAGAAACTGTATTATAATTAAAAACGGTTTCTTACTATTTTTAAATTGAAAAAAATTAGTTAAATTAAATTACATGTATGCATGTGAAACAGGACTATCTTCAATTTTTCCTTCATTACTAAAAAGCTATCTTTCATCATATACTACGTTTTTTGCTTGAACAACCATTTATCAAAGTTTCGTTTTCATTTCGCGTATTATATTATAAGCAATTGTTTTTCCTTAGCGCTAATTAATCTTGTTATCAGTATATTTCTGCTAAACGTGGTTTAATAACAAAACAAAGTTGCTAAAATGTTTATGGGGGTCATACTATTAATAATACATAGCACTATAGTTTGAATTAAGTAAACAAATAAGTAAAACTTTTATAAATATTTTGTTATTATTTGCTAAATTGAATTATTATCAGTTAAATTTTTATTCTGTGAGTAAAAAATAAATACTTCATATCTGATGCAAGCTTGCAAGATTTCTTTTTAAATCTTTTTAAATCTTGAGACATCGACTACAATATTTTTATGTTGTAAATTTTTCTTCTACTTATAATTTTTAGACTCTGACTCCCAGAATTTAGAAACAATTACAACGATTGATGGTCACTTTCCGCAAAAATATCATTAAGCCCATTAAAATTGAATCATATTTTTGTAGGAAGTCAACCATTTTTTCAGTTATTTTTTAATTGATTGAATTTTAAAAAAGGCGTCAAAACTTATTGTCTATTAAATTTAAATGAGTCATTTTTCGATATTTGTCTGGTAAACGGAAACCTATTTAAAATATCTTGTCATTATAATTTAGAAAATTTAAAACGGTTACTCATCAAAATTTTTCTGAAGTTTTATGTTTAGCCGAGCGCGTCGCTAGCTGTCACTTGACATTATCAATAAAAATATAAATCACTCTGTATTATATTTTATAAAAGCTTTCGGATATGTTAATTTTTTTTAATTCTTCAAAAGTTCAACGCTGTATAAAAACTCAGAAAAAGCACTCTTCCCTTTAGTTGTCAAAATTAATCATAGCAAGAAAGATTTAATCATATAATTAAACGTGCATCATATAAGATAAATATTTGTTTTCTTTCAAAATAAAAATAGAAATTAGGACTTAAAAATAAGAAGTTTTAAATCAAATAAAAACAAGAAATACGAATTAAAATTAAACAAAATGAGTTTATATCAAACTTTTAAAGTTAGTACAAGAACTTTAACTTATATTTCAACTATTCAGTTTGGGAAAAGGAATAAATTTCGGTAAGTTTTTAAAAGCATGTTTGACATTTTTACATGTTAAATTAAAAGAAATATAATATTAAATTTAATTTAACCTATAAAACTGAACGTGATTTACTTAAGCGATAACTACCTCTATTCCTAGCTAGATAATAAACGTGACAACCATAAATAATACAATTGAACATTGAACCGGTTTTATATAATATGTCAATAAGTTAAAATGCAGATAAATATTTTTAAGGAAAATACATTCATAAGTATATGCGACTATGTATTTCAGCACAATAGGTAAAAATATATTTTTGTATGCAGCTACTTACACAAAAACTAATAGTACTTGTGCAGCGTACCTACCTAAATGTTAAATAGACTGATTACTATTAAAGTAACTTTTCAATTTTGATTAGATCACGTCAAATCTATACTAAAACGAAACTTAAAAATTTATTTATTGAAATATAATATGCTTATTTAGTCAGATTATTAGAGCAAAACAAAATTTTTTAAATTAAAAAATTCAATTAAAACTGTATAATATATTATTATATATAAGTAGGTAAACACCAACTAAATTTACAAAAAAAAAGGGTTAAGATTTGATTCTACTTTTGGGAAGCAAAATATGAACTTTCTATACCGAAACTTTTGAACAAATTTAGGTTAACCGTAGTTTATTTTTAATTTACTATTTATTTACAATCTATAAATAGCTCATATTATTTACATATTATTTTTTAAAAACACTTTACATAAGTACTTACATACTTATACGTATATGTATATTTAAATTTTCAATGCGCGATACACAATTTGTTTCGTACAATTTTTTTTATTTTTTCAGTAACATCTCTCGCAAAAATAACTAAATTGATATCAATTATTCAATTTAAATACACATACATGCTTATGTTCCACATAAGTTGTACAAATGTAGGTATATATTAAATATTATCAATTATTTTAAATGAATGAGGAATTTGACTATAGAAAATAAATGTTTTTATGTAGAAATAAATAGAAAAGTAGAATATCAACTTTAATAAATGCCTTGATACAATAAAATATGAACATTTTAAGCAACGTGTCTTTTAGCACTTGTTGATAAAAAAAAATTGTTGCAAATTGTTTTCACATTGATTCGCATAAATTCAGAATTAAGACAATTGATTTAATTAATGTGCATAATCATAAATTTACATCTATATTACCTATATGCAAATCCGACTCCTTTAGGGTTACCTATCAAACTACATCCTCGATAATGTAAGCAAATTTTAAACATAACAATAAGTTTTAGTTATCAGTTTAATATTTCAGTTACAAGTTTGCCTTGACGAAAACGCTTCGAGACATTTAGAATTTTTTACTGCAGAATGGATTTCAAATTGATTCCAAAAAAATCTCACTCATTTTATCGCATGTAATCTTTTACTGCAGGAAAACAGTTATTAAAAAAAACTAAAATAAAAATATGTAAGTAGATATATGTATAGTTGAACTTATAGTTATAATTTCGATTCCTTGTTTGAATTTTTTAAGCGTAGAAATTCTCTAAAATTTAAGGAATTTAAAAAAATAGGATACGTATTGTAGATATTATAGGTATGTCCATACATTGTGCAAAGTACATATCTACAGTTAGTACATTCTCGTAAACAACGTTAGGTTTTTCGCCTTTATTTTTTAAACGTTTTTGTTTTTTTTTATATTCAACTTCTGTGGCAAAATAGCATTGTTCAGCCATGTTTGCCCGATTTCTAGTAACCAAGATACAGAGCTTAATCACAGAATTTTGATTTTATATGAAATAAGCAATATGAAAATTACGTACGTATTTATAGCGTACTTTTTCTCTCCCTCTATTGGAAAAAATAAACTCGTTTTGTTAAAATAATTATAATTAGAGTTTAAAAAACATCAAAAATGATTTTTTGTAAATGTGTATTTATCAAACACCACTTTTTTAACGAAGGTCAATCTTTTTTTGTGAAAGTCTATTTAATAAATAAGAATGTACGTAGGTACTTATAAAAAGTATTTCAAACTTCATTCTTAATTTTTAAATTTCTTTGTTTATATTTTTCTTTTCCTGTTTTTTTTTGTGTTTTCGAATAGAATCATCTGTTATTATTTTTAATAACATTATTTACAATTAAGTAAAATATTTATGAATCTTTATCAATTGTTGTTTTGCAAGTTGTTTTTTTTAACTCGCATTAAACAAATCAGGATTCCTTAAAATGAAATTAAAAATGTTTATAATAATGTTTTATTTTTAAAATTTAAATTCAAGGTTTCAGTTTTGAGAGCAAAAACATGTATTGACTTAGTATAATTAAATATACATACATATATGTATGAATATATATTTTATGATAAAAATAAAAAAATTAAAAAAAAAGGAAAATATACTAGAATACAAAAAAACCGGAACAATATTGTGTACTTATTGCGTTAAATTGGAACCAAAGTACATAGTTGTAGAATTTGTTTTCATACTTAATAGAATTCAAGCCAAGCATTTCATATGAAATTTGGATCGGTGATTTTAAAAAAGAAACCCAAAATGAATTAAATTTTACGATTCTTTTTCTTATAAGAGTAAAATGTCTCAAACTCGTCAAGTAAATAACATAACATAAACCCACATTCGTATCCATATGTACTCGCAATTACCGTTTCTCTAATATCAAGCGCAGCAGCGGACCAATTTACTCTTGCATCACATAATACACAAATATTGCTGCAGATAAATATTAATTTAATGAATATCATCAATAAAAATGCCATCACAGCGCTACTGCTTTGAAAAATTACGAAGTTATAAAACATTACTTTATCATACTTGTTACACAGTTTTCAAATAAAACTACGTAATTTGCTTTCGAATATAATATTTTCTACGGAATTTTTTAATTCTTATTTCTAATACTTTGCATTTTTTTTCCAAACCTTAGTAAGATTATTAACATAAACTGCTTTATTAATTTAAATTCAAGTGTTTGTTTTCATTGTAATTTGATTATAATTAAAATCAATGTGTTTTGATTTATGAGTTTATAAAAATTTTTTAAAAATATTTTCATCTCAATATTAATATATTTGAGAAAAAAGCGGTTGAATTCTTCACATAGAAAGAAAAGATGACTTTAGTGGTCATTTTTTTGGAGAAAAATATTTACACACATATTTTGCATATTATACTGAAAAGATTTTCATAATACGCAATACTGCAGAAGAATAACTGTAAAGCACAATATTGCTAAAAGATAACGTTATGATATACATTCTTATATTTTTGCTATTTTTTTCTATAAAATCAAAACTTTTTATATGGTAGCGAAAATACTTAGAGTGGCCCAATTAACACTCTCAGTATTTTCGCTAGATTGGCAAAATTTAACAATGTTTACCGAAAAACTGGATTGGCAACATTTACTTATGAACATAAATATTGCGCAGTTCTGGTTTTGAAATAAATAATAACACTATCGAGCATTCACGTTTCTAAAATTCACCAAGTGTTAGTTTTTATAAATAAAAATTTGATATGATTCTCACATTAATCGCAGGAGCATAAAATCTCAAAAAAAATAAATATATAAATTTTGACCAAAAATTTTTAAGCCTTAGTCTTTCATAAAAAGTAATAAGAGGAAAATCAATTCTAATTTTTTGAAATTCGACATCAGTATGACCCAGATCTATTTTATAAACCGTTATTTGAATCATAAAAAATTGATTAAACATCTTTATTTGCTTTGTTTAATCAAATTTTAATACAACGAACGCAATATTTGCATCATAGTAATGTTGAAGTTAAGTATTCAAATATTCTTACAATAGGTAGAGTACTTTTGTATCGTCTTGATTTAACCAAAGTTGTTGAAAATTTTTTGTTCAATTGCTCCCTATTTTGACATTGCTAGGAAATTAATAGCGATCGCTCGTTATACATATAGGTATCTCAAGTGATCTGAAAATGTCAACAATAAAGTATTTTCATTTTTATGTATTCTTCTTTCAATTTAATTTTAAGTATGTTGAACCTTCTGATAACCAAATGTTATTTATTTTTATATTTCTTTATGAAATAATTTTAAATTTTATTATTTCTTATGTTATAAATAAAATTGAAATGTACTTATACGTACTTACGTATTTTAAAATATTATAAAACCATCTTTAATAGGGTCATTTTAAAAAAAAACTAGTTAAAAGTGGTTTTTTTTATTTTAATATTATAATAGCAGCAATAATTATACGAGGAGATAAAAACATAATATATTTCGCACACAAAAAACACTGCTTTACAAATAATGAAATAAAACTGCAAAACCAATAACTTCTACACACTCAAGATAAAAATTTTGCAGTCAAATAACTGTTAGTGAGAGCATTATTTTTGTAGAACACAATTTTCTCTTCAAAGGCGTTAAAATACAAATACAAGTATGATTATTTTAAAGCGGTTTTTCAAATTTTGTAAATTGGCGACTTTAGGGCTTTTATAAACTCAATTGAACTCAAAAATAAGTGATACACTTAAATTGGTTAATAGAAACGTTCTATTTCATGAACTTGGGTTTGATGGACCATTATGGATTATGGATTTTAATCTATTTTCTATCATACATAATACCATAATGTATGATTTGAGCAATAATTTAAGATTAGAGTGCATTTATAATATTATAAAGTCTGATTTATATATTATATTTCAAAAATGAATATTGTTTTTTACATTATGTACTGCCCTGGTTACATTATGTACCGCGTAAAGGAAGCAACTCTCATTTTCCTTTTATGGTTTTAAAAATATGTATACAGTTTATATATGAAGAAAACAACATTATCATCATTCAAAACGGTACTCAGTTAAATTATGAAAAAAAATTTAAAATAAAATTACATTTGAAAATTTTTATAGGGTAAAATTTTTATAGCATATTTTTTCTTTTATTAAGTTTTTTTAACTCAGTGCTAACATAGAACTAATACAAAATATGTTAGGCAAATAAAAAATTTATTGTTATTAATTAAACTTATGTTTATAACTAATAAAAACAAACAAAAAGGACCTACTCCAACAATAGTTTTTTTTAAACTAAGAAATAATTTTAATAAAATACAAATTGGAAAAAAATACAGGAATCATATCAAAGTTTGCCTAATTGAAGTATCTTCTTCTATTGAAGAAGAAGTAAAATTTGTTTAACGCGACGGCCATATACTAACCAGGACAGTGTACATATTAGTATCACAAATTATTTTTTTTTATTTAAACTTTCAGGCATACAAATGCGTTCATAATTGGTTCTGGTTTAGCTACTTTTATGTCAGTAAATCGGGTTGGAATGGAAGCCAGCCGAAAATTGAGCACTATACATTTTATGGCTGAGCCAATAACCAGACCTGACGATCTTTTAGCTCGACATTCCGACATGAAAAGTAAAATGGAGCTATTAATTATGAAAATACAGGCAGATTTTTGCCATGCTCTTGAAAATGAAGAAAATTTTGGACAAAAATTCAAAGTAGATCGTTGGGAACGTCCCGAAGGCGGTGGGGGTATAACATGCGTTCTACAAGATGGAGATGTTTTTGAAAAAGCAGGCGTCAATATATCTGTTGTGCAAGGCACATTACCACCAGGAGCTGTACAACAAATGAGGGCTAGAGGTAAAAAATTAACTGCTGGCGAGTTGCCCTTCTTCGCTGCTGGTGTAAGTGCTGTAATACATCCTAGAAATCCCATGGTTCCAACAATACATTTTAATTACCGATATTTTGAAGTCGAAGATAAAGATGGCAAGCAATGGTGGTTTGGGGGGGGTGAGTGTTTTTTAATAAATTGAAAGAAAAAGTATAATATTAAAATATATTTTAAGGTACCGATTTAACGCCGTATTATTTAAATGAAAAAGACGCAATACATTTTCATAAGACATTGAAAGAAGCTTGTGATGAGCACGATTTAAGTTATTATCCAAAATTTAAAAAGTGGTGTGATGATTACTTCAGAGTCACTCATCGAAACGAATGTCGTGGTATTGGCGGTATTTTTTTTGATGACATTGATGGTCCAAATCAAGAAGCTGCGTTTAAATTTGTCGAAGGATGTGCTAATTCCGTCATACCATCTTATCTACCGTTAGGTTAGTATAAAATTATTTAGTTAATTAATTAACAAAACATGCAAATTAAAGAGAACAAATTTCTTTTTAAAGAAAGTGATAACTTTTTTTAATATTGACGTAAAAGCTTCTTTTTTTTTGGAATTCTCCAGTAAGTTTATCAAAAACAACATTAACCTCTCTAAAATTAGTACTTCTTGTTTTGATATTTTTTATTATGTATTTTTATAATTTTTTAATTACTTGTTTTGTTATTTTAAAAAATATTATAGTAAGAAAACATAAAAATGATCCTTATGGTGACCGTGAACGCGAATGGCAATTATTAAGACGTGGAAGATATGTTGAATTTAATTTAATATATGATCGTGGGACAAAATTTGGTTTATATACACCAGGCGCCAGATATGAAAGCATTTTAATGTCACTTCCATTAACAGCTGTAGGTTTAATGACTTACAACTTTAATTATGTTTCATTAAATACATACATATGTTCTTTTCATTTTAGAGATGGGAATACATGAATCAACCAAAAGAAAATACACCAGAATATCAATTAGTTGAAGTCTTAAGAAACCCTAGAGATTGGTTGAATTCTGAAAAGTTAAGTAAAATTCCTATGGCAGCGAGCGCTTGTGCTTAAAATTGAGACTAAATTTTAGAAAATATGGTATTTTAACTTGGCATGATTATAGAATAAATATACAATTCATAATATCATCAAATCATAAGCGAACTTTGAAATCGATCATTTCTCTTAGTTTTAGGTGTAAAATTTTTGTAATACATACATAAATATATATGTACATAAATAATGTTATTTTACTATGTATTGTTACTATATATAAAGATATTTTTAGGCATATTTTGTAATAAACTATATTTATAAATATGGAAAAAATTAAATAAAAAAAATTTTTTTAAATTTTAAAATAAAAAAAATTTAATACATATTTTATAGTCATATCAAAATTGGCATAGTATATTGAAAATTTTATTAACATTTGTTGAAATTTTGATCATTAGGTGGGCTAAAGTTTGTTGATCCTTATGTTACTAAGCGGTACTTTGAATCATTTGCGGGGCCTATTTTAGAGTAACGTTTATAACTGGTTTAGTCGCCCCATAATGCGGTGGGTGTTTCGCATATTGTATCTGTCTCGAAAAAGTTTTTGCGGTTTGCTTTTAAGATTGCAGTTAATTACGTCACAGACATTAAGAATAGTTTCTGACAAACTCCTTATTCTTTACCTGGCATTGGGGGGTATTTTGGCTTTATCGTTGTTTGGGTGTGTTTTTAAGATAAGGTCACTTGAGTTGCATAACTTTCGTCAACTGGGGTAGCAGCATGTAATTTCTTTTAAATTTTTCAAAAAATAGTAGCACGTAATTTAGTTTTGACCATTTTTCTAGTCGTTGTATTTCATTAATTCTAATTCTTTGCTTATTGATCCAACCGTTATCAAGAGTACTCTTAGATTTAGAGAATAATTTAAGTTTGTTGTAGTTTTGTTTTTCTTTTTGTCGTTTTTAATTTTTTTTTTGGAGGCAATATGTTTGTAGTATTTTATTTCTTTTTGTCTCAGTTTACTTATCCTTGTATTTTAATTCCTTTCCTAATCCTCACTCTTATTAACCTTTATCTATTATTTTCTCTCCTTCCTATAAAAAACAACGTATATTTCTTAAACCGATTGCTTATTTGCGGCTATGTGATTTTTTCTTTCTTTTGGCGATATTCTTGAAGCTTGATCTATGCAACAGTAGTTTGATGGGAAAGTTTTCTGCATTCGTCTTTTTGGATATATTTATGTAACGTTTATAACTGGATTTCTTATATCCTATTTTGTATAGAGTTTTACTCTATGAAAAATACACATTTAGTGCAGTTTTCATTTAATTTGTTAGTCATACTCTAAAATACACTACACTAAATGTGTAGTTTTCATTTAATTGAAACTTCCTATATTAAAAATCTAATTCATTCTTAATTCCATATGTCCATACATATGTATGTATGTATTAAGAATTTGTTTTATTTATGAATATTACAAGGTTTTTTCTTATCTGAAATATTAATCAAAAATAGTTGTATTTTTGGTCATTTTAAATTTCTGATTGATTATCTGAGTTACTAAATTTTTGCGCTTTTGATTTTGTATGGAAACTTCAACTGTTAAAAAGTTGGTGTTTGCTATCATTTATACCAAATACTTTTTTTAAGAAAATTGCAAATTTATTCTAAAGCAAATCTAAATATTTTTAAGAAAAAGTATAGAAAAATATAATATTTAAGATATCAGGATATGGTTATATGCTAAATTGAAATTTTTCTAAGTGGCTGTAATACTAAATACACATGTCAAAATTAGTTAACGTAAAATGTGTTTAATTAATAATTTTTCTAAAAATGTACTTATTATAAAATTAAATAGTATGTATGTAATGCAAAGGTTTTAGAATCGTCTTGTTTGACCGCTAGATGTAGCTGCATTTTGTTTATTAGGATCATCAGGAACGCGAACTACAAGTGTGCTAAAAATATTTTTTAAAAATTGCTTAGAATTTCATAAAGAACACTTTTATAGTATAATAACCTTTTTGGTCCTGTGCACCAAGTAGTACCATCTTCATCAATAACAAATGTTTCTAACACAACTTGCCACTGTCCCCCCATTGATATAGGTACACCCATTGGAGATATTTGAATATTATTAAGTGGTAATAAAAAATTACCAGACAAAAAATCACGATGCGGTTTAACTATTTGAGATAAAGTCGTTATATCATTTGATTGCTGGAAAGTAAAATAGAAATTCAGATTCTGTTATTCAAACAAAATTATCCATATGATTGAAATTTTACTTTTGTTTCGTTATTTGTTCTTTGTGTAACCAATTGCGAAGTAATAGTTAGTTGCACTGACTCAACAGATCTGTATAAACATGGCGATTTCCCATAATGTTGAATTACTCCTTCAACCTTCACTACCAAATTACTGCCAGGCTGAACAATAACAGGTTCACCAGCAACCCGGGGTAATGGACTGATAGACAACTTGATACTTGTGCTTTGCAAAACTTGAAAGAAAAATCTAGGCATACAAATCGGTGACTTTGTTATTATTTCAATTTCATTCACTATTACTTCCATATGCTGAAATTATTAATTTTAATAAAATTTTTATTCAAAAAATTTAAAATATTCAATACTCTATTTGTTATAGTTTTCATATTTGGTTCTTCAGGTAAATTTTTAGACATAGTTTCCATGTTACCACAAGTCTTAATTAGATATTTTGTTTCTGGATAGTTGCCATCTGAAGGGCTAAAAGGAGATTCTGATGGTGATACAAAGCAAACGGTTTCAACAATATGTCCAAAAATAGCACACTGATATTGAGTTCTAAAATGACTAAGAAGATTAATATCATTTATTTTTCTATAATCGATATAAATTTACATTTCCAAAAACTCAAGCGTAGCTGGATCAGCATCAAATGCAGATTTATACAGCTTAGAATATGCATCTTCGCACGCTTTTAAGGCTTTCACAGACTTTCTTAATTGATTTGTAACATGCCCATATTTTTGCAAATAATCTCTTGAATTTTGAGCCAATGTAGCAGCAATTGCTGGTGGTGGTATTATTGTTTGTGTATTTTTTGCAATCACAACACTAAATAATGATTGCAAGAATTGTCCACGCAATTTTATTAGTTCAGCTTGAAAATTTAAAGGATGTGATGGAGAAGAGCTCGCCTTTAGACTAGCTAAGGCTTTCCAATACAAATTTATAGATTTATCTAAACGTTCAGTTAGAGTTAAAAGCTTTAGGGGAGTGTTAGTGAATTTTGGGTCACATAAATTATAATTTGTTTGTATTGTATCGTAATCCAAACAATAATTTAAAATGCATTCAGCTTTTGAAATTTGGGAGAGTGAAACCAAAAAGAAGTGGAATTTGTCTAACGAAACATGAGTTGAAAGTTGACTAAATAATCTAGCAGCTAAGAAGTGCTGTCCATACCTAAAATGCACAATCGTAAATAAAACTTTGACTGCTTTGTAACGCTAATTACCTTGATGCAGATCTGCCAATTCTGTACTGGGTCCAGCAATTTGTAAATGTGGCAACGCGATCAAATACGTCTAACACTGGTTTTGGCATGAAAGCGCCAATCAAAGACTGCAATATGACAGCTGACAATATTTCAACAATTTGTATTTTATCAGGTTTCATATCATGCTCCAAAATTGAATCAAGTTTTTTTAAAATTTGAGAAAGTCGTTCTGTAACTGGGTTACTCTTCTTCATAGTAATAGGTTGAATTTGTGACGCTGGAGATGCTGGTATATCTGAGGGCGAAGTAGCTGTTGACAATTGATCGATCTCCATAAATTCAGTCGGATAAGGTTTATTATCTACAGCAAACTTTTTTAGTTGAAATTGAGATGACAAGGCCCCAAGAGTTTCACACATTAGTACTGAATGTTTTGAGCTGTATGCTAAATAATAAGATAACTATGTATTACAATTTCATTAAATTTATTAAATTTAAGGATTACCCACCAACATCGTCAGTTAAAAGCTCTCCAATCAACTTAACAAAATTTTCTCCGAATTCTGGATTGCACTCGGAAAGTTTGACACCACACTTTAAATACCGTTGTAATTCTTTTGTATATTTTATGTTTCCAACAGAAGAATATATCAAGCTTTCTAAATGCAAATTGACTAAGTTAATGAAAACTGGTGATGGTGTTATTTCCTCTACATGACAGTAAGATATTAAATTTGTCAAAATTCCAATAGTTTGACTTGCTGCAGCGTGATGTTCTAAGACCAAACAGGAAGAACACAATTCCAAAATTAAATTTTGCTCTTCGTTTAATAATTTATAGCATGTCACGTAGCACTCAGTTAAAGTAAGTGCTACTGTCAATATCAGACTCTGCTCATTTCCCATGTCACTGCAATTTTTAGCTTTACTTATCAAATCTTTAAGAGCACCTTCAGGCCAAAGAGTGGATCCATCTTTAGCTAAAGATTTTAATGATCTTAACACTTGATGACGCACTTTTTTTCGTGGGTCTTGGAAATAGTTCAGCAATAAATTGACTTGATCTGGGATATCAATCAAAGTTTTGCAAGATAATTTTGTCAACGTATCCAAAATTGCTATTACGAAACTCTCAGCAGGATATTTTGGCAAGAGTTTTAAACAAAGAGTTTTTACCAAGGAAGCCGTATTAGCATCATGATGCATATGATGCAAAACTGGTATTAATTGTAATTTCATGCTAATAGGGGTTTTCAAAGATTCAATCATTGCTCCAATCTTGGAACACATACTTATAGCAAATGACTTTGATTGTGCTGCGAATTGGACACTGGCATATATAGCAGCTTCAACTTCGACAATATCATGACTATCTAAGGCACGTCGAATTGAATGATGAACTTGCTGTTTTTCGGGAATAACACGAGCTACCGCTCCTAATGTACGCAATGTCAAGGCACGCCCAACGGGTTCATTAGAGTGAATTACCATGAATATCCTCTTAACGAATTCATCTATGTTAAGAATTTTATCTAAATGATTTTCACTTTGTTGACAAACTTTCAAAACCCAAAAACGGAGGAGGTTTGAGCTACGGGAAAATTAAACGTTTATGTTTTGTTGAAAATCAAAATTTTAATTAAATTTTAGTGCTTTAAATTTTTTAATTTAAAGTTTTCGAGTGCTTTAAATTTTTGAATTTTATTTTGGATCCAATTAAAAATTTTATATTTAAGCTGGATTCAGTAATGTATTGTCTAAGTTTTATTTATTTTTCAAATAAGTACTAATAATTCAGTAATTCAATTCATAAAAAGGATATAGCTACATATGCCCATATACATATTATATATACATATTTGATTTTTGCATACTTACCCATTTCTAAAAAATTCTGCCAATTTCAGAAATGATGAATTAATGAGAATTGGAAACGGATACTTTTCAAAAAGTCTTGGAAATCGGACTATAGCTTCACATTGTTCTCCAATTTTCGCTGAGCGTAATCCTTAAAACGGCAAAGCAAATAGAATGCACATTAAAAAATCTGTGTATGTATGCAAAAGATATATGATAATTGGAATTGAACCGGATTTGATGTCCAAATGAGCTAACTCAAATAAAGCTATGGGAAACCGCTTGACATAGGAAACAAAAATGACTCAGTTGGCATTTTTAGTAGTTAATGTCAATTCAGTTAAAATTCATTATTAATACATTGTGAATATTTTTTAAATTTATTGAAACAAATAATATTTAATCTGAAAATTGCAAGATGTATGGCACATATTATATTTGTTATAACCTTACTAACTTCCTAATTCAATTGTATTCGGTTTTAAGTTTTTGCCCAAAATAAAAACAAATTTTATACCTTTATCTAACTCTGTTAGAACTGAGTTTGGGTCTTGATCTTGTTCATTTAAAAAATTTTCGTTAAACATATTAACTCTTACACCGCTGAGCAGCGACATTTTGTTTAACACATAAATTTAAATTTTTCTTTTTGTGATTCAAAATACTTTGCAAAAACCAAATTTTTCTCAATCCACGCAATGTGTTATTCTTGAATAAACTAAAAACATACGTATTTATGTATGTATTATGTAGTGTTTAAAATGTAAACAAAAAGAAAACAAATTTTTTTTGATTTTTGACATTTATAATTTACATAAACATCTTTTGACATCTATTGAAAAAGCAGGTTTACAAACTTAACAATTTTTTTTAACAGTTGTCAGAATTTTTGCAGAAAGCTCTTATGTGAAACAAAACAAAAAAATTTTACCGATTTACATCAGTCTCTAATGTAAATCAAATTTTTCTCGGTAGTTACTCGTTACATTTAATTGTTATTGGTTTCGCGGTCGCTTCGTCACATTATTGTTATTAGTTTTTTAGTTATTTACAAAAATGGATAAAATTAACTCAATAAACATTTTATGGGCACGAATCCCATTAAAATTAAAGGGACAATTTGTAGCTTGTAAGCAGTTATTAATTCTGGCTCTGTGTCTAATGGAGACGCATCTTAATGTCAAGCTATAAAGGTTTTAATTCAAGTTAAGATAATAAACTTTCTATTTCAAAACAGTTTTTTATGTCCTTATATGCATATACAGCACTGCCGGAATCTAAACTTTGGTGCTATAAAAGAAAACATTCCAACAACAAAATTATAAATTTTGCTTGTAAAAATTTTCTATTTTGCGAGTTACTGTAATATGTACATATTTATTCGAGAATCGAAATTTTAACCAGGGTACAATACGAAAAAAAAAATCAAATTTTCCATTTGCAAAAAAGCTTTTTGAAACCAACACTAGCATTTGCTGCCAATATCAGTTATATAGTGTCAAGAAGAAGAAACTAGTTAATTTTAATATGTTTTTGTACAAAGAGAAATCAAAATTTTTATATTCTGTTTAAAAAAGCTATAAGATTAAATTTTGTTTTCTAATATTATTAATAATGAAAAAATTTCTTAAAAAAACATTTTAATGTAAATGAATAATTGCAAATTCCTTTGGCTCCGAAATATTTCAAAATGCATTGAATTGGGTGTGGATTTATGACAGGCGATTGGTTTACTATATATAATTATAAATTAGATAAGTACAATAAAGAATAAGCAATTGTGTATCTGTATTGGAAAATTTTAATAATTTTTTGCGAACAAATAAAAAGGAACAAAATCAAAATACGGAGTTTTGGATTGGGCTTAAAAATTTTGAATAGCTATGAATACAGTAAAAATATTATTTTTTAAGAAAAATACAAAGCAATTAGTATTTCAATGGAAAGGAATATCGTTTTTGATAATCACATCACTTGTAATACTTGCTGTATACCTGAATAAAACACAATCAACTTATAAACATGAAGCAATTGATTTTGAAATTACTAATATAGATAGCGATGATCACAAGGCATTTTTAGGTGCTGGAAATGATGATTTTCTGTTTTATTATCCGTCTGATGAATTCACCGATAATTTAATGGATAAAGTTCGAATAAAATTAGAAGTACAATCAGAAAGGGTATTTTCTTTTGACACAAAAGAAGATATGTTTCTTAACTTAGAAGAAAAACGAGGAACAAGAAGTTATGCTATATCTTTCGAATCATATCCACCGAAATCAAGAGATTCTAGGAATCTAAATTATACTTTAACATCAACTACATTAAAGGTCTCTACATGGAAGAAATTTTACAACGATGATAATGTAGTTAGTATAAGAAATTATGATGATTATGTAGCTAGTGGTTTTTTTTTATTACAACATGCAATTGATTATAGTTTTTACACCATGCAAACCCAAAATGCAAGAGTAATTCAAATAGATTTTGCTCCCATGCCTCATATTGGCGTGGAAGGTGTTAATAGTACCAGATTAACATTTTATGGGATCATATTTGTAATGATGTTCTTCTCACTGCTGCTTGTAACATATTTAGTAAGTATATGCACACATATTTTGTAATATATTGCATGTTTGATATTTTTTTTAAGAAACTGTGCGTTCAAAACTACCAAATTTACTTAAATTTAAAAATTTTTAGAATGCTCAATTTTACTATTTTTACACTGATTTTCTTTTTAAATATAGGTAGATAGGTACCTACATGTCTAGCTATCTAAATATTTTTTTCCAATTCAAAGTCTTCAAAGTGTATTTCATTCAAAGTGTCCTTGACCTGTTTATTTTATAATTAAAAATTCACATTGCACACATTTCTTTGTTCACTAAAATATACGTACACATAAACATAATTATATATACTTTTTTAACTTGTAACTATTTTTTTTAAATATCTGTAAAAGAAATTATTGTTTTCTTTTTTAGGTACAACTTGTCGAAGAAAATGAAGGGGGCATTCGAGATTTTTTAATGTTGTCTACCACGTATCATTACTGGAATGAAATATCATTTTTTACTATTAGATTTGCTATGTACTTTATCGTAGCTTTTATTTCTATAATAATTGCAATCGTATTTCAAGCGATTGGACACGCACCAATTTTTCATCTTTTGATACTAAAAATTCTCTTTATTTTATCATCTATGTTTTTTGCTCATTTTTTATCTGCATTGTTTAAAAGTGCATTCTCTGCTAAAGTTGGCGGATTTATGATTCTTTTAGGACCCTGTATATCATTTGTATTTGACAGTACAACTGTAATATCAACAATTTTAACATACATTTTACATGGAAATACATTTCTTGAAGGAATTAGAATATTTCAAATATATACTAACAAGCATAGGGAGTTCACTTTTTATTCTATGGGAGATAACATAACTGAATATTCATTCAAAATGATCTCAATTTATTTTATATTGATATTGCAATGCTTATGTTATTCAATATTTTACTATGTAATTGCATTTGCGTTTACTGGTAATGGAAGACCAAGAAGACCCGAAGAAATTTTCATTCAGGGATCTTGCCTCAGCTCTCCAGATTTTGAGCAAAATAGAATTGATGAAGTTGATGAAAATGATGACGGTAGCATGGATATAATTCAATTGAAAGACCTAACAAAGGAGTTTAAAAACAGATTCAATTCTAATACACACACAGCTGTAAATAAATTAAATATGAAAATTACAAATAATTGTATTACGGTCTTATTAGGACATAATGGTGCAGGAAAAACAACAGTTATAAATATGATTGTTGGAAACATACCGAAAACTTCCGGCGATATTGTAATTTGTAATAAAGAAAATCTTTTAAACATAAGTCATTTAATCGGCTATTGTCCACAACATAACATTTTTATGCGTTACATGTCTGTTAGAGAGCATTTAGAATTTTTTTCTGAGTTAAGAGGCCTGTCAAAATTAGAATTGAATGAGCACGTTGAAAGTTTATTAAAAAAATTAAAGTTAGACAAAAAGGAAAAAGAATTCGTAACCAATTTATCTGGTGGAATGAAAAGAAGATTGTCATTGAGCATAGCAGTTTCAGGAAATACAAAAATTGTAATATTAGACGAACCCTCATCTGGGTAAGCATATTAACGTGATATTTAAATTATAATTTAATTATTTAAGTACTTTTGTGTTAAATCATTTTTACAAAATCTAATTTTACGTGGCATGGCGTTGCTGCAAAAAAACGTTTTTCATTTCAACTTCCCACAAAAATAAGAGCGACGTATTTATATTTTCATCAATGCATTATTTGGAAACACTGAAAATAAAGAAAAAGACTAGATAATGCTTTAATTATTTTATACCTTAAAAAATAAATAAAATCATGTAAATATGTATATCTTTATGTATAGATACAAAAGTGTGTTATTACAATATTCTAAACACAGTTGTTTTGGTTTTTGAAACACTAAAAACAATGTTTTTCCAGTTTTTAAGAACAAAAATAAAAATTGTGGTTTTTAGAATATACTGAATAAAATATTTTATCAGAAAACTTGCTTGGAACTAAAATATTTTATTGGTAAACGCCCCATTTGCATTAAAAATGTGAAAAACTAAATTTCAAAAGAAGACACAGAAAAATGCTCAAATAATAAATAATATACTACAGTGTTTTTCAAAAATAGTGATATGTACGCTATAAAAAATTTAAAAAAACAAAAGCTTATTTTTGTATGATCATCAAAGTAAACATTAATGTTTGTATTTAAAAGTATTATTTAACGGTATGAATTTGAGATAATATATATATAGATATATCAGCTTTATCTAATATGTTCCCGACAATTTTTCGATGATCCATAATGAAATTTTAAATTTTAAGAAGAAAAAGGAGAGACTTCTTTAAATAATTGTTATTAAAAGATATTTCTGCTTTAAAGACTTTTTACAAGTGTCGCGTATAATATTGCCAAAGCGTTTTACATTCAAATATTCTTTTTATCATAACATGAATCTACAGTTTTAGTTAAAATTTCTTGTTGAAACACAATTTTTTATTAAACATTATATGTATTCTTACACTTACATAGACTAATTTAGATATATAATTTGCATATTAAGAAAATCAAGCAATATGCAAGTTTTATATTCAATAATTTTCTTTGTATTGTACGAACATTTAAGCAATTATGAGAAAAAAATATATATTTCATATAAATTTAATTCACATAATATTTTTGTGTATTTTAGATTGGATCCTGAATCAAGACGAATAATTTGGGACATTTTGCTAGAGCTTCGTAAAAGTAAAGCAATTCTTATAACAACACATCACATGGAGGAAGCAGAAATCCTTGGCGATAATATATCAATATTATCACATGGAACGCTAATAAGATCAGGTACTGCTATAGAGTTAAAACATAAATATGGATTCGGATATATTTTAAAACTGCTAATCAATCAAGATTCGGATAGATTTCACGTAGAGTACTGTATGAAAAAAATTCAAAGAATAATACCAACCGCGATTAAAAGTTCATTAAATTATCCAACTTTGGTTGTAAGGCTGCCTTTCGATGAAAGATCAAATTACTTCAAGTTAATGAAGTATTTGGAAGATAATTTAACAAAATTGGGCCTTCAATCTTTAAGTATAACTGATACGACCTTGGATGAGGTATTCCTTAATTATGAAAATTACTCAAAATCATCGATAGTCATTGATATGCTAAAAGGGAACGATGAAACAGATTCAATAATAACGAAATACAGTAAACTTGATAACGAAAATTTAAAAAAGATGAATGGGAAAGATAATACTATTGATAAAAATTTATTATTGCAACAGTTATGGGGTGTATTCTATAAGAAATTCATTTTTATGTCGTCGGATTTCTTTCCGTTAATGTTGCTTTTACCATTAATAGGTGTTTTTGTATCATTTGCTGCAATCAAATGTGCTGATTGGACATTAAATAAAGACTATAAGCCGTTTCACATTGACTTAAATAACACCGCGTCAAACGGAACGATTTATTTTAAACTGGAGCCGAATTTTCATAGATTAAAAAATTGTTTGGCCATTGAGTTGAAAAATCAAAATATCACACCTATATTTTTGGAAGGTGAAAGGGAATCCTTAGAATTACGCTTAAATGAAGAACAAAAATTGAATTTAACCTATTTTTACGATGATGTAATAGGTGGCGTGAAAATTGGAGGTGACCCTTTGAGTAATATGCCAAAAGTTACAGTCCTGTATTCACTGAACATGCTACACAGTTCTGTAGCGTTACTCAACCTGGTAGATAACATTTTTCTGAGAGATTTTGATTGCAGTCATGGCCATATCGAAACTTGGAACATACCATTCTCCAGAATTGGTGTATCTGATGGACCAATTACACCATATAAGTTAGATTTGTATGCTACGATAATGCCTGTTGTTTGGTTTTTAACAATGATTTTCTATTTGATACTCCCATTTTATGAAGAAAGGTCTGGATTTAAGGACTTACAACCTGTTCAACCACTGTGGTATTGGATATTTTTTACAATTTGTGATCTTGCAGCGCATTTTGTTATTTGCATCTTTTTATTTTTACCTCATATTATTTACATTTTATTTGATATTTACGATTCTAATGAAGTATCGTTATTATTATTCGCTTATTTTTTCTATGGCGTAGCTTATATACCACTTTTATATATAATAGGAAGATGTTTTCAAACAATATCGTCATTGTGTTCATTTCTCTTTTTAATATTTATTATTTCAACTATTACTCCTATTTTAACATCAAACAATGAAGAATCTATCAGAGACTATTCAGCTTTGATATGGTTTATGTGTTTTTTGCCAGATTTTCTTTTAAAGCACCAAATTAAGTTGGTAAATGAAAATTATTTCATACATCGAAGAAATATTTTAGCTAAAAACAAACCAACACCAGCAAATTTAACCGGAAAACAAAGTGTAGAACTAAATACTTTTAACATTTACTTCTATGCCATAGTTGTATTTATAATCGCAGAAATATTTTTGATAACTATCTGGGACAATATAAACCGTCGTACGACTTTAAAAGAATTTTTTTCTTACATTTTTTGCTTTAGTAAAATGTTACGATTTAACGATTGCAAAAAAAATGACACTTGCACAGCAGAGTTAAGTGAAAATGATACAGCTGAAGATCAGGTTTTATTAGAAAAAGAAAAAGTTCATAAACTAAGTGAAGATTGTGCAAGAAAAGATGAATATCCTTTAGTGGTTGATAAGATTCATAAAAAATATGATCAAATTTCTGCAGTAAAAGACGTCAATTTTCTCGTAGAGACTGGTGAATGTTTTGGTTTATTAGGTTTAAATGGCGCTGGAAAAACGAGTTTGTTTAAAATGCTTATTGGTAGTGAAAAGATCACTAGTGGTCAAATTTCAATCAAAGGATTAACATTGGATAAAAATTATAATAATTATATGCGCTCATTTGGATATTGTCCACAAGAAGATTCGTTGAATGAATTCATGACTGCTTATCAAATACTAAAGTACATGGCGCTAATCCGTGGTGTAGATTCAATGAAAGTCGATTCTTTGATTGACTTCATGTTAGATGAATTAAATTTATCTAGTTTTAAGTCTGTACAAATTAAATATTATTCTGGGGGAACAAAACGAAAACTTAGCACAGCTATGGCAATAATTGGAGATCCTCAATTAATTTTGTTAGATGAGCCAACAACCGGTGTCGATCCAGTTTCAAGACGTTTAATGTGGAATATTATACGTCAATGTCAAAGAAGAGGGAAAACAGTTATTTTAACGTCACATAGTATGGATGAGTGCGAACAACTATGTGGGCGACTAGCTATTATGGCGAATGGTCAATTTCAGTGTATTGGTTACGTACCAGAATTGAAGTTGAAGTATGGAAAAGGATATACATTTTACATAAAATTAAAGAATCGTAATGCATATGATAAAATTCAAGAACAAATACATCATTATTTATTAGACATTATGCTACGGGAAGAGCATGATCAAATCTTAACATATGTTATAAAAAGTTCGCGATATGATTTATGGCGGTTTTTAAATAACTTAGATCGTTTTTATACAGATTTCGAACATTTAATAGATGATTACTCAATAAGTGAAGCATCGTTGGAAGATATATTTTTAAACTGTGAACATCTTTGCTACAACAGTTCTATGGAAATAAGTAACTTATAAAACAAAAATTTTTTATATTTGCGCATGAAATTTTTTAATCTTTGCAGCAAAATAAAGCTTTAAAACTTGTAGTTTCTCAACTACAAAAAATTAGGTTTAAAGCTTATTTGATTTAAATTTGTAAAAATATTTAACAAATTTTGCTGTGTACTAAAGAATTATAAATAACCATGATGATCTTATGCATAAGCCACACTTTGTTTATCTTAGTTTGGAGGCATGCTATAATTTTAATTGGTCCCAACTTGACTTTAGTCGGATGATATGATAATGGCATACATGTTAGAAAATGAAAGCAATAATTTAAATATTACTTTTTCAATCATTTGGAAAAAATTTTACTGTTTTCTTCAGTTTGCTTGAGATCTATACACTGATTTTCCAGAATTCATATAACAATTCAAAAAGTATTTAACGCCCTCACATATGTAAATTTTTATTGAATTTAAGCAAGACACGAAAAAAAAAATAAATTTAAAATATTTGGCAAAAACGTTTTATTTGAAGATTTGATATTGTGATTGTTTAAAAAAGAGATGGATAGCAAAATTAAGAAGCAAAAATTGTTGAATTCGATTATTGATGAAATTACTAGTGGTAACAGAGAAAATAGTTATAATTTTAAAGCACGAATTTTGTAAAATAGAAATTATTTGAAAATGCACTTTTAATTAATTATGCTTGTGAAATTACTCGTTCAAGAGGCCGAAATGATAAAACTATCTTTTGATTGAACTTAAAATTGGTTTAAGCAAAAAATATTTGTTATATTTATTAGCCATATAAAAATACGTAAACATATAAAATATGCAAAGTTACAAGGATAAAGAAATGCTATACAGTTTTATACTTATACTAAACAGTTGAAAATTAAAACTTAAAGAAAATGTTAATTAAGTTAATGCACATTCCAAAAATAGGATTGATATTTTTTCAACTATTTATTTTTCAAAAATATTAGTTTGAATCAAGAAACTTTTAATTTTGTTTTTGTGAAACAGCTTTCGATTTTGTCTACGTACTCAACTTAATTCAAAAATATTAGCTCAGCTCAGAAACTTAATTCAAAAATATTCTAATACAGTATTATCCCGAATCATTTTTGGTAAGAGTGATCAGACGTCTTACTTTCCATTTTTACTAATATTTGAGAATATTTTTCTTTGAATCGAAATTTATCTAAAACTGATTAATTTTTATGTGAGAAATTTCACTTACAAGCACATATTGTCGGAATTAATTAATTATATTAATGACTTAATTATGAAGGAATTTTTATCGAAAAACGTTTGAAGAACAAATGAAAATTTGAAAGTAAAATATTTTGTATGTATGTACTTAGAACTTTTTTATACTCTTTTTATAAAACATATTTCAGCAGTAAAGTTTGAAATGAACTTAACGCTAAGCACATATTGTTACATATTCTTATAATATATTCATTACATGTAAGTAATATGAAAATAGTTGCAAACACGAAAATTCAATTAATTGAAAAATTGCCCATGTATAGAAAAGAAAATCAATTATTATCATTAATTTATCTGGCATTATGACTAATAATTCATGCAATCAGTATATTTAGAAATGCAAGTATAAAATTATCATTATAAAATCTTTGTTTTCTAATCTGACACCAAATAATTTGTAATATCAATAACCATAACAGAATCATTTTTGAATATGTACACGCTTTTATAAAAGAAGATTGATTTTAATAAAATAACTGTACAGGTATTTTATTACAATCATTTAAAATAACTAAGAAATATTTTCAAGTACGTATTATTTCGAACTTATTTAATACATTTTCCTTGCTTCGATATTAATTATTATTTTTGTGCGTCACAATTATATCTGCCAGTAACATACTCAAAGCAAAGCTTAACTTAATATTATGTAATTTTATAAATTTTGCAATTGCAATTTTCAAAATGTGCTGTAAGTTATAATTTGAATAAAACAAATTAAATAGAAGAAATAAAAGTGGCAAGAACCACTTGAAGATATGTATTGAGATGGTCGATACCTACATACTCAAATAAATTGTATGTTATCACAAAATTATAAGCACTGGCGAATAATTTAAATTATATTATTGTCCCAGGTATATTGTTTATTTATCAATTTTTTATTAATTTAAATAATGATAAAATTGATATTTAAAAATAATATCCCATTTTAATTTATATTAAAAATAAATTTATTATTTTGAATGTTTTTATTCATAATAATGTTATGAGAATAATTATAAATCCAATCAAAATAACTTAAATTCAATAAAGATTAAAATGTATTTAAATTAAAAAATTTAAAATTGCTTAATAATTTTTTAAAAAAATTACTTTGTAAGCATAAAAATTTGTAATAACAAAGCTGATTTGATCTGCATTTTTTGTTAATTTTTTTTATCTATTTATTATTTTAAAAATAAGATAGCATAGTAATAATGTTAAAATTTTTGAAAATACACCTTTTCCGAAAAAATGTAATGTAAATATTAGATATAAGAAATGTTAAAATGAAAACCTAAAAATATGATAATCCTATATAGTTTTGATGTTAGAGAGTTAGGATAGTTCAAAATATTAATTGTATTGAGTGTTATAAATTTGAAAGAAATGTTACTTAAATAAAAGGAAAAGTACCACTGTAAGAATATTTAATTCATAACTTTATAAATTATGTTTATTTATTTTGTTTTTATTTTTTTAGACAATCTTCAACAGTTTCATGATTTTATGGCTGTTTATTTATTATATAATATACATATATCCAACATAAAGCTAGCTGAAGTGAAAACATTAACAAAAAAAAATAAATGTTTTTAATTCGTATAACAATTATTTCAATACCAAAGATACACCATTGTTTTCTAAATTTAAAATTTTTTTTGTCAAATTCGCTGTATGTGAAGCTTGTATTTAGATTTATATAGTCAGAAAATTATTGCATAATTGATGAACGTTTCAGTAGGTCATCAGCTGGATAACATTTATTAGAAATTTCTTTCGATTTATCAATGTTAAATTGGAGAAAATTGGTAAAAATTGGAGAAAATTTGTAGAAAAATTGTGCTCATATCTTGCTCTAAATGATACACGAATATGTATCTTTCTTTATATATAGATACTCGTATCTTGTTTTACTTCTTTCCAGAAGGAGTGAATTGATTGTGTCTACCGTTAGAATACAAGCACAAAAATATTACATCTTTGAATTTGTGTGGATGATCGTTACTAAGGATAATATTAAGAGTTAAATATTTATATACATATTTAAAGTTTATTTATTTCGACATACATATAATAAGTCTATAATACAATGTACATATATACTGCACTTATTAAAATACATATAGTTCTAACATATGGCTATAATTTATCGTAACATTGCCTAGTTCATATATTCTACAAAATATGTTAAAGTAAACTAATTTAATATTTATGAAAGAATATGCAAAGCACTTACACATGGGAGTTGATATAAATAATAATAAAATTTAGTGTTGATATTGATTTCTTCAGCATTATGTGTTGGGCTCCTCTGAATTTTTATCACTGCTAAAGTGATTTCCACCTCGATTTTTCTTTTTTTTTTCTGGATGACCAAAGCAGTTTTCACATTCGTCGTCACTTTCGGAGGAGCTTTCACCAAAGACTGTAGGTTTTTTATAAATACAGCAGCCTTGAAAAGTAAGAATAATAAATGTTTCGATACACAAAATTTTATTATAAATATGAATTACATAAGCCAGTTTATATTCAACTTACATTTTGATTTTTTTTTTCCCAGATTCTCGTTATCTATAGTATTACTTTTCCAAGCTACTTTCTTTGGGTTTTTCGGTTTTTGTAATCGCAATCTTAAAACCGGTGCCTAAAAATTGTATGTTAATGAAACAATAGTTTTTTTTTTGTTTTATTAAGAAAAATCACAAAAATTAGTAAGGTAGGGCCTTCTTGGAAGCCCTAATGTTTATAGGTTAATATACAAAAAATCTTTTATATTTTGGTACGTAGGTATATTACTATTAGAACATAATGTACATATATATTAAACTCGTCGCACTTCACAATAGTATTATCTGAGTTATCAGAGCCACTTGCAGTCATATATGTATATACATTAACTTATTCTTATTCATAGTGCGACGTAAGATGTAAATTTTTTTACAAATTTAAAAACGTCATTAAAGTACATTATAACAAGAAAACTTATATTTAGGAAAGTTTAAAATATAAAATTTTGTAATTCTCACCACTTGTTCTCCATCAGTTTCTGTTACTGAAGAAATTGTCTGAGTCTGAGAGTAATTAGATGTTGTGGGACCATCTGATTGAAAGCCTGATGTACATTCCATATTTCAAATATAAATTAGACTATTATATTATTATTTAATTAAATTTTCTTAAAAGATTAAGTTTAAGTTTCAAAAAAAAATGTATTTGAATCTTCATATGTGTGTATACTCGTAGTTTTTCAATTTGTTTTTACTTTTGTTCTCGTACATATGTCTATATTTTGGCATTACAATATTTTTGTTCCAAGGTCTAATGAATAATCGATTACAACTGTGTTTGTATTTTTTAATGAGTGTGACCTCATCGGGGAGAAATGTTTTTCATGATCCTATAAACTATCATTTTTTATTCTATATATTATTGTCTGAATTACACAATATCAAAATAAATATATGTAGAAGACAAAAAATATATTATTTATTTTAAAACAAGAACCGTGTGCTCTAAATATTAGACAAATTTCTTAATAAAGTTCTTGAAACTTTCAAGATATATTAGTAGAAACTTCAATTAATGATACATTATTGTATTTAATCTGCATCAAGGCTACCTACTCATCTAGAGAATCAACTGCAAGTAAAAAGCACCAATTCCAAGTAGTAGACTATATATCATTTAATGAAAATAATTTGCAATTTATATTATATATATATACTTATATATATAAGTATATATATATATATATATAAGCAACACATATATACTTATACATGTTTTATAAACATATAAAAATCGAATAAAATAATATTATGGGTTTTTCCATTCTTTTCCTTTCAAAAAAAGTCACCAAATTGTATGTTCAAATGTTTCAAGAAGATTTCTCCTTGATGACGCCTGATTTTCAAATACCAATTATTGGGCAGAATCTATTATTAGATCATACCTTGACAACAAAAATATCAAAACCTAGATCAGCACTGTGGTGAACCAAAAGTGACGACTTATCTTCAAAATGAGGTTTTTCGCCCATATTTTTTGTGCGAAATTTCAAAATAAGATTTTTAAATTTTTTTAAATTGTACATATAAAAAATATGTTCAGAAATAAAATTTTTTAATGCTACTGAAGTTTTTCACAATGGAATTTTTTAAACTTTTCATATAGTTCAGATCACAAAAAAAAAACATTTTGACCCAAAAATCAATTTAATAAGCAACGCCGACTTGGCGTATTAACTAAATACACATACAACTCATGACATTAATATGTCACTGTGCATGGTGTTAGTTTTTCCTTTTGGTGTCTGATTTTGTTACATCAAAGAATTGAAATTTTTGTTAAGAAAAATGTCTGAATCATCTTTTTTTTTTTTGAAAATTATGATTTTTGTCAATTTCCATTTGAGTTTTCTATCAAAAAATTGCGTAAAATCTGACTTATAAGATTTTCAATACGAGATTTTAAATATTATTTAATTTTGATTAAATATATTTTCGGGTGTTTCCGCATTTTTTTAACAGTCCTGTCAAGTTTCAGGCAGTTATATCTTAAAGACAGAGTACTGATAATTTACTTTTCCTTTTTCTATTTGTTAGACAATTTTAGATCAATAAAGTACATATATGTTTATGGCCATACATTTTGGGTTTGATATGTTTATGTTATACAATTTCGGGTTAAGGAAATGCTGTGGCACTAAGTATTTTTGGATTTAAATTTATGACGGTTTATTTAAATTTGTGTAATGCAACTAGAAATTCAAAATGTTCTTGAAACTGAATTTATATGTGAAAGGTTTGAATGTTATTAACAAATTTTTAAAAGATAATATTGAAATATTTAGAACAATATAAAATTTAGAACAATATTTTAGTATGTATTTCAAAATCTGATGTAAATGTTGATCCACATGAATTTTGTTTTAACAATATAAGGGAAAAGCATGGATTTAGTGCATTATTGAGGTCGTTATTTCGTTATTCCACTCTGAGCAGATTCTGAATATTAAAAGAAAAAATCACATTCCATCTTTAACTTAAAAAACATACACTTAACTTACTCCGACAGCATATACACATGTACTTGTTTAAAAAAATGAGATTTCAAAGAAAGTTAAATACGATAATAACACTTGTTGAAAGATAAACAATAAAATATATTAGATACATATATGTAATCATAGGAAATATCTTTTAATTTAAATCAAAATTCCTTATAGAAGATTTCTAAGAAAATAATAGATTTTATGAATATAATATTTAACATTCTTAGCGCACCTTGCTGTTTTAAAATTATTAGAAATTAAAAAAGATTGTATTGTATTGCGGAAAAATATTCATAATTAAATGACTTATAAGTGACACATTTTCTAAATAAATATCGATTTAATCTAGCCGTGTCACATATTCCAAATGCATCTGTGCCACCCGTAGAAATAGAAAAGTGTTTTGTTTATAAAATAAATATTCACTTGTTTTGTTTCTTGACATTACAAAAATATCATTAATATTGCTGTCAGTCGTGGTTATTACTCATTATTATTTTAGTATAAAAGTTAAATACTTTAGATATTCTTATCATATCGTTTCTATTTCAGTTATAGTATAGTTTAACAGAACACTAATTGTTTTCTTCAGTCAGAGATCAACTGCATTAATTTCATAATTTGGTGTAAACTTTTATAAAAAATGTCGCAGTGTCATCTCTCGCATAAAATACCTTGGAATATTTTAGAAAACAGTTTAAAAACTGACAAATCAAGCATAATTCTTCCAGTAGGAGATTGTGGAAGAATACATTGCAGAGATCGTAAAACAGAAATTAAAGTTCAAAATAGAAAATTTATTAAAACGGAGTTCATATGTCAAGACAAAGGGTGCGAAACAACAGGCACGGGTTACTTTAGTAAAAACAAAATGCTGCCAGCAAGTTTAAGTGCTAGAAAAGTTATTGAGAATAACCAATGGAAACAACTGCAGTATTTTTGCAAAAAATTCACCGAAACTGTTTTCGAATTTATAGAAAGTGAAAAAGCGAAAGCTAATGATGTGTGTGACTTCTACATAAAAACTTGTGACTTAAACAGCTTTTTAGATTCTGATGTACCATGTACTGAATGTTATGGCAGGTGCCGCGATGATGTTTGTGATAATTTTATTGTATTTAGTTTATTTATTTCTGGAAAGGTTAATATTTTGCTTAAGCTTGATCAAATAGGTAGAGTAAATGTCCGAAAAGCTTTAAATCAAAATTATGGTGGCCAGGCTGTTGGAAATGGATTCAGGTTCTTAATGGATTACCACATTTTACCTTTCTACTTAATAACAAATGTCATTATTGCATGTAATTTCCAAGAAGATTCTACAAAATGGGGTATTTTACGTCCATATTCGGGTTATAATTTATTTTCACGAATTCAATATGATTGTGATTACAAGACATTTATACCAAATTTAAGACATTTACTTCAAAAGAACACCTTTATGAAAAATGCCGATGCAACTCATATTTTATTGAAGGAGTGTTTTAAATGCATTTACCAATATGTATATTTGAAAAATGTAATGCTTAACTTTTCTAAAAAAGATTTTTATGAGCAATTAGAACAAGAATTAATGTATTTACTCCAAATTAAATACGAATAAAAATTTCAAGTCATTACTTTTTCTTAACAAATATATATGTGTTTTTATTTATTTTTAATTTGCAGATATTAATTTTTAATTTACACAGTACCTCAATGCTGCATTCATAACGTTCGATCGAAAGAATCCCTACTTAATATGGTGTTAAATATTTCGTTGAAGCATGTTGAATTATATTTTTAGCGCCTATATCTATAAAGAACGGGAATTTCAAATTTAAATAACCTTTAAACATTCTTGTTTTAATATAGTAGCAATATAGGTTTATTAACTTATTAAAAATTAAAACACAAAATAAAACTGATTTATTTTTTTAACAATTTTAATGCAAGGGTTTCAGCATCCTCGATTGATAGTTTAGTAATAAGCTTCTTAACCCTTTTACGATTTGGTGGTTCATCTTCGGAGAATTTATCTTCGTCTTCATTACTTATATTTTGGTTAAAAAGCTCGGCCTTATTTTTCTTTTTTGAACTTTCTATTAATTTTCTTTTCGGTTTATTAAACATATCATTAGTATCTTTTTCATCATCTTCATTGCAATAGTCTTCGTAATTACTTCGAAATGACCCTAAGTTTATATTACTATTACATTCTTTTACTTCTTCTCCGTAAACTTTTTCGGGATCCGGTAACCATGATAAATCAATATCTTCACTATCGTCTGTTTCAACATTCTCAGTATCTGAATCATTGAGAGATTTCTTGGTTTTCAGTTTCTTTTGTTTCCTTTTTGTTTTTACAAATTGCCTGAATCTTTCTTTATCAAACTTATCTTCTTCTTGAAGAACTTTTTTAGCTTTTTGCAAATCGATACCACCTTGGTTATCTTGCTCATCTTCTAAGTATTTTCGCCCTATTTCGGATTGAAGATTTTTAATTGGATCAATAACTTGTTCACCTTCGTCATCATACATAACTCTTTTGTTTGGTAAAATCTTTTTTCTTACCATTCGTTTTGCTATTGATGCTTTAGTTACGGTTTTTGCTTTATTTTTCTCTTTTTTTAATTCTTCGATATTTTCAATTGGGTCATTTTCTTCAGCATCACTAATTTGATGATCTTTTCGTTTAATTTTGAGCAAATCATCATCATCACTGTCGGTGTCTATTAAATTTTTCAATTCAAGTTCATTGCTTTCAGTTCTTTCAGCTTCTTCGTTCCCAGAAACAAACTCGTTTTCTTGTGAAACATTTTTCAAATTTTTCTTAGGTTTCATGACATTTTCAATATTTTCTGAAGATTTATTAAGAGCTCGCAGTTTATTAGCTTTCTTAATTTTTATGTTTTCTAAAAACCTGACTCGGGGTGTGAAGGGTAGCCCCAGGGAATGAGCAAATGCATCAAAATTTAATTTCTCAACATCAAATATTTTTTTGTTTTTCATTAGGTATACTGATTTGATATAAGCTACCAAAGCTCGTTGAGCTGATTCTTTTAGTTCTTTATTTGCAGCTAAGTACGCCTCCATTTTAGCTTTGGGATTAAAAATTCGTCGTGGATCAACAAATATCTGATTTATTTCGACTTTTCTCGATTTGAGTTCTTCAAGCATACCCTCTTCTTCACTGGGAGTTAAAATAAGTAAACTTTCACCTAAAATTTAATTGCGTTAATATTAATTACATATACGCAGAAACATCTCACAAGATTTAACCTTTAGCATGGTGCCTAGCTGTTCTTCCTGCTCTATGAATATATTGATCTACGTCTTCAGGGCAATCCAACTGTATAACCCAATTTACTATTGGAAAGTCAAGACCTCTCGATGCTATATCTGTTGCAAATAAGCAACAAGACTTTTTCCTGCAAAAATCATCATAAATTGCAACTCTTCTGTCTTGATGTAATGTCCCATATAAAGCCAGCAAGCTTATTCCCGGTCTTAGCTTGCAAAATATTTCAAAAATAAATTTGACTTGCTTACATGTAGACATGAAAACTATCAATTTTTGTTTTGAATGATTTTTTACAAACGACCATAGAACGGAAATTTTGTCTTCCAAATTTGTTATAATATAATTTTGTTTTAATTCAGCCGGGGTTACTGCCTGTTGTTCATGTGGCGCAACATAAGCAGGATTTTTCAAGCTTAACCTTGCTAAATCTCTCACTGACCTTGTTTGTGTTGCTGAAAAAAGTAAGGTTTGTCTTTCTGCGGGTAAGTTTTCTATTACTGCATTCATAGTTTCTTCGAAACCCATATCAAGACAACGGTCAGCTTCGTCTAATACCAAAATTTGCATTGAACTGCAATTGAATAATGGGTTCTCATCCATATGTTGTAAGAGACGACCCGGCGTGCAAATTATTATATTACATTGATCCATGCGGGTTCTTTCAAATTTTAAATTCTTTCCACCAATTATAAGACCAGCTGAAAAGTCATGATTTACTCCAATCTTTTTAAGTGTTTCGAATATTTGATAAGCAAGTTCTCGTGTTGGCGATATTATGATAGCCCCAACACCATCAGTTCTACACCACTTTTTGATAAAAAGATTCTCTAAAATCTAAATTTTAAATTAAATTCTAAAATTACAAAAACATTATGAAAAAATTTTCCAAACCGGTATGAGAAATGCTAATGTTTTACCGCTCCCTGTAATTGCAGCACCCAATATATCTCGACCTTGAAGCGAAAGCCCTATACTTTCTCTCTGAATATCTGTAGGAACTTTATATTTGGAGTATAGCAGTCCATCTAAAGTTTTCTTCGATAATGGAAAGTCCGAAAAAAAATTGATTGCTTCAGGGTTTATGCTTTCATATTTTTCTTGAAGTTGTAATATTTCATCATCAATCTTAAGTTTACATTTTTTTTGTTTATAAATTTTATTCCTCGCAATTCCATTTTTCTTTATTTTTTTGATTTTGTTTACGGAATTATTTTGCATGCTTCACTCTTTTGTTTTACATGTGTTTTTGGTTTTGTCGACTTGCATCACATGCAAATTTGACATTTAAAGCCATATCAGTTATCTAAGGATGAGTGGACACAGCAATTTAGTACTAATCTAATTCTAAATGCGACAATGGTATAAGCGTAACATACCATTGTATAACAAACGTCTGTGCAGGTAAAATGTAACAATTATTTGTAATTGATGTAAAAGTAGTCGTGTAAACCAGTGGATTAGAAATAATAAAGGAAGAAACATCTTGAAAAAATAATGAAATCCAATTTTTTCTAGTTGTCTTATTCTTTGCTCCGAGCATTGTCAAAGTGGCAACAGGAGCGTATTTATTTTATTTTCTTGTCTGGCCTCTATATAAAAAATTGGTAATTTATAAAAAGGATAAATTGAAAATTTTTTTAAAGTAATTATTCCAAAATATTTTTTAATTTTAGATATCTGTAAAAAAAACAAATATAAACAAAATTCATTATTTTTATATTTCTCTTTGAATAAATTTATTTTTTAAAATGCAAATAACTAAAAGTATTTTAACATCACAAAATTTTATTACTCTCGAAAATGAACATATTTTGTTAAAAAATTTCTTATATTATCAGTTTTGTTTGACGATTTCACAGAACAACTCTAAACAATATTAATAACAATAAATATAAAATGTAAATATAAAAATACATATACATATATTTTAATGACTCTAAAACAGTATAATTTTTAACAAATTAAAATAATTAAATTAAAATAAATTAAATTAAAATAAGGGTTATTACTCACTGAAGTAGATGGTATGTTGTCGTATTCTTCCTTATTAATTGATTAAGCTTCACATACTAATTCATTCTAAAAAAATATACTTTATAAATACATTACTATTATCAAATACAAATTCATTTTGAATAAAAAAATCCGGTCCTGATAAAATTATGTCATCTGAAGTAAATTTAATTTAAAACAAAAACAAATGTTTTCTTTGCAAAATTAAAAACTTAATAAAATTACAAATTATGAATTAATCAAAGCACTATTGAATAAATATTTCTTTTAATTATTGAAGTGAATATTATTCATATATATATATATATGGTGTGATAAAACTATTTTTTTGTTTTTACAAATAGGAATAATAATTAAGAACTATGCACCTTTTTAATTTTCCACAGATTTTTTTCTTTTTTTCACTTATTATATTTATTTTGTAAGTTTTCATAAATTAATATTCTTTTTTTAACACCTCCTATTAAATATTTTATGATGTTCAATTAGCAAACTGCACTTATTTTATTAATAATATAACAAAATTTTTTTTGTTAACTTTTTTTTCTAAGAGGAAACAGCAACATTTGGTATTTAAAGCTAATTTCAGTTTGACAATGCTCGGAGCAAAGAAGGAAAGATACGCCTTCAATGTATTTGTATTTTTGCAAGATACAATTTTTTAGAGTGTGTAAGTGAGATAGAAACAAAAATACGCCTTCATATAGTATTTCTAATTCGTTGGTGTAAACTATAAAAGTAATAATTTAGTTTGTTTTGGTTCACAATATGTGATAAATATCAACGTATGGATGACTCTTTAAAACACTTTTATATGCTATATACACACATTATAAAAAAAATCATAAATAATAATAAAACACAAAACATTAGACTTATATTTTCTATATGTTTGTATGTAGGTATATTTTTATGGACAATGTGGATCAATTTTAATGATCAATATATTGATTCATATGGATCAATATGACCATATTGAAGATTTGTTACTGTTTACGTTTTGATTATCTGACTGAGCTCAGGTGCTTTTGTGTTAAAAATACAAGCTTAATTTGTAATTAATGATAATTAAAGGAGGATTTTCGTTGGCTTTTTAAAATCTGAGTTTACAGATTGTAAATTTTTGTTTTTACTTTATCGGATTTAACCGGTGATCTAAAAAGGGTTCAAAGAGAAATTGTATAAAGAAAGTTTGAAATTCTTTCTAACGCAATATTAATTTTTAAAAATACAATTTTTGATACATACCTATGAGTGGTCAATACTGCTAATATGTTTGTTGGTTTGAAGTCATGAAGCGTGTTGTGATCACCTTAATATTTATTTTAGTATCAGAATTGTCCGTCATTTATATATGTGTATATATTGCAATTTATAAAGTAATAAAATGTCATGTTAATGTCAGTTTGCCGGAAGTTCCTTCTTTCTTTCTTTTCTTGTGAGGAGATACTGCCATCAAAAAAATGATTGGCTCGAAAATAATTAAATCAGGTGGAGCAGAGCCCGATGAATTTGAAAAATCTATTGGACAAGCTCTTTTAGAGCTTGAATTAAACTCGGAGTTAAAACCTCAATTACGTGACTTGTACATAACACGTGCAAGGGAAATTGAATTCAATAATAAAAAGGCCGTAATCATTTATGTCCCGATTCCAAAACAAAAAGCTTTCCAAAAAATTCAAACTCGTTTAGTTCGTGAATTGGAAAAAAAGTTTTCTGGAAAACATGTAGTATTTATTGGAGAACGAAAGATATTACCGAAACCAACACGGAAAACACGAAATCCATTGAAACAAAAACGGCCAAGATCCAGAACTTTAACCGCCGTATATGATGCTATTTTGGAAGATTTAGTTTTCCCAGCAGAAATTGTTGGTAAAAGAATTCGCGTTAAGCTGGACGGATCGCAATTAATTAAAGTTCATTTGGATAAAAATCAACAAACAACGATTGAACACAAAGTGGACACATTCACATCAGTGTATAAAAAATTAACAGGTCGGGATGTAACATTCGAATTTCCAGACAATTATTTGTAAAAAAATTTCATATTACATGAAAAAATAAAACAAAAAAAAAAGAAAATTTTGTTTTTTAAAGATTTTTATTATATCAAATTTTAAACAAAAAAAAAGTATGTAAGTCTCCAAACTTAAAATTTCACACGACATGTGTATGTACATATGTATGTATTAGTTTATTATTTTAGATTCATAATATTTAGTATCTAAGTATATATAATTAATTTGTATCGTGTATACGTTGGAGGAATTTTTCAAATTAGATTTAGCAGATTTACAAAAACTAATTACATACAGAGTTGACTTTTTTAGAATTTTAAATTCTTACATTTCCTATGATATTTTTCGAACATAAAATGTTTCTGCAGCATTTAGAAAAAATTAGTAAAAATGTATTAGAACTTTAAGCATACGACCATTTTCAAGTGTATTTCGTTCAAAATTTTTGGACAAAAAGAAATATCCAGTATGCTGTTAAATAATTCCTTTCATAAAGCTTAATTCTTTCAAAATGAAACTCAAATTTGCAAATTAAGTGATAAATTCAATAAGTATATTAGATTAAATTTAAATAAGTATAAATTCGCGAATAAGTATGCGAATAACTTTACAGCAACTAAATTTTCCAAATTTCAAAATTTTTTAAAAAGATTTGCCTAAATTTTAAAGGATAAGATAAATAATTAATAAGAAAAAAATACTTCGCTCAGAATGTTACTTTATTTTCAGTCAGAAAATTTATAAATTTTAAAATGTATTGGAAACCACATTTACTGAAAGATAAATGCAATTGTTCAGACTTTAAATTCACATTTACTGATATAAAAAATTAATTGGACACTTAATTAGAAAATGTTGCTCCGTATGGATAAACAACAAATTTCTTTTGTCCGTTTGCTTCAGTGAAGAACTCATAATGGTATTCATCGTCCATTATGACTTTACTATCACTTCCACAATTCAACTTTAAGTCAATAGGAAAAGTTACGTCATAGCAATTGAGTTGGAACAAACTTGTTTTACTCTTTCGAACAATTTCAAATGCCACAGATGTATTTGAACACCAAATAGATAAATTACGCTCCCCTTCTAGAAGGGAAACAACGTCTTTAACTGTTCTAAAAATATGTAAAGTTATTATTGGTGTTAAGATATTTTCCTGAAAATGTTTTCTTGCAACATCATATATAATCGTTGGAATAACTTTATTGCTCAATTCGTTACCTTCAGAAGTCAACAATTTAGCATTTAGTCCTTTTACAATTTCGATGTTATTTTTATATTCCTTTAAGAAAAATTTGTCCCTTAAAAGTTCTTCTGGGTATGATCGTAGCTTTCCTTTTAATATTTCTGTAAATTCCTCTGAACAACTTTCTTGAATATAGATACTTTGAAGTTCAGCGCCCGTTAATGGATCATCGAATGCATCTAGAACTTCTTGCACTGCTGCATTTAAATCAGACCCTCTAAAAACTATCATACCTTTTTGCCAAATATCCAACGCTAGTTGATTTACCCCATCTTTTTGTTCAATTTTCACTGGTGCTTCAACTTTTAGAATTTCATTGAACAAAGTATTAATAAATTTTTCTCGATTTTTGGTTACATGAAGAATAATATTATCGTTATTTAATATATAATTCAAAAAGATTTTTTCTAGCACATCAGAAATTCTAAACATCCATGTAGCTTCAATCATCTCATAATCTTTGGACTTTAAAAAATCTTTTGATTGAGGATCTTTTAAATGCATAGATTGTTCTATATATCTTTTTGCCAAATGAAATGGCACACAATTTTCATGGGATTCTATAAGCGCAAGTTTATCAATATTACTCTTGATCCTTTTGTATACTTCTTCGATTGGAATTTTGGTTATTTCAAAATTGAAAGCAGTAATAACATTACTGAACTTCCCATCGTTGAGCTAAAGGAAAAAAATATATTGCTTGTTAATACTTTTAATGTGCAGGTATGTAGCTAAATCGTTTTTTTGCTTATAAATACATGTGCATATATTTATTTTGAGATCTAGTCTATAGTTTTTACCTCTGTCCCATTAACGTCCATTTTGCTGTAAGATAACTTGTTAAGGTTTTCTTCGCTTATTTTATTTGTACTTTCGGTATCGTTAGACATAACAAGCAAATTCCTTTAACGTGATGTGAAAATTACAAGTAGGAGAGAAATCTCAATATTATACGGCCTTAATTTACAAACCAGCTTAATTAATGTTTTTGCTTTTGCAAATGTCGTTAGAAAGCAGACTGACAACAAGAACAATGCCTGAATGCCATATACTATTAAATTTTAAAAAATGATACAGGAAAGCAGCACTGCCAAAAGTGAAGATTTGTCTACAAAGCGAAGGTTTTTGACATATTTTTTGTGCAAATCTTCAAAATAAGATTTTTAAAATTTTTAAAATTTTCATACAAAAATATCTTCGAAATAAAGATTCTTTAATGCTACTGAAGTTTTCCAAAATTGGAAACTTATTTCCATATTTTTTACGACAGAAAATTTTCAAAATCTCCCCTTCATTTAATTATGTATATATAAATCGACTTGGCGAAATAACTAAATGTGCTTACGGATTACGATATCACATTTCATTGTGTATGTCATACATTTTTCTTTTCGAAGTCTGATTCGGTTTCAATGGAAGTCGTGATACTTCAACTTACAATTTTTTTTCAATCAAATTGTAACTGCAGAGCTCGAAAGGTTCATGAAAAAAATTTTTTTAACCAAATCTTAAAAATGAAGATTTTATTAAAAAAATATGAAGATATTTGAGCTAATTTATTTGGTAACAAAATGATGTCGCTAATTTGTCGAATTTTCTTGAGTGCTCTAATTCGCTTTCATTTATTGTATTTTTTTTCCTAATTGGTAACTAAATATTTTACAATTACAGGTAACTAAATATTTTAAAAACACCAAATTGTACGATTTAATCAGAATTTTATGAAACTGTAAACCGTAAACCCGGTTTGTCATCACATTTTGTCTGAAGGCAAATATAGAAATTACTCTATTCTAATGAGATTTATCAGTTTCACTTTTGGAAATCTCTCGTGAAATTTTCTAAAAGTGAAATAGGTAAGTTAATTTTTTTGGGACCTTGGAACAGTAAACAGTAGATTTTATTTTGGCTAAAATTTTCATAGGAAAACTACAAAATTTTGACGTGACCTCTATCAAATCACTTCAGTCTGTTATCTAAATAGTTATCAGACTTTATTATATTAGTTCTATATTTGAGACTATTGATTATATGGATGTTTTTCAATAATAATATCTAATTTTTAATTCATAGTACGTGTAGATACATATAAACAATTAAAATTTTTTTTTATTGAAAAGTAAGCAAAGCCAAAAATAAGTAGATTTATTTTTAGTATAAATTTAGGACTCCTGCCGTTTGCCATGGACACATGGCATTTCTGTTGATGAAAATTTTTCATAATTTCATTGAAAGTACGAGTCTCAAAAGTATTCTGACAAAATGCAACGAACTGAATCAAGAACCGTGTTCTAGTGTATGTATTATGTCGAAGTGAAACAAATGGAATTGGTCATTTAATTTAGATTGTAGTATCAATTAAATAAATCAAAAAGTTTTATTTGATATCAATGAGTAATTATGATTAATCGTAATAAATAGTTAAAAATATTTCTAAATGAGCGTATTATGAATAGGTATTCCTATTACACAGGTATTTAGCTATATGGCTAAGAATAATGTCTTATTTAAGGAATTTTATTAGTGAAAATGATTAGTTGGCCTCGCCCAACTAATTTAAACATGATTTTAAGTTAAAAAAATTTGTTCTTTCAAGATACTTCTTGTCAGGATCAGCAAAGTGTTATGGCCAGTGAAAGCATCATGGATGAATTAGCTACTTTGTTACGCACTGAAATCCCGGAAGGACGTCAGAGTTTATTAGATAGTTTTACAAATTTAGAACGAGTAGCAGATTATTGTGAAGATACATATTACAGGTATGGGTGTGTAACTGTAGAAAAATTATTGATTTGTATTATTGTAGATCCGATAATAAAAGAGCAGCTTTAGAGGCTACAAAGAATTATACTACACAATCATTGGCAAGTGTTGCTTATCAAATAAACACATTGGCATATAGTTTCATGCAACTGTTAGATCTTCAAGTACAGCAATTATCTGAAATGGAATCTCAATTAAATCATAGTGCGCAAACTGTAATGATTCATAAAGAAAAAGTTGCAAGGAGGTAGGGTGTAAATTTGGATATAATATATGTATTTATGTTGTGCATATTTACATGTTTGTACATATGTATGTGTATTGTTGCAGGGAGATTGGAGTTCTAACAGCAAATAAAGTTAGTTCTCGTCAGTATAAAATTGTTGCACCGATCAATCCTGAGAAACCGATTAAATATGTGCGAAAACCAATAGATTATTCTATACTGGATAGCATTGGACATGGTATCAATTCAAGTACAAACCGTGCAAAGCTGCAACATCGTGGTTCCAGCCAAGGATCTATACAGTCTGCATCAACGTTAACAAATTCATCAGGTGTTGGTCCAGCACCAACAACTAAGCCCCCAACACCCCCACAATTAGCTCGAAGTGGGAATCCAGGATCAAGTGGTACTTTAAATAAGTCAATTACTAATACAGGCACTTTGGGTCGCGGATCGCGAGAATATCGTACACCATCGGCCGTAATTCCACCCCAAGTTCCATCGCATTATGCTCCAAACTACCCAATCGGTCATCCAAAAAGACAAAGTTCTAATTCTGGCAATACGACGGTTTCATCGGCAAATAATCCAATTACAACTACTTCAAGCACAACAGTAACCAGTGAACGTGGATCAGGATATAGTGCTTTACCAATTCCCCCAAGTCAACAAATCGCAACTCATGTGAATTTGCCCTCAGCTGGAATGATGCAAAATCTTCCACCACCACCTCCAGTTACCAGTATGCCACGTAAGTCGTTAATTTTAAAGCTTTGTGTGAAAAATGAAATATTTTAATATTTTACTTTCAGCTCCGCCACCACTTTCTGTCACGCATGAATTACCAGAAAGTCATGCACAAAGTCATATTGGGATGCATACATTGGGCAGAAATATTAATAGGTAACATTATATATTAATAAAAATATATTTTATATGAATGTATTTTCAATATTAAATATTTTATTCATAAATTTATTATGAATATTATGCAGTTTTCTATAAATGACTTTTATGATGTAAATCAGTGTTTCTCAATTGGGGCTATATGGCTCCCCAGTGAGCCACAGCACATTTTAATGGCGGGATAAAAAAAATTAAGGGTAACGAAACTTTTTAGAGGGGCAGCTATTGCAACAACAGTTTAAATATTTGGAAATTAAAAAGCAATTTAAAAAGAAAAATTTAAAATTTAAATAGAAAAAAGTGAATAATTTCACATAAAATTTGTATATACTATTTGTATATAATTTTTTACTTGAAAGTAATTGAATATTTTAAATGCACACAAAAACAAAGACCGCGAGTGCCGCACAAAAACATACGGAGACCGCGGTTCCCGACCTCTAAATTATGGCATACATTCGCTCATACACAAAACAGAATAATAGCTGGAGTACAAGTATACGCATCTCCATACTGATCGAAGATGATATTTTTACATAAATTGTGTCTCATATTGTTATATGATGGGCAAAAATATTTTCGCAAATATGTGGCAATGTGAAAAACATGTTTGAATTTAATTACAAAAGGAAAATTTCATACAAAATTCATACAAAAAGTATGAACTAATTTCCTTAATGAGTTTACAGAAATTTTTAATAAGTATGCGTAGGTTGTTTTTGGGTTATGATTTCTTAAAACGAAAATTTTAGATAAATTCATTAAACTATTTTGTTTAATTTTCACATAATATTTTTTACAAGCAACCACATGCTCATCTCCATACTTCCTACGTGAGCATAGCTGAAGATTTTTGGTGTTAAGCAAAATTTCAATGAAATTTTTAAAAAGTTTTATATAGTGCACATTTTTTTCCTGTAGTTATATTGCATAAAATAAAAAAATTACTATATCAAAGCATTTTTAAAAGTGGGAAACGGCAAAACGAGCAATTTTATTTATTTCGCGGGCCACAAATAAAAAGACATTGAGCACCACTGATTCAAATGTTAGTTCATATATTTGTAGATTGCGTTTTTAAAGATATAACGTATGAACTTAATTTTTTTTTGGTTAATTTTATAAGCCTTTTTTTAAAATTTTCTAAATTTATTTGCTTAATTTTCTAGCCTTAACTTTAATCGGCCTGGCTCCCAATCACCTCCGTTGCCGCCTCCACCACCCCCTGAAGATGAACACCAAGATTTTGGCCGCCCCAGATCATCTAATCCATCGAGTGGTGGTCCATTAGCCCCAATTGTTCCGGATGATCAAAATTTACCGGGATGGGTACCGAAAAATTATATTGAAAAAGGTATGTGAACATTAAATTTAAACTAATTGTGTTTTTAAATAAATTTAGTAATTTATTTTTTATATTTTAGTTGTTGCAATATATGATTACTACGCAGATAAGGATGACGAATTGAGTTTTCAAGAGAGTTCGGTTTTGTACGTATTGAAGAAAAACGATGATGGTTGGTGGGAGGGCGTTATGGATGGTGTTACTGGATTATTTCCTGGAAATTATGTTGAACCTTGTGTTTAAAAAAAAGTGTTTAAAAAATTTGAAATAAAATTAAAAACAAAAATAATTAATTCATACAATATGCTTAAACAATATGATTAGAAAGAGACTAAATACGGAAAATATTTGTTTTTTTTTAACAAATTTAATTTAATTGCGTAACTTGATTGTATTTGTTCACAACAGATGTATTATAACAATAGGGTTACGGCAACATGTCAGTGTTTTGGCAAAATGGATGAATGCAGTTTATGTATTCAACATTTCACTTAAACATAGATCGGTATCTAATATGCAATGATTTTTATAAATTAAAGCGCTATGAATGTAAGACCCTTATAACATATAAAATAATCTAAACCATTACAAATATATCTATAAAAGTATTAAAAGTGTAAAAAATATTACGAATAGGTCGTGGTGTTATAAAAACTTTAGCGGGATTTTGAAGCTTATATTTATTGTTTTTCTTCGTTTTGAATGCTTTAAGTTAGCAGTTTTTGAAAAAAGTCTACGCAATTTTTCAATTTATTTTACAACTTATGTATTCAATATTAATTACCTAGTTTTTTATTATTTCACTTTAATGTTATGGTAATATAAGAATTTTATAAATTTGATATGATATAAAAACACATAAACAAAATAATAGACTATCTTATGATTTTTTTTGTGTAATATTGGTTAAATAAAAAATCAATTTGTATTACAAATTTTGTTTAATTAATCTTTAAAACAAATATTTAATGATCCTCTTTGCATAGAATTCTTTTTGGAAAGTTGTTGTGCAGACAAAATTTGCTTTACTAGTTTTTGTTGTAAGTACAATAAAAAATTTGATAATGAAGATATACCGTTTTTTAAATCCGAAAGTTATATTTAAAAAAAAATATTTTACTGACTTTAATGTATAACATGTTTTAATTATTTAGATTCTGAAAGTATTTTATGCTTTTATGAAATAGAAATAAAAAACAAATATTGAGAAAAATTTTTTTATTAACTTCATTAACATTTTCTGTTTTAAACATAAATATAATATAATTTATTATTTTCCTATATGATAATCAATTTAAAACTTTCTTGTTTATAAACTATTGATCAATAAAACTTTTTCTTGTATACACAACTCTTTATTCCTGTCTTTATTATTTTGAATATGAATATAAATTACAATAATCTACAGTCTGTATTGATTTGGTATGCACTCAAAAGTTTTAAAAATGAAAGTAATAATTTCCAAGTAGTTGTTATACTAATTAAAATTCATATAAATAGTGCTATAAAAGACATCATAATTAATTAGTATTTTCAAAGTCTTTAGTGCTATTCATATAGTAAATTCGTAATTTAACTGTTTTGCAGTGATTGCAAATTGTGGTTGAATAAATAAATATAAAATTAAGATTAATGAATTACATAGTATGTATGAATGTACAAAATTGTCTTGTTAGATGTATTTTTGATTATATTTAAAATAGATTTATTTAAAAATCGAAAATTTGCATCAGTATACATGCATATATTTTTATTAATAAAACGGAACATAACATTTTTAAAAAAATTAAATTTATATAAAAAAGTTTTTTGTTTCCAGCAATTCTTTTTACTTTCGGAAAATAAAATAACTTCAAATCATATCTATTACATAATCGTACTTTGTTAAGTGCATAAAAATGTTTTTGTGATCACTTACATATCTATCATTTTATTCTAGTTAGGTTTATTTTCAAATCTGTATCACAATATTGATTTAAGTCTAAACGATACGAGTAACCGACACCAAACAGGAATTCTCATTTTAATCATTTTCAATTAAAAATTATATTATTAACTATTATTATTATAATTAAAATCATGCTTTTACTTTGTATGCTTATATGGGGGGGGAGAACGGGATAGAATGCGAATACAGTTGGTGGGAAGCTGTTACACCAACCTAGCCTCTTCTATCCAACGCCACATCTCACCTTCACGAGGTCCCTCCTGTCGCACTGAGCAACCCGCATGAAAGATCTGGTTTCAACCCAGGTGGTGTAGTGTGGGTCAGTTTAGCAGACGAGATTGGCGGATGTAGCGTCTGTCCAAGAATTGGCGGCTACGGGCGGGCGTCTGTCTTGCAGCAAACGGCTCGCGGTATAAATGTGCTAGATACCTGGAAGAAGGTGAACAATTTCTTCAAAGTAAAAATTATGCAATGGACAAAACTAAAGGATTATGTACCCCAGGTGGTAAGGCAACTATGTTGCCAAATCCACCCTCTAAGGAGGTCGGCCCCATGGATTCTGGGGGGGGGGCATTTGTTGCAGAAATTTTCCTCGCCGGTTGACAATGGTCAACTCTCAATCAGCGCTAGAAGTTCGTTGACTAAAAGAACTTCACCGTCATGTGGTCGTGATGATAGTCTGAGCTTATTAAGCCATCAGTCACTTAAATTAGTAAAGGAAGAAAACGAACAGCTGAAATTAAAATTGAACAAAATTGAAAGCGTAATTTCCAACCTAAGTAGGGAAGTTACGGACTTGCGCTCCGAAAATCAGTCTCTCAAGGAAGCGCTGAGACTAAAAATTGAAGCGAAATGAGACAGTGACATCGGGCAGAAAAAATTAACAACGTTCCCCTCTAGTGAGGAGGAAGTGTCTGGTTTTGACACTGATTCTGCTACCTGGATAACTCAAACTAAAAGAAAAGTTAAGAAACGGAAAGCCGGATCATCCCCAGAGCTAACCACAAAAGAAGATAACGTAAACTTAAATGATAAAGACGATAATAATAGAAAATCAAATTTAAAAGACCGCAAACCACCCCCTATTAACATAGAGGGTGTTGAAAAATATAAAGATGTTCTCGCGATTATCTCGACAGTGGTCAAGAGCTTCAAGATTGTCACAATTAAGGATAACATATGGAAGATCAACACAGAGTGCTCGGATGACTACAGAGCCCTAGTCAAGAAGCTGGAATCAATTAAGGCCCAATGGTATACATACGAAAATAAGAACGAGAGACCAATAAGGTTAGTTGCAAGAGGACTTCACTGGTCTTGTGATAAAGAATACATTATGCAGGACTTAAGAAATCAAGGATTCAAAATAAGTGACGCAGTAAATATTATGAGAAACGAAAAAGTAACCGACAAAAATAACAAATTGACGAATCATAAGATAAAACTTCCTCTCTTTATGCTTGCATTTGATAAGAACGAAAATGTGGACAAGATTTATAACATAAAATCGATAGCAAACATGACTGTGAAAATTGAACCAATTAAAAAGAATGTAAAAGTTATCCCACAGTGCAAAAGATGTCAGGGCTTCAACCATACGAGATCTTTTTGCAAGAAAGAACCTAAGTGTGTAAAGTGCGGAGAAAATCATTTTTCCAGTGAGTGTAAATTCAGCAAAAACCTTCCACCTAAATGCGCTAACTGTGGTGGGTTACATCCGGCTAACTACAGGGGATGTGAGGTAGCACGTGAACTTCAAAAGAAAAGAGATTATTCCATAAAAAGGAGAGCGAACAATAAGTCGTTTCCGAGCTCGAGCACTGCAATGAAGTACGGGGCAACTCCTGTCATAAAAAGTTCCAGAACCCCAGTGATTATGGCCCAGCCCACGCCTGCTCTGAATTCTGTTGCCACTCCATTGGTAGAGAATAGGAGAATCGACGCAACACCAGAAGTGAGGGGCGTGAGTAGTAATTCCAGGTCCTATGCAAGAGTGGCTCGTGTGACTGCGGCTAATAAAATGTCGTTAGAAGATACTTTAAGTCTGATATTAAGCAAAATAAGTGATCAAAAGTTGACTGAAGGAAAATTGATCAAAAGGCTAGATGAGCTAGAAAAAAGAATCAAATTATTATCCCAGTATAGACAATGTACACATTAAGAATTATGACGTGGAATGCCAACGGGCTGCTAAATCATAAAGATGAGTTAGAACTGTGCCTACGTGAAAACAAAATTGACATTTGCTTGATTTCGGAGACCCATTTTACGAAGGAATCCTACATAGCCATCAAAGATTACACATGTTACCATGCTGAGCATCCAGAAAATAGGGCCAGAGGTGGATCAGCAATAATAATCAAAAGTAATTTAAATCATGACGAAGACACGAAAATCGAATTAGAACATATGCAAATAACCTCCATAAAAATCAAAACCAAAAACAAAAACTTCAAAGTCTCTGCTATATATTGCCCACCTAAGCACAAATTTAAAGTAGATGATTATAAAAATATGATAAATGCACTTGGAAACAATTTCATCCTTGGTGGCAACTTTAATGCCAAACACACCTACTGGGGCTCAAGGTTAATTACACCAAAGGGCAGGGCTTTGTATGAGGCTGGCTTAGATCTGAAATGTTCTTTTCATTCTACTGGTAGACCAACTTACTGGCCAACTGATCAAAACAGATCTCCGGATCTAATTGACTTCTTCGTAACCAAGGGCATTTCTAATAAATATATTGGTATCAGTGAATGCTATGATTTATGCTATGACCACTCACCCATAATTTTGACGATTAGTGAAACTATAATATTCAAACAAGACCCACCAAGATTAACAAATAAATCCACGAATTGGGAAAATTTCAAGATTGACCTTTCATTAATGACTGAGCTTAATGTTCCTTTGCAAAATCCTCGGCAACTGGAAAAAGAAATTGACGAATTCATAAATAATATACACAGAGCAGCAGTATCCAATACTAAACCGATGGAAAAGAGGTTGAATAATTCCATAGCTTACCCCTTGGAAGTTCGTAATTTGATCCATGACAAAAGGAAGGCTCGTAAAACTTGGCAAATGACGAGATCCCCGCTGCATAAACGTAAGTTAAACTATTTGAACAGTAAATTAACTAGACTCCTGAAAATAGTAAAAAACGAAACATTAGCTGAAAAACTAGTAAATCTCTCCGCTGAAAAAGATGGTGATTATTCTCTTTGGAAGACAACTAAGTCAGATAAGAAGCCTCCAACCTCACTCCCACCAATAAGAGCAGCTGGCTCTTGGGCCTGCAGCAATAAAGAGAAGGTGTCAATTTTCGCGGATCACCTTGAAAAAACATTTGAACCATTTAATCCTACGGCGCAGACTATTGATCTTGTCCCTCCTCCTAGTGCGGGTGAAGTGTCTCTCAGCAGAGTAACTATGCCTGAGCTCAGAGACGAAATAAAAAAGCTTAGTAACAACAAAGCTCCAGGCTACGATTTGGTTACTCCGGTCATCCTAAAGGAACTGCCTCAAGAAGCCCAAATGAAGCTACTTCATCTTATAAATTGCAGCTTTCGCTTAAGATACGTGCCCAGACAGTGGAAGGTGGCTGAGGTTATCCTAGTTCCAAAGCCAGGTAAGCCAATACATGATGTAACGTCAAACCGTCCTATATCTCTACTTCCAATGATGTCGAAATTGTACGAGAGATTACAATTGGCTAGATTGAAACCAGTGATAGTGGAGAGGGGGCTCATCCCTGATCATCAATTTGGATTCAGAAGCAAGCACTGTACAATTGATCAGGTTCACAGGATAACCAATACCATAGAAGAGGCTTTTGAAACTAAGAAAATATGCTCCACTATATTCCTGGATGTGGCTCAGGCGTTCGATAAGGTGTGGCACGAGGGCCTCATTTACAAAATAAAACGGAATCTTCCTGAACCTTTTGGAAATATCCTGACGTCATATCTTGAGAACAGATACTTTAGAGTTAAGATGGAAGATGAATACTCTTGCCTGAGGAATATAAGTGCTGGTGTCCCGCAGGGCAGTGTGTTGGGCCCGGTTCTGTATCTCTTATACACTAATGACATTCCCAACTCGCATGAAACTAAGCTAGCAACTTTTGCCGACGACACGGCTATACTTGCTGTGGGAGATACAATTCAGGAGTGTACATCTAAGCTGCAAAGAACAATAGATCTAGTGGATGTGTGGACCAAGAAATGGAGAATAAAACTAAACGAAGGAAAATCAGTTCATGTTGATTTTACAAATAAAATAATAAATCCGGAGAATATATATTTGAATAACGCGCCAATTCCCCATGCGAATGAGGCTAAATATCTCGGAATGACGCTTGACACCAAATTAAGATGGAAACCTCACGTAAGAAAGAAAAAAGAAGAAATCGATATAAAAATGAGAAAACTGAACTGGCTGATGAATAGAAATTCAACTCTAAATCTCCAGAACAAGCTGTTAGTATATAACCAAGTAATTAAACCAATCTGGCAGTATGGCATCCAACTGTGGGGGTGCGCAAGCAAAAGTACTACAGACATAATCCAAAGATCGCAAAATAAAATCCTGAGACAGATAGTCGGAGCACCTTGGTACGTGCGTAACAGTACCTTGCATAGAGATCTAAACGTCCCAACTGTGGAAGATGAAATAATTAGGGTGGCAAAGAACCACAAATCTAGGACGAGTCAACATGAAAATAATGAGATGGTAGATATCTTAAATAATCACGAAAATATCCTCAGAAGGCTAAACCGCAGGAAGCCGCTTGATCTTGCCGCTTGATCTTAAGTGTAACGGAGGTATTCGGGGGAATCATCACAGGATGTTGGCCCAACAAACGTGATTTTTAGAACTGGAGAAGAAAGGATTGCTAGATAGACCGAATGGTTCTAGTTGCAATAATAATTGATTAAAAAAAAAAAAAAAAAAAAAAAAACTTTGTATGCTAAGTTTAGTAGCCAGCGAAGTGAGTTAAGGAAATTGGAAATTATTGTAGTATGGTTTTTTATCATAACTGAATTTTAATAATAAATTATTCGTTTTTGATAGAGCTAGTTTTCACTAGTTCAATTTATATAAGATAAAAGTTTGAATTTTTTCATATTCAAAATTTTGTGAGAGCATAAAAAAATTATAAAAGAATTTGACTTCATTCTTTATAAATATTTTTTACACTCATCCTACTTTACAGCGAGCAGAAATCATTAAAATTTTTAAAACCATTAAAATTTTAATTGAATTGGATTTAATTTAATTGAAAATATTAAAGTGTAAAAAGAGTGAGCTACAACCTTCGAAATATGTTTCTAAAAATCCTTCTAAAAAAATGTTAACACATTTTTAAGAGTTCGATAGTTATCCAATTGACTTTTAAAAATTCTCTCTAAAACTAAAACAATTAAATTATTTAATTATGTATTGGAGAAGTGATACAATTAAGTACAATGCCCTATATATATTTTTTTCTCAAAATTAAATTATATTATGCATAAAGGTTATTTTATCAATTTCATAAAATTCTTAATTTATTATGTTTATCATTTTATAAGTCAGCCATTTAGTTGAACTAAATATATACAGACGGTTTCACAGCACATCAAATTTTTAATAAATAAAAATCTCTAGTTTAGGTTAATATATGGTTTGTTTTGCAATGTGAAAATATTTGAAAATTAATTTCTTAGCTCAATATTTAAAAATATATTTTCTTTCCCCAGGCTCGCAAATCTCTTTTGAAAGCTGCATTTGGGTGAACTGTTGCGGTTTTGGTATATATTGAACCTTATTGAAAATATAAATAATATACTTCGTATTAAATGAAATTATAAAACCATTCTACATGTTAAAACGTTTCTCTTAAAGTTCTCCTACGATTTTTTGACCACGATTGTTCAGTTGCGCTGGCAAAAAGTAGATAAAAGAAGTTACCACCAATGCAGAAAAAAGCAGCTAAATAAAACACCAAGCGCCATCTTGTCAAAGTTTCTTTCCCATTTATCAACATTCCAATCACATATGGGGCTAAGAAACCGCAAGTGTTTCCAGCGGCGTTTGTTAAACCATAAAGTGTGCCTGCGTATTTCGGACTAATGGCAATATGATTTAATTGATTTCCTGAATAAACAGCACCTTGAAAAGCACCTACACCTGCTAACATAAACATTACCCATATCCAATTACAACCAACATAAGCAACACCAATCAGCCCTAAACTAGGTATCACTGAAGCTATTGTATTCCATAATTTCATCGAATTTAACAACGAAATATAGTTTCTAGCTAATAACCAATCAGCAAATATTGAACAACAAATACCTAAAATCCAACTTGTAAAATATGGAAGAGCGGTAGCAGTTGCATTTGATTTAATTCCAAAATGTAAAATACTATTCATATAAGTTGGAAGCTCTGTAAGTTGGGTATAGAATGCCCAAGCTTGTCCACATTGTGTAATTAAAATTGCCCAAACTGGTAATGATGATAAAACTTCAAGCCAAGGGATACTTTCTGAATCGATACCGATTTGACCATCGAAATCTTCATCAACGCCTGTTAAGCGGATTGACCTTTCAATATAGTTCAATTCTTTGTAACTTATACGCGGATGAGCACTTGGTGTATCAAAAACTAATAGCATCCAAAATATAAACCATATTATTCCTAAGATCCCAAATATATAAAATGCCAATGGCCAACCACCCATAAACTGTAGGGAACACAGCCAACCTGCTAACGGTAATGAAATAACAGTGCCAATATTTGAACCAGCGTACACCACAGAAGCAAATTTGTTTCTTTCTAATGGAGGTATCCAATGTGCTAACATTGCATGCATAGCCGGATATGTAACACCTTCTCCCATACCTTCCAATATTCTAACCACTACCAGTGTTGGAAGACTAAAATAAGCTGCCATAGGAGTCAGCATAGTGAATATTGCTGTTATCAAAACTCCGAATCCGTAGACTAGTTTACCACCCATTTGTTCTGCTAATCTACCGCCAGGTACTTGAGTTATAACATATCCATAAAAAAAAGACCCTAAAACTATACCTTGAGTTGTTTCATCCCATATAAATTCACCATTTGTGTTTTCTGGTAGTGTGTTATTTTCACTGGTATTTGATGATGCTGGGCAGACGTCTTCAATAGTAACATTTTCATGTGATATAGCAGTTTGATTTACCATAGCAACAATTGCAACAGATAAATTAACTCTCATGGCATATACTACGGCAAAGCCAAGAAATCCCATAAAACCAAATACATATCTAGTTTTAAATATTCCACCAACATCATCTAAAAACAATACAAATTAAAATGTATTATAAACAAATTTATCAAATTGGTGTCAAATTAAAATTAATTAACCCATGTATTTTTTCATGCAGATAGGACTGAGCCTTTTAACTTACAGTAGTTTTTCAGTTTTAAATTTTTACATTCATAGAGCGGAAGCATGATTCTTAATTAAATTTTTAATTAATACATCAATTAAGGACGATTACAGCATTTATAAGCACATTTTAAAAAATTTAACATTTTATTATTATATATATACCTATTATCATTATATATATATATAATATATATATATATAATATATATATATATATATATATATATATATATATATATATATATATATATATATATATATATATATATATATATATATAAATATATATATATATATATATATATATATATATATATATATATATATATATATTATATATGTAAATATTATTATACTAATTTATTACAATTAATTATAATACATTACAATAATAATTATAGTTGAATTTTAATAATAAAAAATTAATAAATTTTTGAAATAACAATCAGCAATTTTTTAAAACACGAAAAACTTTTCCGATTCTCTTGATGTTAATAGAATTGTTTTTAAAATTTAATTTGAAATGAAATTGTTATAATGCTTATACGTACAAATGTATATGTATATACTTAATTTATAACAATAGTTCTATTATGAGTTCTTGCTAAGAAGTGACAGTTTACCATTATTTTGTTAAATTTAAGAAAATGAAAAATAAAATCATGTTTAACAAACCTTAAGATGATTAGGGTGAGACACTATTTTGTATCCAATGCTCATTGTCTTAAATAAAATATTTTTAAACGTACATATGTACATACCATTATTGACTAAAGGGGTTATATCATTTTCATCATCGCTGCTTTCGTGTTCATTTAATGGTTGAGTAGCTTCATGATTTTCTATTTCATATTTGCTTTCGTGATGTATAAACATAACGTGTTTGTATTCCTTCAAGCTATTCCACAGTTAAAGGAATTTAAATTCGAACAAAATACCAACTGTTTTGTACATTTAATAAAAAAGTGAAATCTAAAATTACGAAACAAAATTTGATTTGTAAAAACAAAGAACTTAATTTACTCTGCTTACGGTTTATCTAGCCTCAGAAAAATCTTAATTTTTATAAAGACAAATTTGTACACGTAGTTAAAAGTGTATGTATGTACATAATTAAATTTTATTACACAGGTGTCAACCCACTTTTTATTGAAATTTATTTTGTACACTCATATGTTGTTTTTGTGATGTATAAACATAACGTGTTTGTATTCCTTCAAGCTATTCCACAGTTAAAGGAATTTAAATTCGAACAAAATACCAACTGTTTTGTACATTTAATAAAAAAGTGAAATCTAAAATTACGAAACAAAATTTGATTTGTAAAAACAAAGAACTTAATTTACTCTGCTTACGGTTTATCTAGCCTCAGAAAAATCTTAATTTTTATAAAGACAAATTTGTACACGTAGTTAAAAGTGTATGTATGTACATAATTAAATTTTATTACACAGGTGTCAACCCACTTTTTATTGAAATTTATTTTGTACACTCATATGTTGTTTTTGTATGTAAATATTAATAAAAATAATTTAATTATTAAACTGCATATTAACGAATGCTATAAATACTGACAATTCTTTTTCACAATGTTATACAATTTATGTTTGTACTTTTTTCATGATATTAAATAGGAAAAATTTTGTTTTGTTAAACACACATGATATAAAACAAAAAAATAAAAATACAAATCATATGTTTCCATTTTTCTAAACTCTGACATTTGGGAAAAAGCTTTATTTATTTAAAGTTTATCTGAAAAACCAGAAGGTTTTGAGTACAGTGATCTGTGATCAAGCGCAGTAGCGATGATTTTTATAAAAAAATTTTAAGCAATTTAAATTCTGTTTCAATTCTAAAATTTTTAAACCCTATTTCATTGATTTTATATTTATCATATTCGTAATGCGAATTTAAATTTACACAATTATCTGGAAATGGAACATCATACATTTACGCAAATAAAAATTACTCAAATTTTATTCAATGTATGTACTTTATACTGTTTGCTGTGCAACTTTTTATTATTTATTTTAATTTTCATTTTGTCTTTTAATATATTCTCGTGTTTGTTTTAATGATTTTTCAAATCTAACAATTTCATCATACATATGTACTTCAAAAAATTTGCTTTTCATAGAAGTTCGATGTGGTGTGCTACACTTTAGAAATTCTAAATAAATAGCCGATCATTTAACTGGTAGCCAAAATGATTTTCGGTAAGCGGGAATCAAACTTAGCCCATTGCCGGTAAGTCAAACCGAATTGTACTGACAGATATAATACATTTATTGCTATAAAATTATGATTGACGTAAAAACTAATTTAAAATATTTTTTAGTTCTTTCACTGTACGCTTGGATGTGAAAATTCGAGTCCGCCAATGGTACAGTTACTATATTTTTTTTTTGGCAAACACATGCCGCATATCGCGTTTTTGTGGTTAAGCGCAAAACAACATATCTAAGCGATATCATACGAAGTTAATAATGGAAGTTTAGTTCATTCATTGTATTAATGTATTAATAGACTTTATTTATTGAAAAGCTTTTTTTATTATCATAAAGCTTTAAAAAAAATAAAAATTCTTCACTTTTCCATTCATAAGTAAAATAAATTTCCCCAGCATAGTAATATTTTCAACAAGTTTTTGTTGCCAAAGCCAATTGTCTAATTATTAAGAGTTTTTCGATTTAGTTGATTGTGAAAGCTCGTAACGCGTACAGTTAAGAAAATAAAATTTTCATATCATTTAATCACGTTAAATTTAACGGTGTAAATTTAATAACAAACATAAATAAAACCAAAAATAAAAATATATATGTATACTTACAAACAAATTTACATATGTGCACGATTACAAAAGCCTGCAAAAAATTCAAAACCGAAATAAAATTTTTATAGTGCTCATAAGTTTTGCATTTTATTGTATACAGGGGAAAAATTATTTTGAAAATTAGAGAAACCATTCAAGTGAAGTTTTTGCATTGTTATTTAATGAAAAATAAATTTTGTCAGTTAATTTTTTTTCAATTTTTATTGTGTTTCATTTTAGTAATATTATTCCTCAATGATTAAGAGTACATGCAAAATTAATTTTTTGCGATAATTAATCAAATTTACATTTTATTCAGTTTATGAATAACAATTATCTTGAAATTTTAAAAATTTTATCAAAATAGATATTAAGTCAAAATGACGGATGTTAATACATTGATGTCGTCACCATTTGTTAGAGTTAAGGTAGGTATACATACATACATATACGATATATTTTGAAAACAGTGTTTATGTATTTAAAAAATTGATTAGCATGCATTATTGTAAACAAATCTAATATTTTTGTTACCAAATTCCCATTATTAAAAAATATGATCAAAATGAACAGAGAGAAAAAATAACACAATATCAGGTGTTCAAACTTTAAATTGATTTTCTTATAAGCACTTTAATTGCTGATTATGTTTCGTAAATCTTATTATTAAAGTTAATCCTTTTCCTAATTTATAAATAGAGTGAAATAAGATTCATTGAAAGTTACAAATGTGTAAGGTATCACAAGCACGCATATCAATATGTAATATTTTTTTGTAATCTGCCACCTGTTTGAGTATAGTTATATATACTGAAATGTATCTATTTAACAATAACAAATATTTATATTCATGTCAATGTAATATGCATTATGCACAGACATACATACATTTTCGTATAGACACCTGAGAATCTTGTATTAGACTGTGCAACCACAGGCTCTTATGTCTGTTCTATTATAATTGTAAATGTTATTCTATTATAATATAAACAATTTGCAGTGGTCATGGATCAAAATCCTTTCAAATTTATAAAACATTTCCAAAGTTTAAGTATCTTGTTTAGCAAAATTATTCTAATCTTTATCAAAAACCGTTTTCCTTCTAAGTTAGAAGAGTAAGTACATTGAAGTTAAGATGGTCGTCATTTTGAATTAAAACAATCATAATGTACATGTAACTACTTAATCTATATACATAGTATAGTATATACTAAATAAAGTAGTATTAATTAGATCTACACAAAAGTTTCTTATAACATAAAGTTACTCATCTTATTGATTAACGATTTTAATTACATATTATCTAATTTTAATAATTGCACTTTTATAATTTTAGCTCGTTGCATTTATACATTTCATATTTATTGGCAATGCAATGCTAGGTACATGGATACCAGGGGCGTATATATTTTACAACATATTATTTATTATGTCAATGATGTGGTCCTTGCATTGTAAAGATTCATCTGAAGCAATCCATACCGTAAGTATTTATGTAAACATGTTCAGTATATAGATTAAATTTCTTTGAAACTTTAGTTGTAACACACAAACATAAGTATGTACTTATATTTTCTTTTTTTAAATATGCAAGGATTATTGTTTCAGTCTTAATTTTTAATTTCTATTCCTATGTTTTGCGGTTTTTTTCCTCAATTGAAATTAATTAATATGAGTATAATAAATAATTTTTGAATTTAATTTGTGGTTGAATACGAACAATTAAGAATTGAAAAAAAGGAATAAATAAATAAAGAAAATGAGGGAAGGTGAAGAGTTGGCAGAGACTTCTTTGGGAATACCCAAATTTCACTATATTTTTTAGAATTTCCAAAAGGGTTTATTTCTTTATGAAAGTGTCTGTACATAAATTTTTGGATGTGATAATAATACATAAGTAAATTTAGTGCTTATAATTTTCTTTTTTTTTGACATTGTGTTACATCTAGACTGTTTTTAGGTGAAATTATAAGGATGTTGTATTAGGATTAGGGTTAATACGCTGAAAAGCTAATCGTTAAGTGATAGCAAGAATTTTTGTAAAAAAATTAATATTATTATTGTAAATATAAACTATAGAATATAAATATAAATTATAGAATATTTATATAACAATGTTTTTAAAATTTTTACGGTAAATGTTACCATTGTACAGTTTACTAATTACTCATAATTTGTTTCTCAGAGCAAGCCCTATTATCTACACTTTCACAATATTTTAATAAGGTAGAGTTTTGTAACGGTAATCGATAAACCTTCTACTTTACCGATATTCGACAAAAATATTGCAAACGGGGAGATGAATTTTTAACAACTCGTAATTTTGATTAAAATTATTTTTTTGGTGGAATACATAAGTAAAAAAAAAAGAACAAAAAAAATGATAGAAAAAATAAATAAATTAGCGTTGAGTATGTAAATTTAGATTACAATTTAGAAAACAAATTAGGTCATTTAAATTTTGATAAAAATGCAATAAAATTGTTGGGGGAGATTTGTGATTTTGAAAGAACACTTGTTTTTGTGTAGCTAATAATTAATGATTTATCAGTGATGGCACATTGAATTTAATTTTAGTAATTTAATTGAATTGTTGCTATAATTATTTATTTATTTATACTTAATACATGAACAAATCTTTAAAAATTTTAAATAATTTTTCTCTTAGTTAATGAATTCAATTTTATATACTTAATCTTATTTTGCATAAAGTAGGAGTGTGTAATACGAGTTCAATCCGATGAATTAGAAAAATAGCAGGTACAGTTCAACTTAGAAAGTTTAAGCAGCAATAAATTATAAAGAAGGGAAGGAAATCGAAACTATTACTTTAGAATCACAATCACATGCTCTTAATTTGAATATTTATTGTTCGAATTGAAAAAGATTTATATTAATTTAATAATATGCAGGTTACACAAAGTTTCATGTTCCTTTTGCAATTTCTAATCACCTTTGAAACAAATTGTATTTGCGGGTCTTAGATTTGACACGTTCATTTTTTGAACATTTAAAAAAAATCACTTTATAGTTATACTTACATAATTAAGTTATATCGATAAATAAGATTTGATAATTTTGAAAAAGTGTTTGCTATAGTTATATACAGCTGTATTATAGTTGAAAATCCTTTTTTACAATATTTTTAAATTAAAAGAAATTAGGCACGTACGTCTTTTAAAGATCAAATTTTTGTTTTTGCATTTTCAACAATTACCTTATTTAATTTTGACATACAACTTGATTAATAACCTGTGACATCAAAACTAAATTTAAAGATTGAATTGTATGCATTAATTAAATTGCTTTTATTTTACATTTTAATTTGGATGTAATAGGAAATTAACTAATTAAGCGGTAACAAATATTTAAAATATTTAGTCATTGTAATAATTTCAAATTACACAAGTATTATGAAAATGCGTTGTAGTGTTTACATACAAATGTATGTAAATTAAATTGGCAATTAGCATATTGTTATTAAGTATTTAAATTTATTACATTATAAACAGGAAGGTAAGACACATATTTTTATATACACATGTCCATATAAGCATGATTAATATTTCTTAGTATGAATGTAATTTAATTTTGTGAAGATGTTACAAAGAAAAATTTCGTATAAGTTGGATCGTTATTATTTCAAACAAAGATATTTGTACTTATATGTCGTCGGTATTATGGAGGAGTCAGGAAACTGCTTTTTCAAGAATTTTGAGTTATACATACAGAAAAACTCAGGATTTTCTAAACTATCTTCATAAAAAAACCCACGTTAGTATTGTCGGAAAAATAGCATTGTAAATTTTACACATATCTGCAAATTGACATTATTGTCAAGTGCGTTTTTCTCGAAACACAAAAAAAAAAACAGTTTCGTGACTCTTCCATAATACCGACGATTTGTACATATATATATTATTTATTGTATATATATATATGTAGAAGAACACTAATGAATATGATACCTTTGCTTAATTCTTCTACTTGAAAATTATTTATCTCATCAGCATTATTTTGCAACTTAGCATATTTAGTTGGGCTTTCTTAACGAAAATTGAATTGCCAAACATGTTGCATAATTTATTTTCAATCATATACAATATTATGGTTTTATTTATTTAATTTTTATATATGTATATGGAAACTATAAATTTTTATTCCAATCTACAATAAAATTTCTACAATTTAGTATTGTTAGCAGAATTGATTTTAAAATTATTAAATTACTGATGCCAATATAGACACTGATACCTCAATTATATGTACGCAACAAAGGTTTATTTCATTACATATTTGAATTTGAATATTTTTCTAATATTTACGTTTATTACTTCTGTACAATTTACAAATTGTATTACACAATGGTAAACAACTAAAAGACTTGTTTTTTTTAGAATTAAATGAAAATTGAAGCTGCTTTTTTGTATTAATTTTATATAAATATTCTTAAATTTGAAAAAAAACGTGCTGATTTTCGACTTAATCAACAAAGTAAAAATGGTTGATTATTTTTTTATTTTTGAATTATACAGGAAACTTTTGTAAAAATTTGTAATAAGATCATACATAATGTACATATTTTAAAAATATTTTCTGTTAACTTACTTATAGTTGCAGGAAAAATCAGCAAAAATATATCGGAACAATAAAATTTTCAATTGCCAAACAATTTTTCTATGTTGCTTTTGGTTAAAACCATGGCTGTGTTTTTTTATTATTTTAGTATCGCAGTGAAAAATTAATTTAAAAAATTAAAAAAAAAACCTTAGAAATTTGCCAAAAGACAAAAATATATTCTGTACTTTCCGTGTTTTTCGAGCGGTTTAAGTTCAATAGCCTGACAAAAAAAAATATATTTAATTTTGGCAAAAGACAAAATGAGAATAAATTCTCTCGTATGTGCTTCAAAAATCCGATCCGATTAGAAATCAACATATTATTCTAAAAATAAATAAATTATGCGTTTTTTGTTTTCCATTGTGGTCAAGTCAATTGTTTTTTTCTTGCTACGTTCTTAATTTGTTTGTTTTTTTGTTTGAATTAGTAAAATATGTGTAAAAACAAAATGCTTAAATATTGATAAAATTACATTGAACAAAATTTAATTTTCTGTCGTTTATGTTATGGAATATATAAAATTTAAAGTCATTACGCATATTTTCACAATTTATTTATAATTTTTTTCAAAAATTTGTATTTAAAATTTATTTTTGTATGTAGAAGACAACCAAAATTTCATTTTAAATAATAAGACCAGGGAATAGCATTGAAAGGAACATTTTGGGGGCAATTGTACACTTCCTTTGCACTAAAAATTTTGTAATAGCTTAAAAATTTGTTTATGTACCTCAGTTTCATTTTACATACATATTATATTTTTACATTTAAATTTAAATAAATTATTTTAATTTTTAATTAACTTTCAATAATTTGTTTATCTAATCAAATACAAAGTTTAAAAAATAGAAACGTTTAATGTAGTGCGTGTAATAAGTTGTGCATACTGATACTGAATACTGTGTATAGTTAGATTTTTTCATTGAGGAATTTCATTTCAATTTTAAAATGTATGTATGTATGTATATATATACGTACATAATGTTTTTATTACAACAAATACTTCACTGTTTTCGATAATGCATAATTTCTCTTTAGGGATTGGGGAAAAAATTTCATTTTTGGTTAATAGTTTAGCAAAAGATAGCCTTACTATTTTTTTACAAAACCCTTAATATGATAAAATTTAAGGTTGTCATAGCACAAAGGTAAACGAAAAATTGATAGAGCCAAGTCATTATAGAGACATCTATGTTAAGAACTATAACAATATAAGGAGTATTTTAACTTATTATTTTTTTACCCATAAAAGGTGTGTTAAGACTGTTGAGGATATTTCGTGTATTTTTATAATAATGAGATTTAATCCAATGTATAAAAATAATTTAAATGGTCTAGTAACATGCGATCACAACTTCCTTTTTGTGTTGAATTGTAGTCTGTTAAAATTTAAAGGTTTTACAGGACTATAAGTTACAACACAAACTAATCGAGATACAAAAAAGTTTAAGTTCACAACAAAAATATGTAAATGATATAATTGAATAGTGAGAATCAATTCAATTAAATTTTATTGATACTATAAAAATGCCACATATATATAGTTCTATCTAAATAACAACTTGAGAGATTTTGAAATAAATACACGCCTAATCTTTGGCTTTGTTGAATTAAAGGTCTGCGATACAAAATAATTGAACCTGAAGCAAGGACTCAAAAGACTTATGTTACAAAGTGTAACATAAGTGTTTGTCAATAGTACGTTTCAATGTCAATGTAATGTTTTGTCAATAGTAAAGCGGTTTGATAAATTGTAGTCAAAATATTTTGAAAAAAAAATATCTATGGAAATTTTAGAACAAACATAGTTTAATATGTATATGTATGTACAAGTGAATACATTTAGCTATATTTTTGCCGTAA